CTGCCTAATCCCGCCTAATCTATATAGCCGGCCGTCTAAAGGACGACGCCTATAACTTAATCCTACCTAAGACCCTCTATAGTGTCCCGCAGTTTATAGACTACTAACAACTTTTAGAGTACTTAGAATAAGCCTTTAGCGACCCTAATCGAGTCTAGAATGCTTAGAACCGCCTATACTACCTAAAATAGAAGAACTAGGACTTTAGTGTCTACTTTTCTAAGTTCTAGAGACTAGCACTCGAAGGCGAGATGCCTAAAAGCGCCCTAACTCTACTACTATACTAAGGAATTTCGAGGGAACTCTAGGACATGCTCCTATATAGTACTCCTACTAGCCGCAAGTTCTACCCCTTCTCCCGCTACCTATAAGAACTAGATAACCGCTTCTGCTAACATTAATAATAAACCCGCCGTATAGGGGAGAATAATAGAACTCTTATACTTCGCCTAACTATCTCCGCTTACCTAATACCTACTCGTATCCCCGTAGTAACTATAACTACTTAGATAACTAGCCCTACTGCTAGTAAACTAATAGACCTAAGTGCTTCCCGCCGGCCCCCTCCTAGATACTAGCCCTCTAGAAGAAGAGAGCGTAGTAAATGCTACTGCTACGGCTGCCCTAACTACCGTATAGTAAGCTACTCTCTTCTACCTCCTACTAACCGTCCCGCCTAGATTAGAGAAACTTGTGTTATAAGTGCTAACTCTTATACTACCCTAGCTAAAGAGAATAGCTGCCCTATTTCCCCTACTTTTATAGAAAGATTAGTAAAAGGAGGAGCCTCGATCTAAGTCGTAATCGAGTGCTCGACTAACGTAACAACTACGCTAAAACCGCCCTACAAATCTATAGAACCTACCTAAATGAGAACCTAGAAAAGAGAAAGCGAAACCGTGCCTAACTAATAGTCTAGTAGGTTTCGTTAGAATAAGGATCCTATACCGCCCCGACTTATGCTATAACTAATACTAGAGCTAAGGGAGTGTGCTTTGTCGATAAGGACTAGGCGACGTCTTAAGGCTTTGTACTATAACGTATAAAGAGAGAGATGCTACTAGTCAATTTTAATAGATAAGAAGATAAGTCTACTACTATAACTTACTTTATTATTATAACCCTACGCATATACGACTATACTAAGAAAGAAGCCTTCCTATTTATTACCCGCCTATCGCACTACCTAATAATCCTAGGGATTCCCTAGTTAAAGTTATACGATCCTAAGCTAAAGTTTAGTAAAGGAACTATGTTATTTAATAGTCCTTACTATTAAAACAACTGTAATATACCCCTACTACCTACCCGCATCTACGTAGTCCCTAATGTTCTACTAAAAGAACGCCCTAAGAACGTTATTCGCCCCGCTATAGAACCTAAACCTAATAAAGGTAACCTAGAAATATGCTCTATAAGCTTAAAGTACATAGTAGTAACGGCTCGCTAGGGTACACCTATATACTAGATTACATTAAACTAAGTAGAAGCTACCCTTAAGGAGATTACTACCCCTATTAACCCCGCTATCGAACTTCCTATTAAGCTAAAGGACTACTACAACGTATTTAGCCTAAAGGAAGTAGAGAAGCTACTGCTACACCGACCCTACGATTATAACATTAAGTTAAAAGATGGTTAGATACCGCCCTAGGGACCCCTATACCCGATGTCCTAAGTCTAGCTATAAACATTAAAAGAATAGATAGAGGAAAACCTTCGTAAGGGTTTTATTCGACTAAGCTCCTCTTCTACCTTATCCCCTATCCTATTTATAAAGAAATCTAATAGAAGTCTCCGCCTATGTATAGACTACTAAGGACTTAACGCTATCTCTAAGAAAGACCGATACCCGCTACTACTAATAAGAGAAACCCTAAACGCACTAAAAGGAATAAAGTACTTTTTAAAGATCAATATCGTTACTACATTTAATAATATTCGAATTAAGAAGGGACTAGAATACCTAACTACCTTCTATACAAAGTTAGGCCTATTTAAATTACTAGTTATGCCTTTTAGATTAACTAGAGCCCTTGCTACCTAGTAAAGATTTATAAACGATATCTTCCGCCCGTATATCGACCTATTCTACTAAGTCTACCTAGACGACATCCTAATCTATAGCAAAACAAGGAAAGAATACGAAAAGCATATTCGACTTATATTAGATGTATTAAGGAAGAACTAGCTCTACGCTAAGCTATCCAAATGCGAGTTCTTTAAGACTAAACTAATATACCTAGGAATTATTATAGGTGTAGAAGGCACTAGGATAGATCCGAAGAAAATTAAAGCCATTATTAACTAGTAACCGCCGAAGACTATTACTAATGTTAAGTCATTTACTAGAATGGTAGGATTCTACCGACGCTAGATAAAGGATTTCTTAAGAATCCTAGCACTAATCACTACACTAGAAAAGAAGGACATACCATTTATTTAGACTAACAAATGCTAGAAGGCCTTTAAGTTCCTAAAAACTGCGTTTATAAGCGAACCTATACTAAAGCACTTTAACTAGAATAAACCTACTGTCCTAGAGACTAACGCCTCTAACTATGTCTACGCTAGTATATTATTATAGCACGACAACGAAGGAATCCTATACCTAGTTACATTCTACTTAAAGAAAATGACACTAGCTAAATGTAACTACGAGATTTACGACAAAGAACTACTAGTAATCGTTCGTTACCTTAAGTTGAAATAATTCGTGCAACTCTGCATAAACTACTCTTCCCTAGCGATAGGAAGTGCGGAAGACCTAGAAGGTATACTATAGAAATTAAGAGGCTTATAGTAGAACCCCCAAACGAATGGGTAACTCCTTATAACTTGAATTGACTTAATTATATAGGGGTAAAGAGCTAAAGACGAAGTTGAGCTTTCCCTTGTGCTAAGAGACACATAGACTATCTTAGCTATACTCTTATAAGGGTAAAGATAGCCGACAGCTTATCCACTATAACTGTACTAATTTTAACTCTTAATATAGATAGAAGCTAGAGACATAGAGAGTAGAGTACGTATAGGTCTCTTATAGGTTACTAAACCTAGGCTTCCGTAGCTTAGATTAGAGCTTTCTATCCTTATCCCTAAAACCCTTAAATCTAATTTAAACTTAAGGCGTCACTAAAGGGGGGAGATTACTAACCCTATGTCTTTATCTATTCTATTCTCCTTAAGGGATATAAATTTTCTCTTCTCTATATTCTAGAAAAGCTCGAGTTAGAAAGAGCGTAATTATTAGAATAGAACATAATCTTAATAAGGTAATAGTAATGATTGTATAGATTTATGCTCTCTAAGTAGTAGGAGAAGGCTCCTCTAGAATCGGAGACCTAATATAATTAAGATTAAATGGCACGACTACTTAGGGCGGTAATAGAAAGCTATAACTCCTAATATTCCTTAATTAAGTAACTCGGGGTGCTATTTTTCTTTATAAGAGTTTAAGGAGTGCACTAGAGCTTTCTAGCATAACGAATTACGATCTAGGCTTTCTAGTGCCTATAATTATGCTATCCGTCGCTATACTCCTTATATCGATGTAAGCTATTAAACTATTTTGACCTACCTACGGTAGCGAAACTACCAACTCTAATAGTATAGGAATAAGGGTAAAACAACTATTTAGTCGAGGCATAGTACTTACGAGGTTAGTAATACCTATAAGGATTAAGAATCCTAACTAATTTACGTCTCTTACGTATTTAAGAGTTTTTAAGAAGAAATAGAGATTCTAACTAAGGTTAACGTGTTATAGACCTAGCTACTTCTCTCCCCTTGCTCCGACTCTTATTTTTAGTTAAATAAAATGGATAGGAAGTATTACGTATTAGGATCTCTAAATCTATAGTAATGCTCGCTTTTACCTTTAGCGATAGTCTACTCGTAGAAAGCCTAGGAGCTTACTTTATACTCGCTAGAATCGCGAAACTAATTAGCAATCTAGAGTAGACTATAGATGGATTAGATTAGATTAACCCCTAAATCTAATCTAGTCTAGTTAGTCTTAGCATCTAATCTAATCTACTAGACTCTATCCATAGACTCTAATAGATCTAGTGTAGGGTGCTAAGAAGTAGTATAGCTAGCCGGAGGTGTTATAACTTAGACGACTATAGTTCGATCCTCTTCCGTACCCTCTAGATGCGTGTTCTACACCTTTATAACTTTATGTTATGTCTATTCTAGGGCCTTTAGGAGCAGTAACAAACAGGAGAATCGACATAAGGCTATTATATAGCAACAAACTAGAGCTAAACACCCTATTAAAAATTAGCTAATAATCCACTAGATTATTAGATTAGATTAACCCTTAAATCCAATCCAATCCGAGACCCCCTTCGATCTAATCCAGTCCAATCTAGTACTGGATTATCCAGTGGATTGGATTTTGAATCCATCCATAGTCTACTCTGCAGCAATCTTTCGCATGTATCATTAGAGAGTTTATGATATTACGACAGGTTCAGAATGAATCATACAGATCGGGCAAACAGCGACGTGGGATGCTTGGTAAGCTCTGCAAGAGAACTATGTATGCAGAGTTTGGACAGCGGGACGTGTTTGTCACAATGTGATATGTTCTCTCTGGAGCGTGTGATCGAACCTCAAAGCGCTGACAAGTGACTTGAGAATCTCGTTAAAATACCCAAGAACTGAAGAAAGGTCTGAAAATCCGCAATGCGGTGTCTGAGTCGGAAGCTCTGATGCAATGACTCATCGGTAAATCCTTCGAAACGTGACTCGAAGTCGACTAGGAGCACCGAGGAGTGTGTTCAACACACTACAAAATCCAATCCTCGCTCTAGCGAATTGTTTCCTTTGCAACAACAATCGCTTCTCCTCATTTCTTGCAACATACAATTTACGACGTTCCAAATTCTGGTTGAGGGCTACCTGTATTTGGTGTTCGCATTCTCGAAATGCACGCTTCAACGACATTACTACATTCAATCACGGCGTCTGATGACGAGGTCGCACGACTACTCTTATCTCCAGATGGGAAAATACTGGCGGCTGGTGACCATACGACAATCACACTGTGGGATACCACCACGGGATCTCTTCAAAGCACAATCGAGGACAAAGACGATATGTTCTTCGGCATGGCTTTCTCGCCTGACAACACGTTGATAGCCGCAGCAACTGATGAAGGGCACGGTCGTATCTGGAGTACCGAGACTGGGGAGTTGAAGCAGACTGTTACCGTTGACGATGAACGTACGCTATCATTGGCCTTCTCCCCTGATGGCAAAACAATCGCCACTGGCTCTGAACTCATAAGGATATGGGATGTGGAAACTGGAGAGCTGCAGCATATACTCACAGGACCGGGCGATCGCAAATTATCATTCTCTGCCATCTACTACGGACACGTATGGCCGTCTGAAATATGGCAAGTTCTGTTCTCATCCGATGGAAAGAAGCTAGTCTCTGTATGCCCAGAAGCACACTGTGTGCGGAGCTGGAATACCGAGACATGGACGTTGGAGAAGACAATACTGGGACAGGGAGCAGGCTTCTCTCCTGACGATACGCATCTCGCAGTCCAGGTCAATGACACTACCATCCAGATATACAAAATCCTCGATGGCCAACTTCAGCGCACCCTCGAGGACGCTGAAAAAAAGTTCGCCTCATTCACATTCGCACCTGACAGCAAAGTCATTGCCACCTACTCGGGTCGCGAGATCATGCTCTGGAATATTGAAAGCGGCGAACTCATCAAAACGCTTGAAGATCCGGAAAGAAAGGTCTCGGCATTCTCATTCTCACCAGATGGAAAGATCTTGATATCCGGGACGAGAAGATGTGGCCTCAGAGTTTGGGATGTCGAGTCTGAGGCGTGCTTGGTGATGCTGGAACACGACGACGGGGCCCGAGATGTTCAGAGCAGCCGCGGATACATGACTGGCCCTCCAGCATTCGATGTATTGTTGGGAGATGGTGGCGGAATAGTTGCGCTTGCGTTTCCCGATGGGACTGTGAGGATATGAGATATTGAATGGAGCCAGGATCCATGAGTCAGCGAGTTCTCCGGAGTAAGCCTTTGAGGAGAGATGACAGATGCGACGTGATGTCACATAGGAAACCTAGCGTTATTATGATAGAACCACTGGCTAGTCGAAGTTGCTCTCCGGATGACACAAGACATGGCCAAGACTGACTGGCTGCCGCATCTATAATATCTACAGCTGCGCGGATCTTTTCGCCAAGTATCCATTGAACCACTCAAGACAAAGCCCAACAAAAACTGCAAAGGCGATGGTGATAATGTTGAACCCGACAAAGAACGCACCGTATTTGTGATCCTGGTATGTGGTTGAAGCCACGTTCTTCATGGCAGACAAATCACACGCCCAACTTGCTCGGAGCATGGCTGTTGAGATATCAAACACAATCCTAGCCACATCGGCGGCATTTTTGAACCATGCGGCTGTTCCTTTCAACTGCTGCAAAGGCATCCATGTCCATGGGAAAACAAGCTTGAGAGCAACCCCAATCGTCAATTCAGCGATGCAGAGGATACCCCAGAGTGCCCAATCACCACCAATGCGGTATCCTCGCTTGGCCGGAAGGCTCGAAAATACGTCGCGCGGATCTCTGAGCTCGACGTCAAAGCCTTGGGATCTGGAGAACAACAACATGGGTCTGCCGAACAGGTGCGGGTAGAGATTTACCAGAATGTATGATACAGCCCCTCGGACAGGCGTAATAAGACTTGTCTGTTCCTCATTGCCGAAGATGGTGAGTGAGGACAACAAGCTCCTAGTGGTCAATGGAGGGGGGAAGGAGAGGACTGGCAGACCAAGCCTTTGGAACAAGTTGATCAATCGTCTTTGGGCGTGATATGACTTGCAGAAGCTGAGCATGGCGACAAGACCTGCTTGGAACAGTAGCGGGTTTGACTGCACTGACTCCGGAGGCGCGCTGGACAGCCTTTGTAAGACAGCATTCGTGAGGCCGGCCAAGACCACGCGAATCACCGTGGCCGTCAGAAGGGTCAGCGGACTGTCCGTTGACGAGCTTGAAGTTTGGTCACTCTTCGACTCGATATCCGGAGCTGTGGTTTCGATTCCAGAACGCACCATGACCGCAACCACGGCCAAGAAGACGAGAAAGATCGGGCCAATCACTAGTGCCTGAAGAAGGTAGCTAGACCATGCAAATTTGTCGCGAGGAGTGGTGAGGACCGTTGCTACGGAGAAGAGGACCGATGGAGCCAGCACCAATATGATAAAGCAGGGGATCTGTATCCACGTAGGTAGATCGAGCTTCTCGGGCAGCAAATCCAAGATCGGCCGCCATGATCGATCGCCAACAATCCAGTGATCAAACGGCGAGAAGAAGTAATTGAGGAATATCAAGACCTTGCAGATCGACTGTTTCCAAGAGCTGCTTGTCAGAATGTGATGCATGAGGACGCCAAGCTACGAGTCTTACAATCAAGGTAGAGTTGATGGAGCGGCCGAGCGATTGCGGCTCAAACACATGAGTGGAGGCTTCTGCTTTGAGCATGTCTAGGGTATCTTTCGTATGTGATTCGTCGTGGTACAAAGCGGAAAGGTGTTCTGTCGAGATTGGAGAAGACGCGACCTCAATGTCTATATGCTGTTGGACGTATTCGTATCAGATTTGATGAAGAGTTCTCAGCACTTGCCGGAATACTGTCTCTAGAGGCGATATATATCCAGGGCAATCGTATTGCAGAGTTGCAGTTGAGTAGAAGTATTTGAGTAAAGGAGGCCGCAATAAGTGCGAACCTCGGAAGGATTCTGGCAGCGCAAAGGGTCCGTGCATTGCTGGGCACACTGGGTCGACTGTGGACCACGGTTCGAGTCATGGTGAAACCATTTTCGTAGGATCATTCCTTCGAATCTCGAATTGTTCCTCCACGTGTATTGAATTCCACGAGACAAAGTTCGGGATGTGGAAGAGCCGCGTAAAAGCTGTGATCTAACAGCCCCAAATAAAGATATATAGATCACAGTCTGGTCTCGTCCTTCTGAGCTACGGCGGGTCGGCCAACCAATTGGAGCCGACGAATCAAGAGAACGATGTTTTTATACTGTCAAACCTACACTTGAATGAATGGATCTACACTCTCCACCGTGCAGTATGGAACTCATATCTTTCCTTTTTGCTTCGCTCAGGAAGAAGACTAGTACCCCAAAGAACTGCGAACATCCTGTTGCTAGCACCAAGTACATCTTCGAAGGTTGACACGCGTGGGACTCGAATCTGAGGATCCTGAGCAAGGTCCTCCGTCAACCGCTATCTCAATGACCACATCGGTGTTCAAATCTCGAGAATTCTGGCTCTATGAACCATCTCCCTTCAAGGCAGTCCTTTGATCATGTGCCTTCTGAACCAGACGAAGAGCCTCGTGGAAGTCGATCTCGTATACGCCGCGTATCCGGTATTGTTTTGTCAGAGAATTTGAACCAGACGTATCCGCGCCTGCGGCAAGAAGAGCAGCTGCTGTTTGAAGTCTGCCACATCGCACTGCTAGAATCAAAGGAGTATCTCCGTCCGCATTCTTAGCTTCGAGGTTAGCGCCATAGCTGAGTAGCAGGCGAACATCGTTCTCAGAAGAGTGTTCTGATGCGGCGCACATATGAAGCGCTGTCATACCTGTTGGGAAATCATAACCGGACAAATACACAGTGCTTTCATAGGCTTTGTTGACATCGATACGATTTTCTAGGAGAAGCTCCAACAGCTGGCGACAATTTCCGCGAGCAGCAATCATTAGTGGCGAGCCAAATGGGCCGCCAATATCGAGGTTGGCACCTCTTCGGAGTAACATAGCCACTGTTTTAGTCAAGTCGTGAATGATGGCCGCACACAAAATTGTGCCGTAATCACCCGATGTGTCTACCGAAAATCCACGGTCCAGGAGGAGCTCTAGTGTTGCAACAGTGTCCTCTTCTAGATTGCAAAAGCGAATGGAGATTAGGGACATCATCACCAACGACTCAGATCCCTGCTGAGGTGTGAGATCTGCACCCGCTTCTAGAAACCGCCGAACGATGGAGTGCATCGAAAGCTGACAGGGTATATCAAGAGTCAGTAGATCCTTATTGGCATGTAGCTGCCTCTCATCAAGTGAGCGCAGCTGATCGGCAATCTCGGCTTCGAAACGTGCTCTACCCTCGACTCTTTGCGCAAGCTTCTCGTCCCTACGAAAAGACTGCATGTATCCATGGAGAGAAGCATAGAGACTAGTGAGCTGCTCAAGAAAAATCCGATCTCTGCCCATCTTGCTACACGTCAGGAGGGTCTCGCAAGTTGTCCATTTCCCATGAGAGACAGCATAACGCAACGGTATGTGGCCTTCGTCGTTCTTCAAATCGACACTGGCCCCGTACCGCAGTAGATGTTCGAGACTAGACTGCTTAGTCGTGTCGCTCATATTCCATTGCTCTCGTTTCATGAGTGTGTTGAGGGCTGTCATGCCATGATCGTCTTGTGCATCGACTTTCGCATGATGTTCTAAGAGAAGGCTGAGCATTTCCGGATTATGAGCAGCAGCGGTGTGTAATGGAGTTGAGCCAACGAGGTCACAACTGTTGACATCTGCTCCTCTGGCTATGAGAAAAGTGGCTGTCTCACGGTTGACAGGCGAATGCAGAACCGTCCGGCCCAGATGATCTTGAAAGTTGACCAGAGCGCCTTGCTCAATTAGATATATGACAGCGTCCAACGACATGGCTGCGAAGGAAAGAGGTGTTAAGGGTTCCCACTTATTCGCGTGATCGTCGAAGTTTGGATCTGCACCACTCTCGAGCAAGAGATCCATCATCGAAAAGCTTGCTTTGGAAGGGGGATCCGAAAGCTCTATCGTCAACGAGAGCAAAGCCTTAGAGAAATGATCTCTATAGTCGCCAAGAGGGTCCATGGCCTCTACGATCAGGCGTACAGTAGACTCTTCACCGCGAGTTGCCGCCTCCACTAGGGCAAAGCCCAGCTGTTCAGACTGTAGTTTTCCAAGCAGTACTTTCAAAACAGCATGATGACCACGATCGATGGCAGTCTCTAGGACGCCTCTCAATTCCACATTTCCATCTCCATTGAGGAGCTCCATGATAAGCTTTTGGTTGTCACTCTGGAGTGCAAAGTGCAGAGGACTGTTTTCGTCACGACATACCGCGGTTTTGTCCGCTCCAAGCTCGAGTAACCTGCTCATTGTACTATAGTGTCCATTCTTACAGGCCCAATGTAGGGGTGTCCGACCACGTGAATCGCGGACATCCACGTTGACTTCGTGTAGCATCTCCAGTGCATCTTCCAACATACTAGTGATTCCAAATGCGGCTGTTACATGCAAAGCCGAAAGTTCTGGACGACCATACGTGGAATAGTGGACACCTTTCGCGTGTGTTATCCATGTTGAGAAAATGAAATTAGTCCTTGAGCAAAGAAGTCGTCTGACATCATCCCTGATGAGCGACGCCACATCTGCTTCGAGAGCAAGTCGAACATGATTTCCCCAGTGCTGAGCAGCGTATCGTACAATGGGGTAGGTGTTCTGCAGATTTACAAGTGACTCAACACTTTCTTCGTCAGGTTCCGCTCCCCTTGTCTGTGTGAGACAAGTATCGAGGTCAAAGTCAGACAGCAGGAGAGTACTGATACAAGTCTTGGCGATTTTATGATGTCCTCTCGGGCCGATCTGCTCAGGCGACTTGTCGAAGAACTCTTGGGCTGTATAATGAACATATCGCACAACATTGATCCGTTCTGATTGCGATCTTCCGGTGTCAGGATCGAAGGCTCTTCTCTGCTGTGTTTCCATGATAACCAGACCCATACAGTATGATAACAATGTGTTGATGCTGATCTCGCCACCATGTACAAACTTTGTATCGGTAGGTCGAATGGCGAGGGCTTGCTGAAGTTCCCGTACTTCTAGAGGTCTTCTGGCGTGAGTCAACCAGCAGAATACCTGATGAGCGCGCTCGGCTTGCTTAGGCTTCTGTTTATTGATACGGATCATGGTCTCGCTGTAAGTCTTCGCGATCTCACCGGATAAAGCTTCGAGTGTCTCACGAAGGTCGCGTATGCTTTCCTCCTGCGACAGTGCTGTGATGTGCAGCTCAGCAACAAGAAACATTCCTTTGGTCTTTTGGCTGATCGTGTTGATGATGTCGTCACGTAAGGTAGGGTCCTCGTCCACTGCACAGCTCATGAATTCTTCGTCGTCTATCCTAGCAGCGAGAGCAGTTCTGACATCCTCATCTCGAGCTCGGATCTGCATGCATGCAGCATCTTCGAAGTGACTTTTGATGGATGGTATGTTTCGGGAGGTGATCAGGATTCGAGATTCTGGCACTAGAGTCTTGAGTTCGCGTAAGAGTGATCGTTTCTCTATCTCAGGAAATTCGTCCAGAGCATCTACGAGAATAAAGGACTTGAGAAAATGCCCGCGCATCGCCTTGAGCAGTCTGACATATTCTGTTGAGGATGGTTTTGTGGGTCCACTGTGGTATATCTTCCAGCATTCTCTCAGCTCCGTATGGATTCCAGCAGACTGTCTAGAGACCTGGGCTATCAAACTTGCCAAGAAGTTGGCAGCAGTTTGATGCTCTTGATTGTAAACACAGTACGTGTAAGCAACAGCGATATGTTCTGTGGCGCGAAGGTGCTCTAGATACTCGACAACAATGGACCTTTAAATCACGGCTACCGTCAGTACCAGAACTGGCAAAATGCAGAATTGGGCTCACATAGCTACCGATTTCCCACTTCCAGGATCTCCCGGGCACCACAACGTAGACATTGTGCCATCTAGCCATTGTTTCATGGCTTTTTCCTTGAACATCCAAAGGCAGGTTCCTTCCTTTCGCCTCTCTAAGGAAGCATGGTGACGGTTCGTAAATGTCGATGGCGAGAGCGTATTCAGCCACATCAAGATAGTGTTCCTTTCTTCATGGGCGGCGCGGTTCTTCTCGGCGGCCTGGATACTATCGATGCTAGGAATCAAAGCCTGAGTGATTTGTTGCTCGACTTCTTCTGTTTTCTGATAGGATCGCAATGAGATGTCCATCTGCAGAATCGCCATAGCCTCGGTCAGATCTGCGCGGATGTCGGAGACAGTGGCCTTGATCTCCAGCAGTGTTGTCTTCTCAAACGGATATTGAAGGCGATGGCTGATTTCTTTCAGACGTCCAACCTTGTCCTGAGGATCACTCTCTTTGAATTTGTGGAGCTTCAGTTGTAAGCTGTTGATGGCGCTCGAACACTGGCTGATGCAGCGCCCAACTTGATCGGTATCCTTGCCGTGGAGTTGAGCACGCTCGATCTTGTGGTGTATAGCTTCAAACATGCCTGTGATTCGGTGTAGAGATTCACACATATTCGAGACATCTTGAGGAGAGCTCTTCCACGACTTGTAGTACTTTACCATCCCCTTACAGACTTCGATACCAAGGGAGACGACGCCAACAGGATCAACCATCTTGCTTGACAGAAAACAGAAGTAGATGAGACGAGCCTAAAGGTCAGAGCTAGAAGCTAGAGGTAATCAGCAGTCAGCCCAGCTTTATCTTAAGGCTTCATGCTCAGCCTTACACACAGATGCTTGCTGGTGACGGTTTCCCCGCTTTCATCCCGAGGCGACACATTGACATGTCGACCTGCGCGCCTTATCTTCCTGTACGCCAACACCAGAAGACACGAGTCTGGAGTTATCATTGGATAGGTTAGCGCTCTTGGCGAATTCGACCATCCAACCACGAAAAGAGCCGTCAAAGCCCTACTCGGGAGGGATCCATTGCATGAACAGTAGCAGGCAGTGCAGATTGTGCCGCAAAGGATGCACGCACTAACCCCATTCTAGCCAATGGTTCTACCATCAGCAGCCATACTAAGAGCTGTGCAATCTATGGCCAGCACAATTCAAGTTCTGCACCAAAACCCGAACAGCCAATGACAGTCTGTTGTTTGACGTTTCTTGCGTTGCTGTCGCAAGACATGGATGTGTTGAAGTTGCTCGGAGAGACCGTATGGGTGCTCGGGTCTTGGATGTCATGGCTTCGATTCGAGAACCTTTGTGCATTGCGACATGTCGAACAAAAAGTCATCCGGGTAGACGACGTCACTGACTGTCCACTTTCCATCGGCAAGAGCTTGTCGAGAAATTTCTCAAAAGACGAGCAGCACAAGCTCAATGAGCTCAATAATCAGACAAAAGTAGCGACCCAAACATCCATACTCCTCACCCCCTTCCGACCCCCTTGCACACCATGCAGACTCGCTTCACACGCATCTCTCAACGCAAACACAACACCCTTTTCCCTATCATCACCTACAGACTCCTCAACTTGCTTTTCGAAAGACGAAGCGAGGCAAGCACCCACTTCCCACTGTCCATCCAACAAACCATCTCCAGCTTGCACGTAACTCTCACTTTCCAGCTGCCACCCAGCAGCGACAGCTAACTCGGTCAGTCGCTTCGGACTGAGTACTGTGCGAACATTTGATGTGCTTTCTGGTTTGCGGCACTCCAGCGCTGCTTGTGCCAGTGCGGCGAGGACATGAGGTTGAGCGGAGGAGTGGCAAGCAACCAACGACCACTCTGCAAGAAGCAATCGCTTGCTATATTGTTTGAGGGCGCGGAAGGTATCAAGGATAAGCGCCGGTGAAGGGAAGTACCACAGACTATGCGCGAGAATCGCCGCATCGAATTTGGTGTGGTTGGCAGAAAGGTATTCCAGCGGTGATTGTTGAATCCATATTATTCGACCACCCAGTGGTCCGTTGGAGATGTGGTTTTGTGCTTGTCCGAGCGTATATGGTGATCCTGTGTTTTTGTCAGTTCAGCTATGTTACTGATATTGTAGAACGGCAATATACCATAATCCAAACTCGCCGGGTCGACCGCGACCACTTTACCATCTTCGCCGACAGCATGGGCAAGTACAGTCGTGCAGTCGCCCTGCCCGCATCCTAGTTCCAATACTCTCGAGCCAGCAGATATGTTCCAGTTTTTCAGGATCTCCAAGCGATGAAGAGTCTGTGAGTGCTGAATACCAAAGTGCTTGGGGTCGTGCAATGAGAGGCGTGCGATAGATTGGGCGTCAAGATCGGTGGACATGATGTACTAGTTGCTTCCTACTAGGTAAGGATTACTGAAGTTCATATATGTTCATCGCCTTGTAAAGCTAAGTACGGTTGACCATCTGAAGTGAGTCAGAAACAGTGATAGAAGTCGGTCGCCCGGATAGGAAGGTAGCTAAAGTGGGGGAATGGAAGTGGCGCAAGCAGCTTGACCACCACACAATTTTCATTGACAACAACCACAATTTTCTTCACTACCTCTCTTCAACTCAAGAGTCAATCAGTGTCCGAGATTCTGGTCTTTGGAAACTTCTTCTTCCAGTTCTAATCTTACGGCTCCTGCTACGGTATTAGAGAAGCCGATAAGGTTCGTAATACCCATTTCCTATAGCTAACTTCCGATTAATCCTTTCCGGCTTGTCCTCGTCTCTTTGTATCCGCAAAAGCGTAGATATAGCACTGCAACATAGACCTAATCCCTTTACTCCTATATCTCCCGCTATTCGTTATCCCCAGAGGAGACGGTTGTTCGGCTACATTACGATAGAACGCTACTAGCGTACAATCATTCCAAGGTTAGGTGTCGTCCTCTAGGGTTTCTAGGCATGCGTTTTGTTAAGTCCCGTAAGCAAGGACCCTACGCCACCAAAAATTAGCGTATAACGGCATATTAGACTAGGCGGAGAAGAAGAATTAGCCTATCGAGGCTTTACGTACATACTACTACTATACCACTGTTATTAAAGTCGTTATGGCGGACTTATAAGCATTAACTATTGTGCTAACTTAGTTGTTTACCCTGCCCTCGTTAAGGGAGACATTTAGCGAGGGCTCGAGCTTACTACTATAGCCTCTAGCGACCCCTTAAAACGCGTAATATCGTCCTTCTTTTTTAATCGGATCGAGCGCTCCTTCGCTTCCTATATTCGACTTTACTTAGCAGTTAGATAAAGAGAACAAAGCACCTAGTAGACTAACTCCTACACTATTAGGCCGGAAGAGGAAGGTAACGGTAGCTAATAAACTAAGTCGGAAGAAGGGAAAGGGAATTGTGCATGTCTCTAATACTAAGGCGCTAACTAAGGACGAAGCTAATGTCGTTATTAACTTCTACGTCGACGTTAAGTAGAAGGCTAATATTAGCAATAAGAAAGCGATAAGTCGACCTAAGAAGGATTACTATGTTAGATTAGTAGTTAAGTTTGCCTTGTTTAGATACTTACTTAATAAGCTATATAAGGTAGCTATCGACAAGTTAGCAGTAGAGGCGGTTAGCTTAGCGCGCGGAGAACTCTTAAATGTTACCCTAACTGCTAGCTGCCGTTAACTTAGTAAAAAATCGTATATTGTCGAAGAGGGATCCTTCTCTAATTACTTTAACGTAGACTAGCTACTAGTCTATAAGTTTATAGTGTTCTATAAGCGAGATTAGAGGAAGAAGAAGAAGGCGCAGAAGTCTTTTAAACTATTAAGAATTATGCTCGAAGTCGTCTTTAACTTTAGTAAGGTTAAAGAGGCTAAGGTAAATAAAGGATCCGCGACATATAAGGAGAACAACTCGAGGGTAGGAACTGTCGCTAATGAGCTAAATATGCGTAATGTTACCGCCTCGGAGATTACTAATAGTAACGCCTACAACTGTAATAGCGAAGACACCTAGTACTATATTAGTCTATAGTAAGAGCACTTTAAGATTAAGAATATACATCTATCGGCATAGGCGGATGCGCTACGTAATTAAGAACCTAGTATGTCGAAGAAGGTGCTACCGTAGTCTATTATTATAGTAATAAAGTAGCTCGTAAATGTAGAGAAGGAGAAGAAAGAGAGGATAGGTAGGTTATCGTCCTTTTAAGTGCCGCCCTTACCATCTTCGTAACCTATCTAGATATTTAACAACTTTAGTCTATCTCTATCGTAGAACGAGAGCTTAGATAGAGGGATAAGATACTTACTACCTATTACCCTCGAGGGTTTTAGTCTCGACGGGGCATTACGCTAGTATTTTAATTAGCTAGACCTTAGGTTAACCGACGAGGGATAGCGACGTAACTTCGAAGATGCGTATTAGAAGCTATTTAATGCGCGCCTAACAGTAGAAGAGGTAAAGAAGAAGGATACTAGATAGTTTACGTCCTAGGAGGTGCTAGAGGGGGTTGCTTTAACCGTAATATTAAGCGTATTAGAGTAGAAGAAGGTAGTTATTAAGAGGGCAGCAAAAGAGGCCGCTAAGAAGGCGTATATAGAGACTAAGATAATTAATGTCGTCGATATAGAGGACGAGTTGAATTAGCTCGTAGATTCTATAGATTCTATGGTTTCTAAAGGCTTAGCGCGTTAAAGTTAATAAAATTGTCTAAGTTCGAACTACTTAGCTACTAACTACTTGATTTATTTACCTCTAAATAATAACCTTCTACTTCTTACTAACCTAATGCCTTAAAGTGCTTCCTTGCTCTATTAACGTCGTTACTATAGTAGTTAACAATGTAACGTAAGTACCTTCTAAAATCCTTACGAGGGTCGTCTAGAAATCGCACCTAGTGCTTCTTTAAGGCCTTCTTAATGTCGCCGAACAGCTCCTCGATAGGGTTTAAATCTAGTAAATACGGCAGTAGGAACTTAAGGCGCACGCTAGCAGTAGTCGCTAATAGATAGAGTATGTTAGGTCGATAGAACGAGGCATTATCTATAATAATTACTAACCGAGGCGTAGGGAACTGTCCGCATTAAGGAAGTAGTATGTTCTTAAACTAGTCCTTAAAGAATTTACCGTCCGTCGTGCCTAGGTAAATCTTTATATAAGGCATTAACCCATTAACTATATAGGTAGGCAAGATCTAATATCGCTGTTCCCTCGCAAGCAATTCCTTATACGCCGTAATAATACCTTAAGGTAACTACCTATATCGCCGAGAGATGCTAGACCTATTATAACCGCTCTCATCGACAAATATTAGGTGTTTAGGAAGGTACTACGTCATCCGACCCTAGTATTCGGATCTTTAGGTAGCACTCCGCTAGAGAGCGACCTTCTTAAGTATACGCTTGTTCTACTTCGATTCCTTAAGTCTCTACGATACGGTTAACTTACAGACGAGGACTCCGAACTCATTAAATAACTACTAGATCATCTCGGCAATAATAGAAGCTAGCTTCTAAATAAGGAACTCGAACAACATAGTTATAAGGAAGGCATTAAGAAGGTAAAGCGGTCCTCTTCTTATGCGAGGAGGGGTAGTTATCTTCTATTACTAAAGGGTCTTAATCGTCCTTTAAACTGTACGTATGGTCGTCGATGCTAGAGTAGCAATCTTATAGTTGTCCTTAACACTAAGCTCCTAATAGAGCTAAATAATGTTCTTCTGCCTCTACGTAATGTTACGCGGCATGGTAGAGGTAATTAATAGAAGGTACGTACGTTAGGAAGCAAGAAGATGTCTAATTTGTCTATAGTATCTAACTACATTAGGTATACGCTAATTTAGTAAGGACGGGTGTGCGGGCGGGGTATCTTAACAAAATCCGGCCTCCGAGGCCACCTGCGACGACACCTAACCTTGGAATGATTGTAGAACTACATAGTACGGTTGATTAGATTGTTAAGAGTCCGAACCTTAGACCTTTAGGATGACCCTTTATAGTGCATCAGTTGCACTCGGTTTTAACAAATCTCGTGGTCCGCGTAACACGCGTCCAATCTTGCTAATACTCTTCCAATAAACCTAAGCTATAATAAGTGAAGAGTCTTTGAAAAAAAACAAAACGAAAAGAAATAAAAGAAAATAAAAAATAGAAATCACAGTCTCACGGCTGAAAAGACAAGAATGACTGGTGATCACACAAGAGCCTGTACAAAAGAAGAGATTTGGTGATCGAAAGTTGCAAAACACATGACATTTGGAATTTGGTATATCGGAAACATTCTTTCCCTGCAAACCCCAGACCTAAACGCCAACACCTTTGCCCGCTTACCCGGCTTCCTGTCTCCATTAAATCAGAGCTTGTAAACAATACCTCCAGAAAACATGATCTTGTTTCTCTCATTCAATTCCACCAACGCGGCTTCCGCCTCTTCATCTCCAAACACTTCCACCCCGCTGCCCAATCTAGCATTCACAGCTTCCACAACCCGAGCTTGCTCGGCAGCATCGTCTTTGAACAATTCAGTGTCGAGGAGTTTGCCCAGTGCCTCTTGGAAGACTGTTGATCTTTTGTCGGAGATGGGCTGTTTTGCTTCGGGTTGCGATTCCGGTGCCGCGGATTGCGATTGTGAATCCAACAATTGCGACGCCGGTCGTGAAGAAGCAAGTGAGAATTGCGAAGACGATGGTGGAGGTGCTGAATCCTTTGTTTGCGTGTTTCTCGTACGCGTAGTCCTTGGTGTGGCTGAATACAACTCTTCATCATCTTCCTCGGGCAAAGCGCCAGAAGCAGTGTGGTCCTCATCATCAGCAGCAGCAGGGGTTCTTCTTGCATTCCGTCTGGAAGCAGCAGTGCCACTTCTCCTGGCTGAAGATCTGTTGGTGGTGGTTGCGTCCATGTCTCCATCGTCGTCTTCGGAGTCATCGTCAGAGGATAGAGGTTCAGTGGTCGCGCGTGTCTTTCTGCGTTTCCTGCGTTCGTCCTCGGCAACTTCTTTGAAGAGAGCGAAACGAAGAATTCCTTCTGCGACTTCGGCGTCCTTTTGTTCAACACGATTGGAAAGGCGGGATTTGGCATGCGCGGTACTCAAACGGATCAGCGTCTCAAGCGTACGCGCAGTCATGGGAGAAGTCTTGCGCTGGTTGCTCTCAATCTCATCATTTCGAAGAGATGAATAAGTAGCGATGATGTGGTTAGCAGCGCCAGAAGTGAGGATGGGCTTGACTCTGGACTTGGCGTATTGAATGTACTTCTTGATGAATGGAATGCTGAGGACTTCGACTTTGCGGCCTGATCCACGACCTACGGTGACTGTGACACCAGCGTGCAGCATGACGTTGAATTTTTCGTAGACTTCGGAGGTCTTGTCTGTGTCTGCCTCTTCTTCGAGACCGACGCCGAGGGATTGGGTCGCTTGTTCGCGGACTGGAGCACCTTCTTCAGTGCCTGGTTGACGGTATCTGTGCATTCGGAGGACGTGCTCTGAGACTTGTCTGTCTCTGACGTCTTCGATGTCGTCTGTGACGATGAACAGCAAATCGAAACGTGAGAGGAGTGAATCTGGCAAGGCAATATTGCGGTGAGGATCTTTGTGGGTGTCGTATTGGCCGTAGATGGGGTTGGCAGCTGCGACGACTGAACAGCGGGCGTTGAGAGAAGTGTGAATACCAGCCTTTGCGATGGTGACGGTCTGTTGTTCCATGACTTCGTGAATAGCGACACGATCGACATCAGACATCTTGTCGAACTCATCGATACAGACGACACCACGATCTGCGAGGACCATAGCACCGGCCTCGAGCCTGCGCTCACCAGTCTCCTTGTCCGAAGTGACTGCAGCTGTCAAACCAACACCAGAAGAACCACGACCAGTGGTGGCAATAGCCAGAGGAGCAGTGTTCAGAACGAAGCGCAGAAGTTGAGATTTTGCGGTCGACGGATCACCGACCATGAGAATGTTGATGTCTCCTCTCAAATGTGTTCCGTTGTCCAGATTCTTCTCCATACCACCGAGAAGCATAAGCAGGATAGCCTTCTTGATGTAGTCGTGTCCGTAGATGCTGGGCGCTAAAGACTGTGAGAGCAGCTCAAAGACTTTGCGCTGTTTTGAGATTCTGTTGATGTTTCTGATATCCGTGTCGGTGATTGTGGCTTGGGCGATGCCGCCGCCAGATTTTGATGAAAGGAGAATGATGTTGTTCGCAAGGACCAGTGTACGGAAAGTCGAGCTTCCGGCGCCTGCGTTGCGGTTTCCGAGGGATCTGTAGATACCGACCAGCTGAATACGGTCACCAGGCTTCACCTTGTCGACCATGTCGTCGTCCATGATGACATCGACACTTCTCGGTAGTTGACCTGCAGGAGCGCGTTCGGGCATTTCCTGGATCGAGATAGTCTGGTGGTCGCGGTATGTGCTGAAGCCGTATTCTGTGACTAGCGGGTTGCCTTCATCGTCCTCGGTGGGGTAGACACTGGAGCTGGCGGCGCCGTTCATTGTCATGGTCTGATCTCTGTATTCGCGGAAGTGGAATGACGTCTTGTTCTCGTTATAATGCACACTCTTGACGACCTTCGGGCGGACGAGCGAGCATTTTGTGACGATGCCTTCGAGTGACACCATGTGGTTGAGGTGGACGGAGCTTAATGTGCGAGGGTTGGTAGCGAATTCTCCGAAGCTGCCAAAGAAGGCGCAGTAGTACATGGTGTCTTCTGCCGTCTCGTGCGGCGGTCTGCCGGGTAATGTGTTGACAATGTTCTTGACGGCGCGGTCGAAGGCTTGGGAAAAGTCAAAGGGCTGGTTGAGAATGCCCTCGGCCATCTCTCTGCTGTGTGCGCGAATCTCGTCCAGAGATACAGGCAGTCGCCGTGATGAGCGGCCGAGCATGACCATGATCTCTGCTCTGTAACTACGTGCTCGGGGGTCATCTGTTGACGCAACATCAGTAATTGCTTGGGGACATTGATGAGCAGCAGCATCATACTTGGGTCGAGGAACTCCTCAGCCGCTCTGATGCGGTCGCGAACGGCCTCATCTCTTAGTTGTAGTCCGTCCATGATGTGATGTGTGATTTGTGTCTAATTGATGGTAGAAGTTGTTTCTGTTGTTTACCCACCCTCGATTTCCTTCTCCACGTCCGAGGGGCTTGTGCGCGTTGATTGTCGTGTCACCGCGTAAAGTGCTCACACTGTCTTGGCAGGGAAGTCCAAGATCAGATTAGATATGAGATGAGATAAGAGAGCGGAAAACGGGCATATCAGGATCGACAAATCACAGGCCACCACGCGCTGTGTGATGTCAAAAAGGCTTTTCGGGGATCTTCGTTCCTTCCCCCAAGCCTGCGCGCCTGCATGTTGCAGCAAAGAGTGACCGCATGCGCGTGCGACAAAAGTCACGCTCACCGCTCGAGTTACTCATCGTGCATGTCGGCCATGCTGCTGTAGACTCTTCTTGCTTCCTACAAGCATGCCGTCGACGCTCATCGTGCATCTGTCGCTTCTTCGCAACTTGCTTTTCTAACGACTTCCTTCTTGCACGCCTGTTACGACTCACGATTTCACGACCCACTCGCGCGTTGCTGCCTGCTTCTTTCGGTCGCTCTATTCATTTAGTCCGTGAAGGTCACTCGACTACTGTGACTATCGACTGCAGTGCTGCCTTATAGTCCACCAATCGCCCGCCCTGGCCGCGTGTATATATGATACTCGCTATATCCTGAGTTGCTCACCCTGCCCATCTTAACCTGCTTTTCTTGCTGCAGCAGATCGTCGCTGTCACAAAGTCAAAAGCCGCACCTTGCAGCAGAGCACTACCTATCTATAACGAAGGTGCATCATAATCAAACAAAGACAAGGGGTCTTGACTTACTCCTGTCTTACTTGCATTCCAAGCTGTCTCAGCTTTGCATTTATAACCCTTGATTTCCGCCCGACTTGAGGACTTCATTCACACAATGGCTTCACCTCAGTCAGAGGCCGAGCAGAAGGAAGCCTATCAGTATTGGGGCTACCTCTTCAAGCAAGATAGGACCGGCACTGATATGCTCAAGAATCTACTGCGAGGACTACACAAGACTATAGTGAGTCTTTCGATCAACAATTCCTCTTTCCAACTAACTCCTCCCCAGATAACAACCATCGAAGCGTCCGAGTCACCAGATATAACACCCTCTCAAGTCGCCCACTTCTACCGTGCAGTCAATGGCAATTATGATCCGCTCTTCCTATCAACGCCTCCCTCGACCATCGCGTTCATTTACAAGAACCTCGGCTGCTTGCACAGTCTGCAACCCCTGGCCAACCTCGGAGACCGCTATGCCGACCCTGTAGTGCCTGCTCTCAAGGTCGAAGGATGGATCATGTGGCAGACTGTTCAACTCTTGCTTGGTCCGGATGAACACTCCGAGTTCTTGCGACAAGCAGTACAAAAGTGGGATGTCAAGAACCCGGACACTGGCGAGTCTTTCCCAAAGATCCTTCCTCGGTCATGTTTCCCGCCACATGCAGACACAAGCATGGTGGAATGGTATGAGGGAATGAGCAGCCGTCTGCGTCGTGAGGCAGAAGAGCAAGAGCGCATCCGCGTTCACCCAATTGAGGACCGACCAGACACACCAAACAACTCCAAGCATCACCGCAAGATCAGCAGATACTCTGACAACGCCCTCACCGACGACGAGTCACCCGATCACAAGAACTTTGCAATAGCATACTTCCGCGACCCTCTGTTTAGGACGGTTGACGGTCGACCAAGTGTTGCCAGAAACGGGAGCCGCCGCCGACCTCCTCTCAGTCCTCGTGACTCTTTCGTCCACCGAAGCAAGACTGTTGCTTCCGCCTTCGGCAATGTCATCAAGAATGTTGGCAGTCCACACCTATGGGACGGCCATGCTGCCGCAAAAGAAAAGGACAAGGAAAAGGACAAGGATCACCGCCGTCGCAAGAGCTTGCCCGACAAGCACCACTACCAAGACCTCGACGATGACGAAGACAGACCCCGCCAATACAGTCGTCGAGGCTCCGCTCAAGAAACTCCACCCGAACATCACCATTCTTATCATACCCACCATAACGATACCTCAAGTCGTCGTCCAAGCCCAACGTACCATGACCCAACCTCTCGCCATCGTCGACCTCATGGCCCAACGAGTCCACGAGAGTACTTTCCTCCCGTTGACGATGAAGTCAATATGCATCGTTCGAACTCTGGCACATATCTCAAACCTCGCTCGACGAGTCCACAAAAGTCTGGTTTCATGCCCTCGGTGTCTCCTTTGTTCGCCACGCATATAGCCAGGGAAGGTCACAGGACATCGTCTCGCTCTCGTCCACCTTCAGGTCGTAGTCCCGAGCGACCGGAAGTACCGAGACAGCCTGGCGATGGCAGTGGAAGTGATGTCGGTAGTAACAGAGGTTCTGCTCGAGGTGCAAGACCCAGAGTCGCGAGGTTCTCGGAGACACCTGCCGCAGGAGTGAGCAGCCGAAAGTACCCCGTCGAATCTGCCTATAGGTGATGATTTCACGCTGACGACGAACGGCGTTTTCTCCTATATTGTTGATCTGTAGTTTCTAGCGTTCTTCTCAGTAGCGAGCTATTGCATTTTGATCTTTTTTGCTTTCTTTGTTCCATGTTTCGCTGCCTGTCTCTTTCTTGGCTTGAACGTGGAAACGTGTATGCAGGGCCACCCTGTCTCTGAATATGATTGATTCTTTCTCTCGACGCAGACGCGCTCGTATGCCACTTTTGTGCCATGTAATGGATGTGCTACAACTATGACTTTGAGAACTGCGTGGGTTATATATAACTTGTCAGATCTAGCTGATCGGCGAGATGTATTGTTGCAAGCGTCAGAATCGATGTGACTCGTGCAAGGGTCCACCACGTGCTTTGTGTACAATGCTTGGTCACCGTGCCAGTACACTCACGCGCTCTTCTGTCTCTATATCTTCGTCTGCTCTATGAGTATTATCTGAATATCTTACATGCTGATACAACATCTAAATAGTTATCGCTCGTGTGAACAGTTCAATGTTACGGGAATGCGGAAATGGAAATAAAGCTGAAGCTTTGCCCTGAGGGTGTTCACGGTTGTTTCCCTCGGGCGTCACGGCAGGGGTCTTGTCTTGTCTCGTTTCACTCTCGCTTCCAGACTCGCAGCCATACATAATAATAAGCGCGGACTCCGAAGATAAGATGATGAGATGTGGCTGTGTTAATGCGTGGTTATGGCTTGATCGAGCGGTGTGCTGGCGCCGTGAGCACGAGATCTGGACCTTTTTTGCCAACTCCAAGTCTAGGGCCTTGACATGGCGCAGCAGTGTGTTTTAACAGATGTGAGCGGTGGGGTGGTCGGTGGATATCGAAATAGGGGTGGATAGAGTTTGGGATCAAAAGTGGCTGGGTGGGACTGGGAATTGTGGCTTTGCAAGCAGGAGCAAGCAAAAGAGAGTCCAGACGATGTGGGGAAATCGGGAGCTCTCGAAACTTGTTCCCTGATTCGGGGGTTTGCTTGGAAGCTTGCGTGTACTCGTGCCTTCTGCCAACTTGTGCGGCTAGACGGAGTGATTTGATCTTCTCTAACTTCTTTTCACCTTTTCCTATTCGACCGATAATCGCTATCCCTCGTTGGATTGCTATGAATGATACTGTCATTTCTGGAAACATCTAATCGCGCATTACCCTCACATTGATAGCAATCGCAGCAAACATCCCCTCACCCTGAAGCTTGAGTGGGGATTATCGCAAGCTTGCTGATAGTACGAGCATCAACAAGACACAGTCGACACCATGTTGGACGGCTTACACAATGGCCACTCCAAGGAGGAGCTGAAATCGCAAGGCGCCATTGAAGCTGCCCAAGACCCGCACTCCAAAGTCACAGCTGCAGACGCCGAGCAGAAGATCTTGGAAGAGTCGAAAAAGGGTGGAGCTGCTGCTTTCCAGTTCGACACTGATGCCTCGTCTGCCGAAAAGGCCCGTCAAGTCAAGGCTGTAAGTTTGGACGAGTGTGAAAAGACGTGAAGACAGCGACTGACTATGGTACAGCGACTGCCGCCAGAGCTGCAACACATCCGCAATCACCAGAGTGTCGCACTCGCTTCCGACCAAGACACTTCCCTCAAGCCCGCCTACGACATTCCTACCGCGCCTTTGAGTGCTCCTCTTCCATCACCAGCCAAGTCAAGTGCAGAGTCGGTCAATGGCACCGCCGAGAAAGAGGAGGACTGGGCAAAGGTTGGCTGGGCTCCTCGCTTTGGCCAACTTCCCGACAGCGCCAGCATCGATGGAAGCATGCTGGACCACCAGACCATGCTCGAAGGCAAGCTGGACGACAAGTTCTTCGGCGATTGGTACCACAACACAGGCATCATCATCTTTGCCTGTCTCTCCTCATGGGTCGTCGCCGTCCTTGGTGGAGGTCTCGGCTGGTTGTTCATCGTCATGGCCGTCTGCGGAACCTACTACCGCACCTCAATCCGCAGGGTCAGACGCAACTTCCGCGACGACGTCAACCGTGAAATGGCAAAGGCCCGTATCGAGACAGATGTCGAGTCTCTGGAATGGATCAACAGCTTCCTCGTCAAGTTCTGGCCCATCTACGCTCCTGTCATCTGTACTACAGTCGTCAGCTCCGTCGACCAGGTCTTGTCAACTTCGACTCCCGCCTTCCTTGACAGCATGCGCATGAAGTTCTTCACCCTCGGTACAAAGCCTCCTCGTCTTGAGCATGTCAAGACCTACCCCAAGGCCGAGGACGATATTGTTCTCATGGACTGGAAGTTCAGCTTCACTCCCAACGACACTGCCGACTTGACTGCTCGCCAGGTCAAGAACAAGATTAACCCAAAGATCATTCTTGAGATCCGTCTTGGTAAGGGTATGGTCAGTAAAGGAATGGACATTATCGTCGAAGACATGGCTTTCTCCGGTCTTATGCGTGTCAAGATGAAGCTGCAGATTCCTTTCCCTCACATCGAGAAGGTCGAAATCTGCTTCCTCGAACGTCCTACCATTGACTACGTCTGCAAGCCTCTTGGTGGTGATACTTTTGGTTTCGACATCAACTTCATTCCCGGCCTCGAGACATTCATCCAAGAACAAATTCACGCCAACCTTGGTCCCATGATGTACAACCCCAACGTCTTCCCTATCGAGATTGCAAAAATGCTTGCTGGAAACCCTGTCGATCAGGCCATTGGTGTCTTGCAAATCACTTTCCACGGCGCTCAAGGTCTTCGTAACCCTGACAAGTTCTCTGGCACCCCCGACCCATACTGTACTGTTTCCATCAATAACCGCGACGTCCTTGGTAAGACCAAGACTGTTCACGAGAATGCAAACCCTCGCTGGAACGAGACTGTCAATGTTGTCCTCACCAGTCTCAAGGATGCTCTGACCTTGAACGTCTTCGATTACAATGAGATTCGTAAGGATAAGGAGTTGGGTTCTGCTACTTTTGCTCTTGATCAGCTTGAGAATCAGACCGAGTTCGAGTCCCAGCACCTTGAAGTCATGGCAAACGGACGCGCTCGTGGTGTTATTCAGGCCGATATTCGTTTCTTCCCTGTTCTTGAGGGTGAGAAACTTCCTGACGGCACTGTTCAGCCTCCTCCGGAAAGTAACACTGGTATCGCCAAATTCACCATTGAAAGCGCAAAGGAGCTTGATGGTAGCAAGAGTATGATCGGTCAACTCAACCCTTACCCCGTTCTCCTTCTCAACGGAAAGGAGATTCACATTGGCAAGAAGCTCAAGAGAACAAACAACCCCATCTTCCCCGACGCCACCAAGGAACTTCTCATCACCGACCGCAAAAAGGCAAAGCTTGGTCTTGTCATCAAAGACGACAGAGATATGGCTGCTGATCCCATCATCGGCACTTATCAACTCAAGCTCGACGATATGCTTGAACTCATGAGCAGAGGTCAAGAATGGTACAATCTTGCTGGTGTCAAGACTGGTCGTGCCAAGATGTTGTTGCAATGGAAGCCTGTTGCTCTCAAGGGCGCTCTTGGTGGTTCTGGAGGTTACGTTACCCCTATCGGTGTTATGCGTCTTCATTTCCAGAACGCCCGCGACTTGCGCAACCTCGAAACTCTCGGCAAGTCTGATCCTTACATCCGCGTCATGCTCTCCGGAGTCATCAAGGCCAGGACAGTCACCTGGAAGAACAACCTCAATCCTGACTTTGACGAAGTCTTGTATATTCCTGTCCACTCTACTCGTGAAAAGCTCAGTCTCGAGGTCATGGATGAGGAGAAAATTGGCAAGGACAGATTGTTGGGTATGATTGAACTTCCTGTCTCGGATTATGCTCAACAAGACGAATCTGGCGAGTACCGCGTCGACGACACCAAGAAGGCTCTTTCTCAAAGTCTGCGTCTCGGAGCGACTGGCTCACCCAAGGGTATGCTCAACTACACTGCGTCGTTCTTCCCTACTTTGAATGTTGTCGACCCTGAAGACGAGGAGAAGGACGACAAGTCCAACTTGGGAGTTTCGGATCCCACTGTTGAACCTGCTACCCCTACTACTGATGTCGCTCCTGCTACTGGACGTGCTCGTAGTAACACTGCTGGCACTATTGGTTCTCTCAAGTCCAACCCTGCTGCTGCTGAGATGCGTCAACAACTTGCTGCCAATGAAAACAACCAAGATGATGGTCTGCCTATCAAGAAGGAGGTTCCTAAGGTTCGCATTGGAGCGGAAGATCTCGCAAACTACGAATCTGGTCTGCTCGTCTTTAAGATCCTTGATGGCGAGCTTGCTTCTCCTGGATGCCATCTCGAAGTCATCATGGATGATATGCTGTTTGCTTCATACACATCATCCAAGACTCGCTCAAAGAACTACCAGTTCAATGAAACTGGTGACGCCATGGTTCGCGAGCTTGATCTGTCCAGAATTACCCTTCGCCTTGTGGAAGAGGTTGATTCCAAGGGAGATGACGACCACGATAAACACATCAAGGCCAAACTCACTGGACAGACTCTGGAAGTGCTCAAGTCTGCTCTGTACACACCTACCAAGCTTACTCTGAAGGACAGCCAAGGTCGTGAGAGCAAGGTCACTGTCAGCTTGAAGTATCTCCCTGTCAAGATGAAGCTTGATCCTTCTGAGAGCATCAACAACCAAGGTAACCTCCGCGTCGATGTCCTCGATGCTGCTGACCTCCCTGCCGCCGACCGCAACGGCTACTCCGACCCCTACTGCAAATTCACCCTCAACGGCAAGGAGATCTTCAAGTCCAAGACCCAGAAGAAGACCCTTCACCCCGCATGGAACGAATACTTTGAAGTCCCCATCCGTTCGCGAACGGGCGCGAACTTCCAAGTCGACGTCTATGATTGGGATTTCGGCGACAAGGCAGACTTCCTCGGTAAGGCTGCCATCAATCTTGACATCCTTGAGCCCTTCCGTAGACAGGAGGTCACTCTTGGTCTTGATGGAAAGAGTGGAACCATTCGCTTAGGCATGCTCTTTAAGCCAGATTATGTCACCAGATCCCGTCAAGGCTCGTCAACATTCCACGGCACTTTCGCCGCTCCTGGAAAGATTGTCGGTGCTCCTGTAAAGGGTGTTGGCAAGGGTGCTGTCTTTGTCGGTGGAAATGTCGTCAGAGGTGCTTCGTTCCTCGGCCGCGGCTTCCGTCGCAGAAAGTCAAACGCCGAGCAGAATGATGATGAAGTTATCACTGATGATACGCCTATGCCCGCTTCTGGCATCTCCACCGGCGCCGCTTTGACTGAACAACAATCTCCCGAATACACCGTCAATGTCGAGGCACCAGGCACGCCCCACTCCCGCACCAAGAGTTTCGGCAATAACACCACTTCCCCCCACGGATCTGCGGAAACAGGTACAGCATCACTCTCCGTACTCTCCGCCTCTGGTTTCCCCGCCGGCACCAAAGTAGAAGTCAAAATCCTCCACGATGGACCTCAAGGACTCAAAGAAATCATCAAGACCAAACCTCTCAAGACCAAAGGCGAAGATGTTTCTTGGGCCGATCAACGACTCGAGAAAAAGATTTCTTGCACACCCGACTCGGGCTTCAGGATTGTGGTTTCCGATCACCATACTTTTGGCAATGGACAAGAATTGGGAGAGGCGCAATTCTTCATCGATGATCAAGGCAACGGAGGCGAGAAGGAAGTTAAAGTCGGACAAGGCACCGTTGTTGTCAGAAGCAGTTGGCGTCCTAGCACTGTCGGATCGGATACCGCATCTATGCTTGGCTCCATCCGTGGAAGTCCCGGCGGTGCTAACCTGAATGCTGGTGGCAGCATCGGACGCAGAAGTTTCATGGGAAGGAGGGAAAGAAGTGTTACACCTTCTGCTCCTGGTGCTGGTCAACAGCAATCTTAGAAGGAAAGGATGCAAATGCATGGGCATGTTGGTATGGAGGGTGTGAGAGGGTTGAGGAAAGTCAGTGGAGATGGCTTGCGTAAAGCCAGTTTTGGGAGTTTGAGACGGATGAGTGGGACGAGGATTAATGAATTTGGACTGAGGGCGAGAGGCAGGAGTCCAGCTAGTGTTACTGGGGAGGAGGGGATGGCTAGTTTGGATCGTCTTGTGAGTCCTGGGGTCAGCCCCGATGGAGGTGATGGTGTGGGCCAGAAGTGAGAAGCAGAGGGAGTGAGAATGGGAGTGAGAATGGGAGTGAGAAATGGAGTGAGAGTGCGAGTGGGAGTCAGAAGATGAGAAGAGGCGTTCTTGGGTCGTGATTGTTTCCTATCACTTTTCTTTTCTTTTCTTTTCTTGCGACTATGATACCAGAAGCCCTTTCGAAATGCCTATTTATGTTATCTTCCACCCGATCATGAAAGAAAATCCTCTGCAATCGTCGTCTTCTCTTTATACTAGCCGTTTCTTGTTCGTTTTATACCTAACTCTCTAGTCTTATCTTAAAAAGGACAAGAATTGCATGCCTATGCTTTTTACCATCGAGTAGCTCTATAATAGCAAGCGACGGTAAAGATATAGAGCACTTTTTCTCTTAAGGCGTAGGTTAGTATTAATTTTCTCCCCCTCTTTTTTTTCTTTCTAGACTTAGGGGTAGAAATGTAAGGCATATAAGTGGGAATTGGTTATGTAGCTAGATGGATTTGATGTAGTTAATATGTTTATAGGATACCCTTCGCGATAGGCAGATATAGTTAGACGGCTGCCGAACCTCCTCTAGCCTGTTGTTCCATTCTGAAATGTGTCTACGATGCCTGAGCCTTAGTCACATCTCTGTTACGATGGGGCATTGGATTCCTGCTAACGTCCGTGGTAGGAATAGCTCTGGTCTCGGGAACCTCTGGATAACAAGTCAGATAGTGTTCCACTGGAATCGGTCGAGTATTGACTTACGAGCCGGTGCCATATCCGCATTGTCCTGCTCGATTGTACGTTGTAGCTGCTTCTCTTGCGTCTTGAAGTCTTCGGATGTGGTCTTTCGTTCGTCCAGTAGAGGGATACGATTGCTTTCTTTTGATTTTGGTCCCGAGTGTCCGAGTTGCTGCCACCAACGACAAGGATATACGGTCACAGTGACCTTCAGCTTGAGAGACTTTTTGGGTGTCGAAATAGACCTTGGTGGTTCTTGAGGTACCGGCTGTTCAGGGCTCGGCGAGATTTTAGACAGCGGTCGATCAGACCCCTGGAGGTCTCCAGATGCCAGCGGATCAGGCCTCGGGGTATCTCCAGAGCCTTGAGCAGTCTGAACAGGAGGCAAACCCGTACACTTGAGAGTGAGCGCGCCAACACGTCTTCTACTCGCATCAGAATGGTCTCCATTGGATTCCCACCTAAACTCGGCTACCCTCGGTATGTTTTGTTCGGTGGAGGGAGTGCCGGCCTTGAAGACCCAGCGACGTCTCTCGGTCGTACTGGTATTCCTCTCGTTCAAATGGCCACGTAGACCGAGTGACGTACCGAGAGCTCCAGCATTGATCTCAGGATCTGTCTGATGTCTTTCCTCGATGAGAACATCCTGCGATAATCCGGTTATACCGTTTCTGGGCGCAAAGTCCTTTAGGGTGATCGAGGAAATGGTTTCATCGCAAGGGGTCCCTACATCAATCTCGACGGTGGCCAGCTCGAACCTCGCATTTCCTCGCAAGATATCAAATTCGAAATAGAGGAGGGCCAGAGTTTTCGAGATCTGATCGTCGGCGGCCCACTTGAACTCTTCTGCTTTGAAGGTACACCGCACGTCGATGTTGCCTCTCCGCTGTCCAAGACTTTGATCATCTTCGCTCGGTTCGCCGAAGTCCCCCAAGTCACGCTGAACACGCGATCGACTGAATGTGCCCCAAGGCATGTGTGTGAGCTGTATGGATCGAAATCTGACAATGTTGACTGGCACTGGGAGCTTACGACTTGATTGTTATCACCAACCGAGCCAGACCGTGACCCCTCTTCGCCACTGGCGGGATGTTCAAACCTTATGTACACCGCTCATTCATCTCGATAGCAAGCGTGAGGAGAACAACCACGGATGACCCATGTCATTGTCACCACGCCATGAACGTCGCTGAATCTAGACATGTACGTGAGAGCTGAACGAGGCGTCGTCGGGATGTGGAAGGCACCCCCGCCCGCGTCCGAGACTCAGCCGCTCACGGCTCCAGAACCCCTCAGCATTTTGGTTCTTGCGTCGAGCATTTATCGACATCCGATTCGATGTACGCCGTAGAAGAACAAATTTGCTTACTCTCCAGAGCCGCTGAACTAGCAGGGACGAAATTATCCCAGGCATATCTCTGCAATCAGAAGTTTCTCAGCTAACGAAAGAGCTTCTCCAGCCACCGGAAATCCTTCAGGAGTCGCACCCCGCGTCCAGCTGATGCTGCAAGGAAATCGATAGTCGCCTGCGGGCGCACCTACTTCAACCCATGCTGGAATGTCTTCAGCCGTAATTCTCGTGCTGTCCGACCTCAGCGATGGACATTCTCTTATTCTCAACAAGGCCGTCCCCAAGGACGAGCTGTTGTTCTTGATCTCTTCACACCTAATTATCCCAGAAAAACAAACACGGTTCATCATCTGCAAGTGCTTCCTCAGTTGTTGATCTAGCTCGAGATGGCGAAAGACCACAGTACGACGCCGTCAACGAATATTGAAATCTTTGACGAGTGCATGGAATTCTCCTTCGAATTCGAGAGCATTAGCGAGGCTGTTGAAGACGTCGCTCGCTTCAGCACGGCAGGACGCTTTGCTAGTGCTCGCAAGATATCAACCGAGTCATTGGAGAGCAACATGCACGTTTTTCCAATCGGCTTCGAAGTCTTGCGGCTACTATATGACCAGGGTCAACACAAGACCTTGCATGACATTATTCATCAAGGAACGTTCTACAAGAAATGGTCGAATCAAGAGAAAAACATTGTTTCTCTTATGAAGTTTGTGGCCATGAGCTCGATTTATGCCGACACTAGATACGTCTTCCACGAATTGAAACCGAGCGTCATTGTCGCTTCGAGCCTTGAGAAGATCAGTATCGGGGACATGAGCACTGAGAACGTAAGTCTTGCTTGGGGGAAAGTAACCTTCTCATGCACTAACGTCTCGATAGATGATCGAGACAGTACTGCTGTTGAGATTATTGTATTTCAGTCATGAGGTACGACAGCAAATACCTCCCAGGAAGTTTTCCGTGTTGGGCGGAGAAGCTCCCTCAACTGTAGTTTCATGGTTCCTCCAGAAAGAGTATTTCTGGGCCGCCGAGGATGTACTCCATGTTTGTTTCCGACGGTCCAAAGTTGGAATGCATGAAATCAAGCTACCCGAAATCTGGTCCGCCATCGAGTGGTTTCTTAGCAATACAGACGACGAACGCCGGATCTGGGCACAGTTCTCGATTCTTCAGACCTTCTGTGAAGGCTGTCTTTGTCAAGGACTCCTCAACCCTGATTCAGATGGATCCGAGACGCCGTCGCCATGGAATCGACGCCTAAACGATCTGACTCTGCTCGTCATGAAACTTGAAGCCAAAGCCCAAGAGAATGAATGGAAAGGCTCTCGAGCCACAATTCGCCACGATCTTCTCCAATTAGATTGGGCGCTATGGCAACGTCTTGCGGAAGGAACTTTGTCAGTCGAGAGCGAGACGTTAAGGGAGCTGTACGAGCTCAACGGCCAGGCTCAGCGAAATCAGGATGATCGTTTGCAGTCTGGTATACAGTGGAGAATTGAGGTTCTTGCAAACTCCATCGATCCTGATACTATAGCCAGCACCAGTGGCTTAATTGAAGTACCGATGCAGATATACACAACTCGACAGAAGATGATTCAGCGTCTGGATCCTACTGAACGACGAAGATTTATACATGGATCTCGGAAAATTTCTGGTCTACTAGCTGAACAGATCGATAAGGCCATCCCCGAGGATGAGGAACCATCTGCATCAACCGCTCTGGAGCCCACCAGGATCCGCAAAACAATTCTCTTGCTTGGAAAGACTGGTACGGGTAAATCAACACTACTTCGTACCATCACGGGCAAATATGCTGCAACCACTAATCACAAGTCGACCACCAGTGGAATCCAGAAAGAAAGTTGCATTAGGGCCGATGGTGCCTTGTTGCAGGTCATTGATACCCCAGGTTTCGAGGACCCCGAGGTATCTGATTACAATACTTTCGAGCGCATTTGCAAGTTCTTGCGAGAGGACTATCTCGCAGCTCGACCGCTTGATTGCCTGTTCTATCTTATTGATATCTCTAGCAACAGGATTACAGCATCAGAAATCAGGCAAGCCAAGACCTTGAAGAGCCTTGTCGGGGAGAACAACTGGGATCATGTGTACTTTATCTTCACACGGGGCATCACCGATGCTGGGGACGACGATGAATTACTTCGCAAGAAGGAACACCAAGACGGAATGGAGAAACGATATCGTAGAGAGATATTCGGGGATGCGGCGAGAAAAGGTGCGCGATTCATTCACGTAGGGTTAGATTTCGGGGACAGAAAAGAGCTTGAAGAACTTGTAGGGAAGCGGAGGGTGTCTCCTCAAAGGGAAGGTGGGTTCATCGACAACCCCATCGACGAGGATGACCAAGAGACTGAGCTTCTGGGAGAGGAGTTGAGCACGAGCGTAAGGAAGAACGCGCATCGTCCGGCTAGTTACGCCCAAGGTATGTCAGATAGCCAGGATAGATAGCCACGTGTATCTCTAGGAGAATTGCTAACGAGAATCAGTGGATACCATGATATCGGCGGTACTCAAGATCAAGACCCCGGTCGTGTTTGAGTGTCAGCACGAGATGTGTAGGCTTGATCGTCCATTCATGAAGACGCAGGTGGCGCTCAGTTTCGAAACTCAGACTAGGAACGAGTACGATACTGCCACGATTGATGCTGCACACTACAAGCTGGAGAGGGAAAAGGCTGAAGCACAAAGGGCAACTGCCGTGAAAGAGCTCGAAGAGGACACGACTCACACCACGGAAGAGCGACAAAAGATTGCGGAACTTGACGCTGATATCGCAGACCTTGACTTGTGGACAGAAGAAGTGGAAGCAGTACGCAGACAGCTTGAAAAGGATATCAGTGCGATCGAAGCTTCCGCTGGATGGACTCCCCGGCTCATCGTCTATAATAGCACTGACACTGACCTTCATCTTCGTGCGTTTCCTTCTGGGCTTCTACCAGGTCTGATCGCGAAATTCGAAAACAAGGTACAGTCCAAGAAGTTCAGAGCAATTCACTGCACACCAGGTCAGTATCGTCTCGAAGCCTTTCTGGGTATGTCGGGCAACGAGATCACCAAAAGTAGTGTGTCATCTGTCACCTCAGGAATTATTGGTACTCTCGCCGTCGGGAGCCCCTTGCATACCGCAATCGCCGCCAGCGTGGCCTCGTTTGCAGCGTCGAACATTGTGCGTGCAATATGGAATGCTCGTCAAAACGAACATTTCCGCTCACAGGTGCTGGAAAACGAGACTGGGTCCGTCACCATCTCCTCATCCATTCCGGTCGAAGACCTGGACCCAAGAATTAAGACCCAGATGATCATCATGGAGGCAACACGCAAAGGAGAGGTCATCTGCATCTTCAAGAGCGACTCATTTGATTTAATCAAGTGCACTCGTCTGGAAATTGTCGGCGGTCCCTCGCGGAAGGACCAAGGCCCCGTCACTGAATACAAGTTCGACGGCTCTACCCGAGAGATGAGTGTACATCGCGTCGATCTGTACGCATAAGATGGGATTATATGAGTAGATGTGTTGTCTCCATCATTTATCCTGTACGTCCAAAGTCTCTAGGACCTGCTCCTAGGATGGGACGCTGAATATGGTCATGCAAGGACGCAACCACCGCCTTTTGATCGTGTCAAGATATCTTTCAATGAATTTTCAGCGATCAAATAATAACAGAAGTTTAGCCACCATTGTGATATTAATTTTTGAAGTCGTCGAATTAGCTCAACACTGCCAGGACTACCTTCGTCGTTGCTAGTGTACTCGGATACGGTGCATCATGTGCCAAGACCGACCCTGAGGCTGGAGAGGGGGTCTTAGCATCGCGCCAGAAGTATGGACGCCAACACCTTAACGATGGTGCTAGCTTTCGTAACCGTGGCCAAGACACTAATTCTTAGTCCCTCGCTAAGGCTTCAGGCACTCACAGGGTTCGTGGTAGTATTCTCAACGTACACACCTTTCTAAGCGTACATTCTAATGGGCGATTTCCCCAGGTAGAAGCCCGATCTTATTAACAGATCGACCCGGATTTTATAGGAAATCCACATAGATATGCCTGCGGATTTGTATGGCAGAAATCTACACATTCAACCATATATATTTCTACCTCCACCTATCGGATTTTTGTCGCAAAAGAGGGGTTTTGTAGCGCGGAGCCGGCGCTATTCAAATCTGAATTTTGGTCAGATTATTTTATGGTTGTCCTATTGAAAACACCTTTATACGTTCAGAAAGGTGTGTACGCTTAGAATACCGCCACGAACTCTGTAAGTGTCTGAAGCTTTAGCGAAGAACTAATTCATTAGTGCCTTGGCCACGGTTAGGTCGCCAACGCGTGCCTGCTTAATCCGAGCTTCACGTCGAGCTATAACGCTCGCAAGGGTGGATTAATTTGTAGGAGGATATGATAGAAACATGTGCAAAATCGGGCTTGGCTGCACATTCTCGCCGTCGGATGTTAGATCCCCCTACGTATCAATACCCCCCTGCGCGCGTCAGAGAAGCTGTGCCTGTTGATCGGATTAAGTCGAAGCAGTTGCGTTGACGAAGCGCTTGAGACGCGAGATGCGGCACGTGCAGCTGACAGGATTCCTAGCCCAAAACCCGGGAACATCATCAGGAAGGCTTCCTATTTCATCGCTTTCTGCTCCTCATAGTTGTTCCTCTTTCCCGCGGCACGCGTTAGTCCGTCGGTTCAAATCCCTACTTCTACTGTTGAGTTCGTTACTCTACCGGCAGGAATTACGCTTGCAGTCATGGATCTAACTATATGCAGTTTCGTCTATTTTCCACGTGATGGAGTCATGCCTTTTTAGGGGTGGACACCCGTCAAAGCCAAGGGTCCAGAAAACTGGTTCGGGAGCCAAGGGCCAAGGCGGGGGGCAACCCTGAGAAGATATCTATAACAGCTTATGGACTGTCACTGACCAATTTACCCTTCCCAAACTCCTTTTCTCTTCCTTTATAGCGACAAAGACAACACACAAAGTCGTATTACACGACTTCATGCGACCCCAGATCATTGCTAGCCTCCTGAAGAATCCAGGCCCAATTTGGAAGCCAGAGACTTTTCGCAACCGCACGCAGCTTGCCATCTTTGCCTCGCAAACTACGATAGGCCCAGAAACATACTGCCAATCACTCCATGCGACAGGAACAGGCTCCATGGACTCGAATGCAGTGCTGCGAATCGGATTCTCACGGCCAAGTGACGCGACGCAATCAGAGAGCGGAGAAATCAGGAAACCCTTGGTCAGATGTGCCGATAAGATCTGCACAGCCTACTCATGTTCGGATTGCTCCCAAGGCGAAACCGTCTGCCACGAAATTTGCTGGTAATACCCCGGATCTCTGCGACGACTCTCCCGACGGCGACTCCGACGTAATTGAGGTATACACGCCTGATTTGGACCCCACGGACGGTGTATTTCAGAACCACTCCCTCGCGCTGGTGCCAAAAACAGCGACGATTGCTCCTATGCTTTTCTATCCTGACGAGCACCTGATACCCGTAAAATTCTTCTCCAACATTTTTGACTACTTCAGAGGAGCTTGTGACAACGGCCACTTTGTCAGGAACGATTCGGGAGATCTGGTCAGTCACGTCTCTCCCAGGAGTAGCATGGACGTCAGTAACTTCTACAAATGCTGCATCACTGCAATAGATCTTCTGGAACGCGGTTATTACGCTCAAGGATTCGCTCTTGTGTCAAACGCTCTATGGCTTGTCGAGCGCTTGCTAGAAGTAAGAGATCCGAAGTTGATTGATACCATCTGCGATGTAGCTGTGCTCCTCCTGACAAAAGGCTGGGACCAGGTATACGAAATTCTGATGGAAAGAATTTGCTGCATGGTTCAATTCCAGGCCATCAAGAATAAGGAGCAACATCATCCATGGGCTCAACTATTCGCCTGGTTGCAAAAATTACCGACCTCTCAAGCCCTGGAGATCTTGCGGCGGGGCTGGAAGTGTGGACTCGATCAACTTGAAGATGTGAATCCTGGACATTCATGGGAATGGCTCAACATGAACTGCTCTTCTGATTATCCGTTACGAATGGGCGGACATGTTACACGGCTTCATCAAGACGTACTATCCGCTTGGTTTGAAGTTCCAGAGCCTTCAGCATTGAGCAGTATGCGACAGCAGTTTGCTTGCGGTAATGTTCTGTACTATGATGGAAACTATCGCGAAGCTTTAGGTGCCATGGAGTCCATCATTCACAGATGCATCGAAGCAAGAGAGCAAGGTGAGGAGAAGTGGATGACGCTGGAGATCGAGGCTCTCGAGGTAGCATCACGATGCCATTCTGCCTTGAGCAAACTAGGTCGACGCCGTGGCGACATTCCTACCGCAGTCACTCTACTGGAAAACGCGATTCACAGGAGCGAAGTGGTGTGGGGCGCTTCGTCTGCCACAACAATAGCATTGCAACACAGCTTGTGGCTGTTGCTCTTGGAACAGGAACGACACAGTGAAGCAAAGTTGTTGCGAAGCAAGATTGATGCTGTTATGATCCAGTCTGAACCTGGAACATCGGGTGCTGCAACAGGACCTGGCTGAGACGTTGTCAAGACCAAGCACCATGTTATTCGAGGACTCCAGCTGCATGTGCCGGGATTGTATCTGGTGCATGACACGAGCACGAAACATGTCCAACGATCATTCCTTCGGTTCTACGTATAAGACGAGAATCCAAAACGCAGAAATTTCGAACCGCGCTAACTTGCACCATCTTCGTCTTTCACTGGAGGGGCAATGGTGCAAAACATCGTCCCTACGCACGACACGAGCTCACCGGCCAAATTGTTCACCGGTCCAACTGAACACTGTCCATCAAATTTGGCCAGAAATGTCGTTGTGCTCGTGCATCAACCCGCATACAGGAATGTGGAGGCTGAGAGCCTCATTCGTCGGGCTGAAGTCCGGCTGGATGCAACTTACACTGCATGCCCAGCCTCCACCAACACAAGAACGACGACGCATATATCGAACATAGAAACTTGATCCTTGCTTCAAGATAGATCTGGTCGTAGCCATGACTGCCGGAAAATGGGTTGGTCTAATTTTTTGGATATCCGAATTGTTCTCATAGATGGCTGATGCGTTGCTCAAACAACAATCAATACCAAGTCATGCGGCAGTTGCGAGCATGTATCAGGCGATACGCAGGTGTAGCAGAGCGACGAGCATAGTTTGGGAGTATATCAGCGAAGATTCACATGACTACATGAATCCGAAGTTGGCTGCAAGGCAGATCATTCCAGATCCTACCATCCTACCATTTCTGGAGCGGGCTATGTAATCCTCCGCTCCTCCTCTTGAGATGAGCTCAAACGCAAGAGCTTGTGCCACACGGAAACGAGATATAAAGCCGCTCGTTTCGTCAGTATATTTTGAACATTCATACTTACATTACAATCACATCCTTCAACTACAACTACCAGTCATCAACAACAAACACGATCACAATGGTTGTTTTCAGGAACGTCATTATCTCCACACGGAGGTGCCCGCGGTGTGTCGCCTGCATGTCATCTTTACAAAGGTGAAGAGTGTCAGAACTCGAGTTTGCTTGTGTTGGACTTTGTTACTAAGATTGCCATCCTGACGTCGTTTCAGCAAGTCTGGGCAACTTCATGTTTTGCAAAAATGAAGGACTTTCTTCCGTGCAAGACCAAGATCAACATCATCACCAACTCTAGCCTGGGGAACCGCGTCGGGTTACATGACTGTATTCCATACATCTTCATATTCTCTACAGTTGGACAACGATCTTCTTCGCGGAAACACCCTTACGAAGCACATCCATGGCATTCTGAATTTGATCTAGACCCTTTCCTACAACCTCCGGGGTTGGTCTTGGTACGAATTGTCCATCCAGAGCCTTTGGTAAATAATCCTCAAAGATAGGTCTCAGAGGGGTGTCAGGTCCGATGACTTGTGGCGAGATGAGAATGAACTTAACCACGACATCTCCTTCTTCTAGAACATCGTGCTTGCCCTCGGCACGAGCGATGAACTTGTTGACGGGACCTTCATGGCTGTTTAGCACATCGGCCAGGTAATCGGCTATGCCGTCGCCGAGAGAGAACGCGCCGACGAGTTCGCGACCATGTACAGCTTAGCGTAGATCGTCCGTAATGGTAGGAGAGTGATAGTCGACAACTTGCGCGGCACCGAGGCTTTTAACCAGATCGAAGTTCTTTAGCGAAGAGGTGGAGATAACTTCATACCCTGCTTGGGAGGCGAGTTGAACTGCAGTGCCACCAACGGCAGAAGCGCCGCCCGCGATGATAATGGCGCCAGGTCTAATTTCGTCTTTAGGGCGGGCTAGAACAGTCGGAAGGTCGAGGCCAAGGTATTCTTTCCCGAACAGACCCAGGCCAGCGACAATCAGCGCAAGAGGTAGAGCACATCCTTGCTCGAAGCTAATGCTCGCAGGTAGAGGGCAAGTCAACCATTCGCGTGCGATAGTATATAGCTAAAAGGCACCTTCAGGGGTGTTGTTTGATGGGATGAGGCCTGCTACAGCAAACACACGGTCGCCAACATGGAAGCGTGTGACACCTTCGCCAGTGGCGACGACGGTGCCCGCGATGTCTTCACCAAAGATGGTCGGGTAACGAATGTGAGGGAGAATGCCTTCGCCGAGAGACTGCTTGAGCCAGTCAATCGGATTGATCCCTATAGCGGCGTTGCGGATGACCAGCTGATCGGGTCCGGGGTGGGTGTATGGTGCGGGACCGACCTCAAGAGCCGATTTGGAAGCGTTCAGCCAGGCTGCTTGGTTCTCTGGGTGCTGAGCCATGAATGCAGTTGTTCTGATATTTGTGTTGAGTTGAGTACCACGACATGAGGAGGAGCAGAGCAGATATATAGATAGATCCCCTGGCCGTCTTCAGAACCAATTCACTGCAAATATCCCACTGTCTTGGGGTTCGAACTCTCAGTCGGTGCATCCTCAAGTGCGCTTCGGCGCATTTTCGAGCCCTGCAAGGTGGAAGCAGCAGTCAATTGTGCCGTGCCGAGTGTTGGAAGCACGCTTGTTGCAAAATCACCTGATGTACTCATAGAGGCTCCAACAAGGCAAGGAAGGTGCAGCTGAGATGGGTCTTGCGCCCTGTTGAGAACGAGACCACGGGTTCGTCTTCCCAACACGACCATGTTCAGAAGCTTTCCCGACACTGGATAGATCAGATGATCTCAAAAGACGGTGGTCAACATAATCTGTCCGTCGGTAAACTTAGGGTCCGTTGGTGTGTATTCGGGCCGGATGGTCGGGAGGATTTGCGGAAGAATCAATCTAATTAGCCGGACGAAACTAGGGCATTTTGTTATGCAGATAAGCAGCTCAATCCACAACCATCTGGATACATATTCAAAATGAACATCAATCTACATGTTCAAGTCAGAACATTCATTGGAATCCACATCCTGTATGGATGTTAGTACTATATCAACTACCAATCGTTCCAAAGATGCAGTCTCATACCGATAGGCAAGTTGTCAAACTGCGGCCAGAAGTCCATTGTCAAGTTGTTGTTATCCATGTTGTCGGCGATCAGGTCATCGAATAAGCTCTCATGCCCATTCATCCACATGGCATCTAGCTCGAAAGAGGGAATAGCGAAGTGATCAGGTGCACTGGCTGGCTCTCGATTGTTGTTCGAATTGGGCATGGAGTGATGTTGGTTTGCGGCCACTGACATTTGTGCCGTCTGAGCCACCGAGGCTCTACTCTCGTGTGTTGCCGTTACTTGCGAGGCAGTACATCTGCCTGTTTCGGCAGAGAGACCCTCCAGGATTGGTGAATAGCGCCAGACTGGAGCTGATTTGACTCCCGCCTCAGCGAGATGACCTTGACCCTCAAGTGCCAGCTGGAATAGACTCTTGCTGTTCATCGTGGTGCTTTCAGTTGAGTTGGTGGTGAACAAATCAGTAGGAATGCGCTGTCTGCTCTGCTGAATAATGTATATGTGAATTATTGAAATCGCGGAGAAGGCGATGTACTGTGAAAACCAGAATGCAGGGTAGAGCACTCGATAACGTGCTGAACCGTTGATCATCTCAATTGCGTCTCGTGCTGCGAAGATACAAGCGCGCAATTGATCTCGATATTGCTGAGCCTCTGTTGCTGGGAGCCCAACTGAGAGATCACGGAGAAGTAGTGGACGGGTAATAAACATGATCGCGTGCAAGCGTGCTAGGGTAAGAACGGAGTGTTGACGGCGGAAGCACGGTATCAGGCTGCTTGAGTGGATAGCCCCTGATAGTATAGGCGTCAGTTTAGAATGCCAGTCGCGAATTTCTCCACTCCTCCGTACTGCTGCCTCAACGTGAGAGCGATCTGTTGTAGTGGGAAGACGATGTTGTTCTTGCGAGGCTTTGGCCAAAATGATGCCAATTTCGACAAGAGCGAGGGTTGCGTGAAGTAGGCAATCTCTGCCCGTGATAGAACTCTGTTGTCGGATGCCGTCAGAAGTGAGGTCCTCGTCATTGACAACCATTGGAAGTGTTTGATTTGTCTCATCAATATGAAGCAGAGGCATTCGGCCCATAATGATGCTTAGATACTTGTCCATAGTAAAAGCACACCAGAACAATCGACGATGAATCTCGATAGTGATCGAGTCGAGTGGACTGGTGCCAGAACTGCGTCGCCGATGGATACCCACAGCTTGCATAAGCTGTATCATAGTTCCAAAGGTGAAGAGACCTTTGTTCGGCCTCGAAGATGCAAGCAAGTATTGAACAGCCGCAAATCTAGCCTGTACAGACTCGAGCCGCGGTGGACCAGTCTCCTTTGCGAGCAGGCTCTCCGCTTTCTTGAAATACATCTCGCTCGACTGCCAGCCTTGATGACTCGCATCAATAGTGTCGCCAAAGGAGTCGACGGTGAATACAGATGCTGATGCGAAAATCAGCACGATGCATGCTTGAGCAGCGACTGGTACATCCGATTTGTCATAGATCTTCTTCAACCATTGATGCATGGTTGGTTCATGCATATACCGGTACGTGGGGGATGAGAATTCGATATACCGGTCGAGTAGTCTTGTAGCAATCCGGTACTCGGGCCAAGCAAACTTGGAAGTGTCCGGCTCCGCGATTTTGGCATCACCAAAGGAGAGGGTCTCAGTCTCCGTTTCAGCATGCGGCTAAGAGTCTTTGAGTAAGCTTTGAGGATGATTCCGGTTGAAGCGCCGTAAAGCTTGACCTAGGAAAGACTGGGCGCTAGATGGGCCATGGTCAGTGATGCCAATGAGTACTCACTCATGGATTTTGGGAATACTCATGGCCATGAGTACTCATAAGTTGCGAACTTATAAGTTCATAAGTACTCATGGCCATAAGTACTTATAAGTTCATGAGTGAGTACTCATAAGTTGTTGTTTCTTAGGTTAATGTGGTTGTTTTTTGGGTTAATATGGTTGTTTTTTGGGTTAATATGGTTGTTTTTTGGGTTAATAGATTAATAGTCTATCTACAACACATGGAATAGATCTAGTAGAGGCTCGTTTTAAGCCTCTATACTACTGTTATCTAAAGGTATAATAGTAGTATTAATAAGGCCCCCCTTGCTCTAACTTTTAAGACATTCATTCCGTTCAACTAATAGTATTCCTAGTCTAGCTCTTTCCTATATAACTATACGTCTTGAACCTAAAAAGATCCTTTCTAAGTCTGCTAACATAGTATGGATTAATAGGATATTAAGAGCTATACGTGAGAGACAAGGATACTGCTCCTATATAGCTGAATTTAGCTACCATTTAAGTGGATTTTAAGTAACAACCGGGGTTCCATTTATAAAGCTTTATAGCTTATCTTATAGAGGTCTAGAAGTAAGTCCTCTTGTCCATAATTCAAGTTTAGATGGCTCTTCTTCTTAAATTAATTGCTAGTCTTAAGAAGGGGGTAGATACTTATCCTTATAGTGAGTTTTAAAGAGTTTCCTTACTCTAGTAACTCCTAGTTTGATCTATGACTTTTCCTACACCTTGTTAAGGTAATTAAGTCTTCTTTAAGGGTGTAGAAGAATAGCAGCTATATAGATAGCAGTCTTATTAATTAGCTTATAGTACTTGTCAAAGACATAGTGACAATTGAGAATAGCTGTTAATAGGGCTCTATTATTAGCATGCCTTGCCTCTGCCTTCTATAGGTGCTTGTTTAGGAAGTCCATATAGATCTGCATCTAATCTAGAGTAACTAAATCTCCTTATGTAGCAAGAGTAACCTCGTAAAATGGTTAAAGGAAATCGATAGTAGCTTTTATAAGCATCTAGTCCTCTTCTGTAAGCACAAAGCTTGTAGTATTAGGAGTCTAGAGTGCTATAAAATGGTTAACAGAAGTCTTACATTTATATAGCCTCTTAAGAGCATTAAACTAGGAGTTCTACTAGGTTAAATTCGGGGCGGATAAGGTATATCCTGCTTTTGCTATAAAGGCATTAAGTCTTCTATCATTATGCCTTACAAACTTAATAAAGGAAAGACCTTTTTTAATAGCTTTAGCTGTCTGCCATCCATCGGTAGAGTCTGCTAGGATTTCTTTAATATCTAGCCCCTTTGTTTCGGCCATATAGGAGATAGCATCGTCTATGGCCTGCTTAGTACTAGCAGTCATGAATGCCTAGGCAGGAAGGTTAACAATATGCCCTAGACAGCGTGCCCTATAGAGTTTAGGGTCCTAGGTAATGCTAGAAGTGTCGAGGAGTTTTGTTAAAAGATGGGCGTTTAGGGTGTCATTTGCTCTATAGTTATTACTAGTAATATAGCTAAGTTAAGAGGTAATTCCATATGTATAAAGAGCATCCAGTATGACTTCTAAGACCTCTAAACCACTATAAGAGCGAGGCATCTCCTTAAAAGCTAGGAGGGCCTTTTTAAGAATTCCTTGTTTATTTACCTACCGGGCAGTAATAGCCTATATCTCTTTGTAAAGAGGACCACATTTCTATGTATCTGTTATAAGGTGTATAACACTAACTAACTCTTAAAGGTGGCGCTTAAGAACCATTTATTGTAGTTCAAAAGTAGATTAAATTTAGGTAGACAAAGTAGAATAACTTTGTAGTAGGATGTCTAGTATATATGGGTTTATAAGACCTAATAGATAGCAGAATTGTAGCCATTCTATAAGTGTAGAAGGTAGGTTGTGTATAGTAATAAGGTCTACAAGTGTTATAGTAATTCGAGAAGAGTCGAGATACTCTTTAAAACCTGCTTATATTTTCCTAGCCTCTTGTTCTAAATTGTAGTATAGTATCTTAGATAAAGCCTCTTAAATGGTCGGTTAAGAAGGGGGTAGAAGAGATGTATAGGCGGTACTCTCTCTAGCAAGGGGGACGTCGATTTAATAGGCGGTAGAAAGGTAGGTTTAAAACGAGGTGTTTAACTTAAAAGACTTAGGCGGATTAATACAGTATTTGCAGTATATAATAGTACGGCTCTTAACAGCCTCGGGTTCGTCTGTTTTATTGCTTCGGGAGTGTAACTATAGTGTAGTGTCTCGAATAGCTCGTTTTCGTTTATTCGAACTAGAAGGAATTAGCGTAGGAGTTAAGAATAGGTCATTTTGTTGTGTTGTAGAAGGACTAAGTGAAGTAAGATCACTATTATCATCTAAATTGAGAAATAGGGACTAATCTATAGTGAATTAGTTATGTAGTAATAAGAGAGAAGGAGGAAACATTAAAAAGGGGTGAAAATTTAGGACGTAACGTTAAGCGGCCAGCGAGCGATCCGATTGGTCAACCCCGGATTTCAAAAATTTTCAGAGATGTTAGGAGTCGCCGCGGGGGTGACCCTATCCCTTGTTCATGAGTACTCATAACTTATGAGTACTTATGACTTCCGTAACTCATGGCCATGAGTACTCATAACTTATGAGTTCATGAGTTACATGAGTGAGTACTCATAACTCATTGGCATCACTGGCCATGGTATTGTCCATCGATTGCCTCCCCGGGCTTAGGGGTCAGTCGTCGTGATGGCGCTTCTGAGTATATGGGAGGCCTTGAGATATCATCAAGCCCGTCAAGTGGACCAGCCAAGGCTGTCGTCAATGGAAGGTGAACTGGATTATGGTCCGATTCAGCGGCAAGCCCTGGGATGTCTCTGGCAGAGTGACGCCTTGCTCTTGTGACTGGGTCTACATGTCGTATGGGGTCAATATGAACAGGCGAGATATTAGCGGCAGGCGATTTGTGGGTGGCAGGTGAAATGTAGGCGGGTGAGATGTGAGCAGGCGAAGCATGATCTAGATGGTGGACATTGTCTGTTTGGGCTGGTGAAGGGGGAACAGCAATGCCTTGAATTGGAAGCCATGTCAGCACGACCATTGAAGTGTCATCTCAGCGCGTTTAGATGAAGAAATGCAAAGATGGAACAGCGCATCAAATCGAAGCACAAAAATGGCAAGGCCGATTGACACGCATTTATCCGCCCCTTCGCAATGCTGTGGAAGGCATGGCGAGATCAAGGCAATCTCGGAGCGAACGTACCTCTTGAGTATTGAGCGTCGTAAGTGCAAGTCCCCTTCACCTTTCGACAGAAGGCGCATGGTTGATCACCAGAACATCTTTTCTTCCTCGCCTTGCAAGAATCGCAAGCTCGTGTCACTTTCTGTCGCTTGCGCGTGTGGCCTTATTCCAACTCGAAGCTTGTCGATCTGTTAGTTGCGCGACTTGCGTCATCAGATGGTCGCGCTTGCCATGCCATGGCTATCTACGGCTGCAGAGAGTCTCTCACAATTGTGTCGGAAATGATCAGAGAAGGTGGAAAAGGACGGAGAAGGAGGGGCGGGGGGCTGTGCACTGACCACCAATCCGTCACCAAATCCTTCCACCTTGACAACGGCACTCACTCCTTTACTTGTCACAATGCACAGTTTCATACCACCCATCGTGCCCATAACTGGATACAGGCTCACGGGTAGGAGAATCTAGTCTTTTGCTTTCATGTTCTGCGTCCTTTACGTGGCGATTGCGTTGTCAGAGCTGCCACAGGGGCTCGGAAGGGCTGCGATTAGCCAGCCGCCTTTTTCCGACACAGCTTCGGAAGTGTCTCGAGAAGCGTGTTGTTGACCCGATCTCTACCTTGATGGTCTCCACGTGTAGGAAGTTCGAACCATACATAACGTGTAGGTCCGCAGGTAAGCAATGAATATCTTATCACCTTCTACAACATTGAAGTAGCTTTCATCATGCCTCACGCCGACAACCAGCTCCCCACACACTTCCAGCTCAACACTGGCGCCAAGATCCCTGCCGTCGGCTTCGGAACATGGCAAGCTGCACCTAAAGAGGTCGAGAGTGCAGTCGAATGTGCTCTGAAGGAAGGGTACAGACACATCGACTGTGCAGCCATCTACCGCAACGAGACCGAGGTCGGCGAGGGTATTCGCAAGTCCGGCGTACCCAGAGAAGATATCTTCATTACCGGAAAGCTCTGGAATACCAAGCATGCCCCTGAGGATGTGGAGTCTGCTTTGGACAAGACTTTGAAGGACCTTGGTACCGACTACGTGGATCTATATCTGATGCATTGGCCTTGGTGAGTCTTTGTCATCTCATACAGCAGCATCATCAAGTTCTAATACTCCTACAGTGCTTTCGCATCAGGAGACAAGTTCTTCCCCTTGGACTCTGAGGGTGTCTTCAAGCTCGCAGACATCGACTATGTAGCCACCTACAAAGCCATGGAGAAGTTGCTTTCCACAGGCAAAGCCCGTGCCATAGGTGTTTCCAACTTTAACATTCGCCGCCTCGAAGACCTACTCTCCAGAACTGATGTGGTCCCTGCTTGCAATCAAGTAGAAGCACACCCTTACCTTACTCAACCCGACCTCCTCGAGTTCTGTAACAAGCACAACATCATCCTGGAAGCATACTCACCGCTCGGAAACAACCAGACAGGCGAGCCACGCACGGTCGACGACCCCCTCGTTCACGAAGTCGCAAAATCACTCGACATGGACCCTGGTGTTGTACTTGGAAGCTGGGGTGTGCAGAGAGGTCATGTTGTGCTTCCCAAGAGTGTTACACCTTCGCGCATCGCATCGAATCTGCAGGTCAAGAAGTTGCCTCAGGAGGCATTTGAGAAGTTGACTTCGCTGGCAAGACATAAGCGCTTCAACTTCCCTGCTAGATGGGGATATGATATCTTTGATGAAGCTGGCCAGGATTCTGTTACCAAAGCTGCAAGGGCTGCTGGAGAAGAGAACAAGACCAAGTTTACTGTATAGACTCGCGAAACATACATCTACAATTACGTCACATCATTGTTGAACACATGGCTTTCCACTCTCGCGTAGATTGCTATGTAGTGGAAGAAATTCGTTGCTCTCTGTTCGTTTTCATTGACTAAAGATATTCGGTGGGTGATTTGTTTACAAATCTATATCTCGACAACTTTACCCTTGTCCGCAGCTTGGAAGACTCCGTCCAAAAATTTGTGTCTCTGAATAGCATCCTCAAATGTACACAGCGAATCACCAGCCGCATAACTCTCATACAACTTTCCAACATTCTGTGCAGCCAGAGGCAAATCAAGACAAGCATCCAACTCAACATCGCTGATTTTCCTAGTCGTGTGAACCTTGATTCTGATCTTGTAATCCTCGGCTCCCAAATTTGCCATAATGGTCGAACCAGTGACACGGATTTGTCCCTTGTCGCCGATGATGTCCCAGGCAAATCCTTCATCTGGGGCGAAGGCGTCACCACCACGCATGTTGTAGGTGTATGTTGTGCCATTTGCAGTGATACCGTGAAGGGAAACATAGTCATCTGCAGTCTTCGTGATGCCTGTTTCGAGGACTTTATCGTCGTCCACGAGATCGATGGTCGGCCATGTCGTTTTCAGTTCCGCTGATACGGTAGCCGGTTCGCCGATCACCGCAGCCATGTAATCAACAGTGTGGCCGATGTAAATGTTCAGCATGACTTGCCCAGTCGTCCCTTCCGCCTCGCGGTCTTTGAAGTAAGAGTATCGTGGCGGCAACTTCGTGCCTGTCTCCGGCGTGCAAGCGCTTCCAGACATCTGCGATACGAGCAGCCTGCCGATCCCGCCTTCGCTGAGGAGAGTCTGCAATGTACTGATGAGATGGGAAGCTCGCCCTTGAAGACCAACGAATGTCCTGACTCCCTTCTCTTTCGCCAAGTTTGTCAATTCCTCGGCTTCCTTCGTGGTAGCTCCCAATTGCCATTCGACATAGACGTCTTTTCCAGCTTCCAGGGCGGGCTTGACCAATTGATAGTGGGAGAAGAAGGCAACGGCGCAAACTACGAGGTTGACGCGGGAGTTCTTGACCATTTCTTCCACGGAGTCGTAGGCTTCGGCGTTCTCAATGTGGTGCTTTGACATGGATTCTTGAGCGCTCTTCTTGGAAGAGTTGGTGAGGGCGACGATCTCGAATTTGTCGGTCGACTTGAGGTATGGTAGATGCGCTGCTGAGGCCCAACCACCTCCTGCAGAGAGGCCGATGAAACCGACACCAATCTTAGTCATGATGAGTGGTATGCAAGGACAAAATTTATTGCGCGAAGGTGGGCAAGCAAGATGTATCAGAGAGTAATTCTAACGACTGCACAAGAAGTGAAGGGCACCGAGAAGTATTTGACCGTCTAAGGCAGGGGCTTCCAAGCACTATAACGCCAGACAAGAACTCCAACAGTTGGAAAGCTATTACAAATGAGAAGCTGCATTCTGATGGTTTTCATGAAGTCCCCCTAACGGCATCATCAAGGTGGGTCGAATCATGCTTTCGAAGGTTCGGCTCACAGCCGAGACCCTTTTCTACCCCAACCTTCTTCCAAACATCACATTCTGAGCCTTGTACCTTTCCCAAGTATGACGATGTTTGTTGAGCCAACTCCACAGCGTCTTCGATAGCCGTGGTCGATAATGATCAAGCATTGGAGTTCAGAAGAAGTGGCACGATATCCTTCGGCATCAATGCCGAGAACCTCCCATCAGCTCTGATCGAATCAGAGAGACTGATTGTCTCTGGTCATCTGGTGATCTTCAATTTCTATATTTCTACGTACTACTAGCGGCACATTTTATCCCCCGCCATTCACTCGTAAGCATGGAACACCTTGGCAATGATCTCCCACTTCCCCTCAAACTTCAACAAAGTGTGAAAATCCGTATAATCCACTCCAGCACCATCACCCTCCATATCAACCCTCACAACAGCTGTGCTAGGGGTAATAGCCAACACATCAACTCTAGCTTTGATCTCAGGCGCAGAGCCAAACTCATCAACATATTTGTAGAGGTTTGAGATTGGTCCGCCGAGAAGGTTTCCGTCGGGTGCGAAACCGTACATGGTGGCGTCTTTATTGAAGGCTTTGGCGATGGTTGGGTTGGAGCCGCCGCGGAGGCCTTCGATGTAATTTTGGACTGTGGCGATTACTGCGTCGTATTCTGCGGTCGCGACGGGTTTTGTGTTGGGCATATTGGTGGTAAGAAGGGCTAGAAAGTCTCGTATATTGTGTTTGAGATGAGTGGGCCTGAACGTTGTCAGCTTTTTACTACGGTAATCGAATTGCAATGCTTACAATTATGATTGAATGCTGAGGGATAGCTAAGAGATCCGATGAGAAAATTTGGTTGTTGGTCTTTGAGGGGGTCGACCAGCTTAAATGTATCTATGGTATGACCATGGATGGCACTGATACGTGATTGAAGATCTGACGTCTCACTCGGTTTGATACTTGTCCGGTCCTATCTGGAAACAGATACCGAGTACTCGTGGCGTTGAAATTGAGACTTTCGATTCCAACAAATGTTCAACTAAGAGAGTTTCTACCCCAACTTTGATAAGGTTTGCAATGATCGCCCTATGCTTACGAACTTGTCGTGCACTCGTGCTCGTGTCTCATCATCATTGTGGGTCCGGAGATGTGGTCTTGTACAGAGATGTTGGGCTTGTACGGTCAACGGGTGCTGCAATAAGCGGTCTCGCAAGTCAACGATCTTTGATGAAGAACTATGCGGTGTTCTGCAATTTGTATATGTATCTACCCCCAGATACGTATCCGATCGACCTTGCACGATCGCCCACCCTTCTATCAGGCCTTCAGCGCAAGAGCCAAGGCAGTGACGAACTCTTGACCGTAGTAGAAGAGTTCGCCATATTGGATTGGGAATTAAGACTGTAAGACAACAGTTGTGTTCAGCCGAGGAATGACATAAATGGCTTGCCCGTACATGCCCAACGCAGCGAAAGCCTCATCATCGCCAAGAGCATAAGTCGTGTTGCTGCCACGAGGCAGAGTCCACCAGCCAGTCTGATAGCCAAAGCCAGGAACGTCAATGATGTTTCCAGGCGCACGTATCCCTCTACTGGTGTTGGCGGCGGCGATACCTTCGAACCAACCGGAAGGTACAGCTGGTCCACCGCGTCCTTGTAAGTTGTCAAGGATGAACAAGCCGAAACGCGCCATGTCTGCCAGTGTGATTGCAAGGCCTCCATGGCCATCGACTTGATGTGCAGCTGTGGTGCGCATGTATCCGTCGTATTGCATACCAGCTGGATCCCAGATGTGTCGTGTGACGAAGTTCCCGATGGGCTCGCCGATAGCTCGTTGGAGGGCAATAGCAGTGACCGCGTAGTTCTGATCCATGTAGTTATAAACCGTATCGGGCGCAGCCACTCTCTCGTAAGTCTTGAATAAATCGAGTACAGCATTGCGGTTCAGATCCTCGTAGACGGTGAAGTAATCTGTGGCGTTTATTGGTGCGGCCACACCAGCTGTCATGTCCATGATGCTCCGAAGAGTAACGTCACCATATGGAGTACCTTTGAGCTCTGGGGTCCATCTCTCAGCGAGGTCGTGAGAATGAATCTTTCCTTGCTTGACGGCGATGCCAAAAGCTGTTGATGTGAAGGATTTGGTGCATGACTGGATGGAGTTGCGGGATTGCTTTTGGTTGCTGTGGTCGTATTTCTCGAGTCTGATAGAGCCGTCCTTGACGACCATCAAGCCTCCAAGACCCATGTCATACATGAAGGTATCAATGGACACGAGAGATCCGTTGACTTCGGCAGAGAAGTTGAGCGGAGCACCTGGAAGAATATGCCTCATCCGAGAACCGTGACGGACTTGGGTAGTTCTGTTCGGCAGGACTTCATCTTCCTGCCGAGTGATTATGGCAGTATTCGCTGGATTCGTCGAGTTCAATCCGGTCAATGCGAGCGTGCCGATTTGACTTGGGTCAACATAAGGTATAGCGGCGGACCCCTTTGCTGTGCATACAAAAAGCGTGCTCAGCCCAGCGACAAGAAAGCTCCGGGTGATGTACATCGTGAGGTATTGGGTATGAGCAAAGAGATACTGACAGAATGAAAGCTGCTCAAGTCGATACAGTGGGTATGCATGAATATATACTGAAGTGTGTCGCTATCAATCGGCAACTGGTCTTATCATCATGTACTCCGAGTTCCTCCCAACAACTGTACATTCGATATGAGGCATATCGGTCCAAACTGATAGCAGATAGTTAGCCCAATTTACGTCAGTGTGGATGTTAAATGGCATGGAATAGTTAGAATATTGGAATATTCCACTCAAAACCAATAGGATATTCTACTCTATTGGCATGGAATAGAATCAGCAATTCGAGTAGAATATTCCAAATTCCAACCGGTCAGGGTAGCTACGATAGCATAAGTTAGTAATCAGATATGCAAAGCTTGTCATTAGCTGATTCCATCTTATCAGATCGATTAGATGAGATAAGATGTCTTAGCGTATGCTTACTAAGCTCATAAGGACAGGGTCGCTTGCCTTGCAACAATGTTTGGAATTAGAATAATTCCACGAAAAAGTTAGTATAGAATAGAATAATTAGTTAGCTAGGTAGAATGGCATAGAATAGAGGCTAGATTCTAAAGATTCTATGTAACATCTACACTGATTTACGTGTTAAGATTGTCTAAGGGGACGTAGGATGTATAAGATAGAAGTATATCGAGGAAAGATACGATAACGGTAATAGTCTAGGTATACTCTTTCGCGATAGAAACGTAGTCTCGAGTTTATAGGGTTAGTCCGCTAAACTAACGGTAGAAGCGAGTAGAGCTAACTTTCTACCCTATATCCGAGTCCTATTAGGTTCTCTTAGCAAGCTAAGAGTCTACTAGGCTAACTATAATTAATTACCCTAATTAATAAGACGCTTACCTATCGGTCCGACTTAGCCGCGGGCTAAGAAGGCTCCCCCGTACTAAAAATCGCCTATATCGGCCTAAATAATGTCTAAAAATTCATGAATTTTAGGTAACTATCTTCTCGATCTAGGAACATTAAAATAACGACCTATTTACGCTCGATTAACTCTAGCTAGCTAGTAGCCCTAGCATCGCAAACTCCCCTATTAACTAAAAGGGTATTAGAGGGAGGTAATTAAAGGGTCCGATAGCTATTAGAGCTATTAGAACTAGCGATAGCATTAGTAATAGCATTAGCGAGAGGGCCGGAGAGGAGCTAAATATTAAGTAGTTAAATAAGTAGTAACTAGCACGCTAGCGGAAGGGGTCTTCCTTAGTAGTAGCTATTAGCGACTATATAATAGTTAATATATTAGATAGAGCTAGTAATAGAGAGGGTACTCTACTCTCGATCTAACTATCGCTCTACCTCTTCTAACTTTAACTATTAGCTTATTCTCGTATAGCCTTCTAATAGCGTGTTTCTAGTCGTTTATTATAGATAACCTCCTATATTACGTAATTAGTAATATTAGGACCTAGCTACTTTCGAAGCCTTACGCCGAGTTCCTCCTTAGCCTTTATACGAGTAATTACTTTAGCCTTACTAGCGTAGATGCTACTGCTCTTCTAAATATAGAAGGTTAGGAGTTTCCTTCTAGCCTTAGCCTTATATTGCGTATTAATAGTTAACTAGAGTCGCTTATTCGATTTATAACCTAAGATTACTTATATAGCGGCGCCCTTCGTAAGCTTTTTAAGTGTTCTAAATAGCGAAGGCGCGAGGGGGTAGATAGTAAGTTCTTATATAATAGTTTAGATACTATAACTAACCTTACGAGCGAGCGAGGTATATAAGGGGTCTTAGGTAGATCCCTATCGTTTAAGAGCTCCTCTTGCTTAGGTATTAATAGTCGTTCTATAGTTAGTCTAGCTATAAGCTCTAATTAAGAGATAAGTTTAGAGTCCGCTAGTATAGCGAACACCTTATCCGGATTAAAACTAGCTGCTTAGAGAATTAGCCTATCGGGGTTATATAGCTAGATGCTAGCATTTGTAAAGGCTCCCTTAATATTACGAGTAGTAAAGGCATATCGTCTAATTTCGTCGATATTAGAGCAAAAATCTGCCTTAGAGTAGCGCGCTACACCTACTTAAATGTTGCGATCTAGTACGTACTAATGCTATAATTTAAGAGCTTAGAAAATGCCGACATTGAGAGATTAGAATAGATGACTTAAATAAGGGGGTAGATAATAATAAACAATGTTATTATCCTTATAAAAGTCTTCTACTTCGCGTATTTAATAACTACTATAGCTATCGTAGATAAGTAGTCGTTTAGTGCTAGTAATAGAAGGGCGAGTATTGCGCTTAAAATGCTTAATATATAGATAGGCGAGCTCGTTAGTATTAAAGTAGTTATCTCTACCTAGGGTAACATAATAATTATCTAGAAGGCTAAATATATAGTCGGATAGGACGACCTCGCCCTTATAAATTACTTAAGGAGTAATAGACTTACTAGTAGTAGAGATAGTCTTAATAAGGGTAATAGACTCGCGGTTGTTAGGATAGGGTAACTAGTTAATCTTCTTTAGGAAGCAGGTAATAATGATCTAACTAGTAGAGACCCTAATTTATATACTAACCTTATCTATGTTCTAGAGGTTAGTAGGGTCTATATTGTGTTCTTAAATGCGCTATCTAAGGCCCTTAAACCACTTCCTAATCTCGACTAGATTATACGCCTTCTTCCTAAGTATCTTAAGGGGTTACATACGTCTCTTAAATAGGTCTTTATTGCGATCTATAAACCGGTAAGCCTAATAAGGACTAAGTAGTGTTAGTTCCTTACTAGGAGCAAGACTATCTAGTATAATGCTAGTAGCAATACATTAAAGTTAGCGTACGCGGACGTAGAGATTAATATCTTCTATATAGTAGATATAATATTTAAGAGCCTTAGTTTGTTCGATATTAAGACAAGAGTTCTTAGGGGTATTAGACTTATTAGGGCGGCCTTTAATGCAGTTGTTTAGGCGCTAATATAGACGATTAGGTATCTCGTACGCGCGCTAGAGGGCCTTAATAGAGGTATAGATGTCTAGGTCGTATCCTTAAATAGCATCCTAAATAAGCTTCTTGTTATAGAAATACGGTATTAGAGGGATAGTAGGTTATTGCTTAGGTCTAGCATTAGTACGAGCACGCTAAACACCTCTATTAACTGCTCCTTAGAAGCGACTATTAGTGTAGTCTCGAAGGCGTACCTAAGAAGACATCTTGTTAATAGGTAGGTTAAAGCCTAAGATACGTATACTAGTAACGACGACGATAGCGAGGGTACGAGCGAGGGGCAGTATCGGTAACGACGATAACATTAAGACTATATACAAGCCTCGTATAATAAGGGTAAGCGGCTAATGAGCGAGGTAATTATGTTAATTAGCATAGCAGGCCCTTAGCTTACTAAGGGTTTAGACTAGGCCCGGATAATTAGAACCTCCGAAAGCTATAAGGGGCTTATCGTTAGCCGAGGAGGCTTCGGCTACATTCCGATGTGAGAAATGGTTAGATAGCTCTAATTGATACATTTCAAACGCATGGTCAATCATGTCCGGGATGATTGCGAAATCTTGAGGGTGTTGTTGCAAGCGGGACGCACGCGAGGGAAGAGGGGAACAGGGTGGTAGGAAGAAACGTTCGCTCAGCGCCAAGACGAGCCGGAAGATCCTCGGAGTCAGAGTTTCTGAGTCTTTCTTGCCGCTTGTTCCTTCTTGTTTTCATTGACGCACTTATCCTGTGTTCGAGTCATCAAGTTGAACATCTGCGTGTGTGTTGTTATGTGACAGTGACATGCCAAAAGGTCGTCCTAAGTCGCAGGTCGCCCCCTGTCGATTCTGCAGTAAGCAATTCAAACGACAGAAACATCTACAACGCCACGAACGGACTCGTAATCCTTTCCCGCGTCATGATTGACATCGGCACAAATGACTGATGAATTCAGAATAGACACGCGCGAAAAACCATATCCTTGCGAATGTGGTAAAGATTATGCCAGGCAGGATCTGCTTGTGCGCCATCAGCGTCTTGACCACCAGATCGGCACACCGGCGAGCGGAAGTCCTCCAACGCCCTATGACAATGTCAGCCCACACTTGGCTCCGAATGACTTGACCAGTTGTTCTACCAACATGCCATCTACACAGCCTATGTCGGAGTCTACAGTCAGTAATCTGACTTTGCCTTCAACTTTTCAAACGGTACATTCCATCCTCGACTTTCAATCAACCAGTGGGCTGGACTTCTTGTGGGATGAAGCAGCGACCACGTTCGATTTCTTACCATCCGTGTTCTTCAACACCAATTATCCGCTTTCAGATCTTACTGATAGGGCAGAACTGCACATCAACCCGGCACCCGTTCCTCCTGCCATTGATGCTTACGGGACACCGCAGATTACGCCGGAGATAGAGGTCCAACCATCAAGAGCTCCAGGAATTGTTTTCAATGACAACGATGCGTTATTGAGACGCGCACTGGTCGCCACGAGTGATGCCGCTTCTTCATGGCTTTGGACTATCACCACTACCACCCATTCGAGTCTGCTACATACCGTCCTGTCCAAAGCACATATCCTTCCTAAAGAATTTCGCCTGCCTTCGCGTCATGCGCTGTCAAGGTATCTTGAAAGCTATTTTCGTGCATTTGATAATCATCTGCCTTTCGTTCACAGACCGACTTTCTCCACGAAGACAGCCGCTCCCGAATTGGTGCTGTCAATGGCGGCGGTTGGTGCGTTATACCGCTTCGAACACCCTCGAGGATACTTGCTCTACTTTGCTGCTAAAGCTCTAGTCGATGATCAAATTGCACAGCGCAGTGATCATGTGGTATCGCATCTGACGGCTAGGTCGCCAGAAGACCGCGTTGCGAGATTCAGCATGACTTCTCCCACCATTTACATCCCGAAGCATACCCTTCAGACTATTCAAGCGCTTTTGGTCCTTCTGACAATGTCATCCTGGGCCGACAGTCCTATCGTCCGCGACTCAATGTCAATGGCGGGAAAGTTAGCTATGTTAGTACGTGAAGCTGCTCTTTCGGTAGACGACGAACGTCCAGACGGTCTTGCCTGGGAAGCCTGGGTGCGTAACGAGGAGCGGCGAAGGACTTTGTTTGTTGCGTATGTCCTTTTCAATCTGCAGAGCATCGCTTTCAGTGTACCACCTATGGTGTTGAGTCATGAGGTCGTGTTGTGCCTTCCTAGTACCGAGATTGAATGGAATGCTCAAACTGCGGCTGAATGGGAAAACCTCCGACTTACGAATGTCGGTGCTTTCGAAGAGCGATGTTTCCAAGAAACATTATCTCAGGTTCTCGCCGGTAAAAGCGTCTACGAACACAAGACTGTGTCTGCCTTCGGAAACTATGTTCTCATTCATGGATGCTATCAACAAATCTTTTTCGAAAGACAAGCCTCGGGAGGGTTTTTGCCTTTCCACAGATCCACTCTGAGACCCGATGTGGTCAGAATCTTTGAAGGCGCTTTACGAGCATGGCAAAATTCGTGGGAGGCAACTGCTGAATCAACGCTGGATCCACAATCGCCAAAAGGTCCGCTCGGTTTTAATGCGACTGCTTTGCTACGCCTCGCTTATATCAGATTGAACTCCAATCTGCCGCCTTTCCGAAGGTTTGACGACATAGAACCATCTCCCATCATCAACATGTTCGCAAATGCGACTTCCCAGGCTGTCGAGCGCTCGGTCAGTGTCGATCGCGCCATACTCCAATGCATACATGCCTTGAGCATTCCTGTCCGGGCAGGCGTTGCGTATGTCGCTCGCACACAGGTGGACTGGAGCATTCAACACGCGTTATGCAATCTTGAATGTGCTCTGCTTCTTTGTAACTGGCTGGAATCCGTTGCTTGTGCTGTGGAATCATCGGGCATGGCTACTTTGCGTGAGGACGAGAAAGAGCCTTTGGCAGCTCTCTCCAGCCTCGTACGAGAGACCGAACTCATGGATGATTTACTCAACATTCAGGATGGTTATGCAGTGCATTTCCGACGCTTGGCTTGGTGTACCACGAAATTGTGGGCCGAGATATTTAGCGGTGGTTATGTGTTTGAGATCAGCCATCTAGTCGGGACGACACTTTCGGATATCGCAGACATATTGGAACAGCGACTGCTCGGAGGACAGATCAGATAGTTGTGCACGAATATATATTTCACAATTCACTACTCGTACCTTTCATTCATTCACCATCCGTGCTCGGCTCATCGTCGGCCGCGCGATCGGCCTTCCCCGCGTCCCTTTTCCTCTCCAACCCTCGCCCAGAGCCATGTCGTCTCGCGCAATCATCTTTCGTTCATGCTCATATCAATTTCAGCAAATCAAGGGACTGAACTTTATGCCGAAAGACATCTCGCGTACTCCACGCGCTGCCAACGCGTACGTCAACACGAAGTCCAACCGTTCAGCAGATACCGATAGTTGTGACGGACTCGTCTAAAGCTTGCCGTACAGGTGTGACGAATGTCATCAGAGAAAAATCAAATGCACCGGCGGCCGTCCCTGTCGAAACTGTCTACGTCACTCCAGAGAATGTAAATTCAGTAAAGATGGTCGAGGGCGATACTCGGAAGCGTAAGCTGTTTCTTTGCGGGCAAGGTCACGAGACTGACATGCTGGGAAAGATATGTGCGAGAACTAGAAGCTCAGCTCAGGACCTACCAAGACCAAGAGCAACAAGAAAGCTTGGCAGATGGTCGGTCATGAGTATCGCGTGTCTGGCCTCGATGGTAGCTAATTCTTGGTCAGGGCCTGCTCAGTCAACCGACACTGTGCCTGATGACACGCTCGGGACCATCGACGATCAAACACGTCCAACAAACGTCTTGACCGGACACGTCACAGAAACTAGTCCATGTCAGTTCATGTCTTGCTCATGGTAAACATCGTTCCTGATAGCATACCAGTTACAGAGATACCAGCGGGACCGGCGTTTGAATCCCAGGTCAGAACACTATTGAGCAGCAATTGCACACCGAACGACATGGACGTTCATAGTACCTCGGACCAACATGCCAGACTGTCTGGCTCGCTTGGTGACATGCTCGCCAGCACCAATTTTTCAGGACCACCATCTCAAGAAGAGTCCTACCGGTTATTGGACCTGTTTCTGGTCTATCTTGGAGTCAGTCAGCACTTCCTTGACCCGCGTATATTCTCTGACAACATAACGCTGTTTCATCTTGGAGAACCCTCGCGAGTACGACTGTCCAAGAGTATGTGGTATGTCCAGTACCTTCTCGTAATGGCAATGGGAAAATTATTGGATGGCCAGTCTGGTATCGAAAGCTCTTCTCGACCTCCTGGCTGGGACTATTTTGCAGAGGCGATGCGATTATTGCCTCCTCTTGGCCAATTACGCGAGATTGGCGTTGTTGCTGTGGAGATACTCGCAGTTTTGACAACGTATCTGCAATGGACAGACTGGCCGGATGAGGCTTATCTCTACGTAAGAAGTATCGCTCCATGTACACCTTCATGAAACTGACAAGGACATTAGGTTGGGATTGCCTTGAGGTTAGCAACAGCCCTGGGCTGTTTTCGCGCTTCCAAGGATCAAGATTGCCTGCCATCTGAGGCCAATCATCGAGTAAGGCTGTGGTGGACAATAAACATGTTGGACAAGTAAGTTTTGTTTCCTGCCAAACAATCATCTCCAGTCAATGTATACTTATTCTTCCACGCTCATAGACGATTGTCTGCGTCCCTAGCATGTCCAGCCGGGATAGATGATCGGAACTTGAGCCCAGAGATGCCTAGCCCATCGGTGGCATTCCAGTCACCCGTAGCGTTGACAATCAACATAAGGATAGCGAAAACGACTGGTGAAATTATGACATGTAAGCGGTCAGTTCATCGTGGGAAGAATCATTCAGACTAACAGGTGCTCCTCAAAGCCCTTTACAAAAGCACTGCCACAACACACATAGAACTGGTTCAAAACATTCAGAATATGCTTCGGACGCTTTTCGATATTGGGCAATCTTTTCCGCCCGAACTGGCCATAGATTTTGCGAGTTCCCCAGTTCGATTAACAAGAACGGCTGCGTCATTGCACCTGATGTTGTATCAAGTGAGTACATCATCATCTATCGTGCTTGAGTCATGCTAAATCATGATTCCAGGCTATCTTACTATGCATCAGGCCTGTGGTATTGCAGCAGGTGCATCAGAAGCTGCAAGAGTCCACTGAAGATAGACAAGTATCACCTATCTTTCTCAAGCTCACACGAACCTGCGAAGAGGCAGCAATGAAATGCGTAGTTGTTCTCTCGAGGTTGAAACAGGATGACATGATCGGTAAGCTGCGTGTCAGTAAGAGTAAGGCTCGTTCCATTTGCTCACGGAAAGACAGCCCGATTCGGATTCTTCGACTTGGACGCAACGTTCTCCGCCGCGTTCGTCTTGATCATGCTAAGAATCGAGGATGGAAAATCACTGAGACCGCCGGATGAGATACTCGAGGCCTGCAGAGTCTTGCAGTATTTGTCCATAGCAGGAAATCGCATGGCCGGTCGCAGGCTCCGAGACATCAACGACTTCTGCATTCGTGTATGGCCCACTGCTCCGTCAATCCACGAGACTCTGGGGATTCTTATGCAACCTCATGCACAGAATATCGAACTGGGAGACGGCATGCAGCATCAGTATCAGCATCAACCCTGGCAACCCACTTCTCAGATCCAACAAGACACGTTTCCATATCCGACAATCCCGATTGATACAGCACATCGGTACCTCATGGTAGACGAGATTGGCAACGAGCTTGTCAACGGTGCGGACGATATCTACTCCTGCTTCAATGACCCCACATTGGCACTCACAGGCATCGATCTCGCAGACTGGATTGAGATGAGCAGAACATTCGACACAAGATGATGTTGAAAGCATTCTTGAAGGTGTACATTGTTATATACCTTTCCTCACTGCAGACATCTCACAATACAGCTGGCAACATACTCAACGTTTCCAGGATTCAGACCAGCAATAGAGATTCTGGAGCTCTCGGCCATGTATATGTGATACTCATCTGCTCACTGTCAGCTGGCTGCAAGGGAAAAGGCCTTGATCTTCTTTTACCTCTCAACCTACGGACAACGACAGGCGAAAGGCCAAGGAATCCGAACATGCCCGATTGACGAATGATATGAGTCCAGTCTTGTTCAGCTATATCCAATCAGTCTAGGCAATATGTGACGACATCAGGCTTCTGGCGTACTTTGCTTTGAGAGACTCTGATACAAAGCACCTCGCATGTCGGCAATCCGAGAACTCATGGTGACAAGATCTTTATGCCATTGAGCGACCAGCTCCTTGTCTTGAAGGATGGTCGCTGCGATTCTTGCTCCGTACGCAGGTGGATTCGAGAACTCGATACGCGTGAGGCTTTCCAGAGCAGATTGAGAGTTCTTGACCGCTTCTTCCGTGCTAGATACTAGCAAGAGACATCCTACACGCTCACCTAAATAATCCCATCAGCCTTGGTAATGCGGCAAGTTTGTTCAATGTCACTTGCCATAGAGACCCATGTTTTTGGCAAAAGACACGCTGACTATCGCTTCCATCCCTAGATCGTTGATGAAATGACGAATGGCGAACGCATCATCGTCAATGTTTCCAGAGTTGAAACCGAGATAAGCAGCGTCGAAAAGTGGAAACAAGCCTCTTGCCTTAATTAGTCCTGCAATTTCTCGCCATTGTTCCCGACTCGGATCACAGCCAGTCGGATTGTGGGCGCAAGCATGCAACACTACAATCGAACCCGAGGTCGCCGATTCCAGCGTCTGGATTATGGACTCATAGGCTAATGTCTTGGTTTCGGCGTCATAGTATCTGTACTTGAGACAGTTGAAACCAAGAGATTTGAAGACACCATGGTGATTCATCCAAGTCGGATCAGAGATGTAGACGTCGTTGGACAAGCTGCTGAAGCGCTTGAGGAATAAGCCTGCCATGTGCAAGGCGCCAGTTCCGGAAATCGTCTGACCACTGGCAATCTGTGTCTGCAGTTCAGCAAGACCCATACCCTTTGAATACGCGGGTTGTACCATACCTTACTCTCCTTGAGTTGGTAGCCAGCGTCTCCTAATACCAATTTGGCGACTCCTGTGCGGAATTCGGGCAAGCCTAAAATAGGCAGGTATTCATGATACAGCCCTTGCTCGGCAATTATCCGCCTGCTCATTGCGACTGAGGGTAAAATCCAAGGCTGCCCGTTTTCGTCTTTGTAGCTTCCTGGCCCGAGATTCACTTTGTTTGGATGTTGATCGAGTTTGAAGTCCGCCGCAAGGGCAAACATCTCATCGGCTGGAATCAGAGGTGCATTGGCGAATACCGAGGCCACTTCCTCGGTTGTGCCATTGGCAGGGTCGACGTGATGGGGTGACATATTGAATCTGTCGAAGTCACAAATCGAAACGCAAACTTTTTGCGAAAGACACCGACGAGCGAGCGGATCTCTATCCTTTATCAGCGGCTTCCAGTCTGCTGATAACAAGTCCTGCTACTCATCGCCTGCATTGAAAGTTCGGCTATCTTGAAGCTTTCGCCGAGCAGAGTTCCATCCTTTTGCCGGCATTTTTCGGCTTTTCGCCGAAAGTTGTATTTCCTTAATACTTTTCAAGCAATCGATTCATTGGCCTAATAGCAATGCGCGTCAAACAAAGACTTGTTGGGTATGCAAGTCAAGTGCGGTTGTCATCGCCGAGGGCGTTGTTCCTGAGTGACGATCTGCGGTTATCGCTTCGGCTCAATGCCGAAGCTTCGCGATTCTTGGCCAGACGACTTCTTGACGTGCGGCGACCTCCCCACGCCTGTAACAACTTTGATATCATCACTGCTACGGCTTCAAGCCGAACAAAAATGTGATCACTTTCTCGTCCGTCCATCGTGACCAGATGAGTATATATCTTCAGCATAAGCCTCGTCGGCACCACGACTTTGTCCGACAGACACCACATCAAACTTCCACATTTTAGCTATACTGTTTTAGTCTTGTCAACAGACGACTCAATTTGATGAAAATGGCGTCTCCTCCTCCGCCCGGTGTTTGGTCCCCTGCAGTCACTTTTTACAACCCTGCGACTGGCCAACTCGACCTTGAATCTCAAGAAAAGTACAACTATTACCTGTCAAAGAGCGGACTTTCCGGCCTTGTGATCCTAGGCACGAATGGAGAAGCATTCCTCCTCACCCGCGAAGAGCGTGCTCGGCTCATCTCCAATGCTCGCAAAGCCGTAGGCCCTGACTTCCCTCTCATGGCCAGCGTGAGCGCCTTCTCCACCATTCAAGTCCTCGAATACATCGACGACGCATACAAAGCTGGTGCCAATTACGCGCTTCTCCTGCCTCCTTGCTACTACGACAAAGCCACCACGCCCGCTGTCATCTCAGGTTTCTTCGCCGAGGTCGCTGAGAAATCACCACTTCCGATCATCATTTATAATGCTCCGGCCGTCTGTAATGGCATCGATTTGGACTCTGAAACCATCACCGCTATTACGAAACAAGCAAAGGGCAAAATAGTGGGTGTAAAGTTGACGTGCGGTAGCGTGGGCAAGATCTCTCGCCTCTCTGCCTCCCTCCCATCATCCACCTTCTCAATTTTCGGCGGCCAATCCGACTTCCTCGTCGGTGGTCTCGCGACTGGCTCTGCGGGCTGCATCTCCGCCTTCGCAAACGTATTCCCCAAGACTGTGGTACACATCTACAAGCTCTTCACTTCAGGGAAACAACAAGAAGCGTTGGAACTGCAGAGGAAAGCGGCGTTGGCGGAAAGTCCTTGTAAAGCTGGAACTGCCAGTACCAAATTTGCGGTCGCGGTGTACAGTGCGGTGGAAGCTGGTGTGCAGGATGCGGAGGAGAAATTGAAGCCGAGGAAGCCGTATGCTGTTGCTCCTGAGGGGGTGAAGCGGAATATCAGGGAGCTTATGGCTGGGATTGCTGAGGTGGAAGCGTCGTTGTAAAACAGGATTTAATTCGCCACCCTGACTCTACAAGTCTGGAGTAAAAGGCTTCTCTCAATGAAAATCATTGCGAAAGGTTCCAAAGATCGGATACCCCGTGGAGTCACATTAGCTAATACATGGGACTTCTTTCGTGGCTTTTGTCATGTTTTCGCAATGGTCGCATCGATTGCGCATGAATAGTAAGAAAAATCCATTCTTCGATCTTCAATACGGTCTATCCACCGGCAATACGTCAGTCGACCGTTTCAAATGCTTCCAACAGCATCAGACATATACCGGAACTCATGCATGGAGATCATATCGCCATAGAGGCAAGTAAGGAATAGCCAGTGTAGCTGATGATAATCAACGTCTTCATCTACGCTAGCACTTTGACTATATGCTGAAACGCCGTCTCCTGGACACTATCCACAAGACCATAAGACAAATGATCAGCAGCAATCTGACAATCACAAGCAGGATCGCTTGCGCAAACGATATCGTTCTTGAAGCAGCAAACCCATTAGCTAAGAATTAGATTCCAGAAAGATTATCACATACCTCGAGGCAATAATCAAGCACTTTTCCACTCTTCCCCAGAGATTCTGGGAACTGAGGTATAGGTGTGTTGGAAGTGATGGCTTGGGTGACAAACATGCCGATGTTTCCTCGTGCGTCTGTGTTACCATGACTATCCACATTGGCAGATTTGCCAGGAATACGATAGGGATTTCTGGCCAGAATGATAGCTTTGATGGCTTCCAAAGCTTTCTTGCCCAATCGGCTGGAAGCTTGGAGAACCAAACTCGCGCCCTGGGAGTAGCCGAGAAGAACATATTTCTGATCGGGACAAGCTTGTATACCAGTGCTGATGGCATGCAAGAGGTATTCTTGACCAGAGGAAGTATTCTGAGCTGGACCGGCGGGGTAGAGGATCGGCTGACTGAGACCGCCGGTGGTGTTTTGAAGGACGCGAGAGACGAGGGTTTGGAACATCATTGAGATGCCTTGAGGTTCGGCTGTACCTCTGGCGTCGAGAATGCCTGAAAATTATTAGTGGATAGAAGTTGAGTGTGGTATATGGATGCAGATTTACGGTAGTCGAAACATGCATCTGCTGGCTCGGATCTGCTCAGATTGGTACGAGGGAAAGTGAGGAAGTTTGAAGAACCACATCTGCAGATGAGAACCTGAGCTGGACAAGGGTATCTAGGTGACGGTGGGTTGTTAGCCATGACTTTCAAAGTCGGTATTGCGAGGAGCAGCGTCCAAAGAGTGGCAGAAGGTTTGAGAAGTTGCATGCTGACTATGTTGATGAAGAAAGGAGTGAGTTCGATGGGATGTGAAGATGAAGACAAACATACAAGTTTATAATAGTCCCGACCGTATAGTCGTCGTCAGCTGCAATGATTAGTTGCCCTCAATGTTGGCCAGAGGGAATTGGTGTAGATGTCATGGCGCGAAGACTCTCCGTATCGCCGTATTGATGCCTGCTTTGGCCACCGACGACTCAAATTATGTCAAAACAAGACCAAAACAATGCTTGAGCTGACATTTGCCTATCACTTCGTTTTTGAAGCAAGGCGAGCTTTGCCTAACAAGCTTGAGTAGGCACGATGATTGGAATTGCGCTAGGTGAATGGCGGCGCTGCGGAGGTGATGTAGACGAGCTGCGTGATACTCGCACTGCGGAAGTGTGGCACCAAACGTTGTCTGGTGATTAAGCATCCATCACGATAGATCTTTTCATAGAGACCCTCCAATCGTTCCTGATGATTGTTGGTGAAGAATCGGTTGACTCGAAAAGGGCTGTAGGCAACACGTTCTCACAACTTACAAGTGATTGCGGCATCGAGATGTTGATACATTGCGCACGAGACAGACAAAAGCCGACTCGACAGCCAGAATATGACTCGCGATCTCGCAAATCGCTAATGACTTGAGTGGAAGTGGTGTTCATGGAAGTGAGGCCCAAGTAATACGTTTTCAGCCTGCAGATTTGACGGCGAGGTCATTTTGCTGAACTCCTGACCTTGTCGCGCGACCGCTTGCTCAAATCATAACTCTGGTTTGAAGGTCGACAGGTTTTGTTGACTTCAGGAGCGCCTTAGGACGGTCTTGCATTCTTTGGATATTCCAACATTGTCTTTAGAAGGCGTTCTCGATGTGGAACTGAGAGTTCTCGTGGTTTTTTTACAAGATCCAACCAATTGCGAAGCGTGCACTCCACCGTCAGGAAAATCAATTTGAACGCAATTCGTTTGTCACCACACGTCGAAGCTTGTCGCTGCAGATAGTTGAGCCCATCCATGATGCCGTTGATTCTACATGCCAGTCACTATTGGAGTGTTGATAGCTTCATCCTATCCCGAGCCATCTCATAAAGATTGCCAAGCATTTGCAGCCGAGGCAAGGGGAGCCTACGAGTGATAGGTAGCTCTCTTCTTCAAGCTGCATCGAAAGCAAATTACATCTACGACATCTACGCACCTGTGCTAAACACTACTGTCATGACCCGAAGCCATATCTGAAGGGCTGATTCTGTCGCTTCGACAGACTACGGGCTCTTTGGACCGAAGAGAAGCTCCAGCGACAGGGCGGGAACCAATAAGCAGATGAGGTACAACCACGCATGATCACATGGAAGACCACGATGAGCTGCGCATCAGTGACATGCCCACATCGCAAGCCTTCAAAGTCACAGCCCAGCCGTCCCTCGAACAAGGAAGGTCGTTGATATGCAACAAGCACAACGTGCTTCATACGATTGGCCTGAAACGCTTCGTGGCAAAGCGACAAGCAATTCGCTCCATCGAATCCGCCCTTGGCACTCCTTGGCGAGGCCCTGTCCTTTTCGCAGCGAGGCCTCACTTTCCTCACCAAAACCGTCCGACATCCTTCGAAGTTTCTTTTTGACAAGACCACGCCGTGGACGCCTCGCAACTTGGCAGATGCGGCATGAACGGTCGCATGGGAAGCTCGCGTCCATCACCACGCGATAGCAATGCGAAGGCGTAAATCTTAGCTTGCATGGGACAAGCTGTTGTGATCATTGGCTGCTTGGTTGCGAAGGAGCCGTATTTGCGTGGTTCCGAGGTAAGGGGAGTCCGGTATAAAGACATGAAGCTCTTGCAGCTGTGAAGATCTTGAAAAAGGCAGGTCGAATTTATTCATTGTTGTGATTTTCTCGCTCTTCTATTTCCATCGTCGTCCAAACATGCGCTTCAGCACTGCTTGTGTCGTGTGCACTGCCGTCATTGTCGGCCAGGCATCTGCTCAGACTTTCCAGCGTCTAGGTGCTTGTCCCACTTTGGGTTGCATCTTCCCTCCGGACCAGAGCGACTTCCTCCCCGGTCAATGGTTCGACATAAGACTCGAGGCTCACGCCCCTCAGAACGGCAGTGAAGTCGTTCCTGGCTACCTCACCCCCGACGAGAAGTTCACCTTCACAATCGCAAAAGACGGCAAGCCCAACTCCGCAAAGGACGCCGCGGCATATTTCAAGATTGACCAACCTGCCATTGAGAGATGGAACTTCACTTGGTATGAGGATCTGTTCGCTCAGGCTGCCAAGACACCTTCGATGGTCAAAGTTGCCGCAAAGGCTTATAGAAAGGTTGCGCTTTACGAGCCGGGTAATTACATTGCCACTCTTACCTATGCCAATGGCAGTGTTACTCAAGCCAACTGGACTGTCCGCGACACCAAGATCTCGCAGAAAGCAAAGAACGTGGTGCGTACAAGAGCAGAGATACCAGGGGTCAACATCGGCTCGACCTCGGAAAATCACCCTCAATCGCCGTTTTGACCCCATTTGGTATTTTCTCACCCTCTATGGTACAGCGATACTAATTATACGCTAGATTCTTTTCGTAGGTGATGGTATGACTACCAACATGATCACTGGTAAGTGGTGTTGTAGAATTAAGAAAAAGGGAACAAACAGCTGACTCAAAATTTAGCTGCTCGCCTGATCGCTCACCAGAGCGTCAACGGCAAGTATCAGACTCGTATGGCTATGGACAAGTTCCCCGTGCTTGGCCACCAGATGACACACTCCATCGACTCTTTCATCACCGACTCTGCCAACTCAGCCACTGCCCTCTACACCGGTCACAAAAGCTCCGTCAACGCTCTCGGAGTTTACGCCGACTCTTCACCCAACCCCCTCGACGATCCCAAAGTTCAGTCCATTGCCGAACTATTCCATGAAGTACGTGATGCTCAACGCCGCGCTATCGCTGCCTTGTTTCGATGAGTTTTGGCTGACATACTTTTGTTTTCTCGCAGGTTCGTGGAGGCGGCGTCGGTATTGTCTCTACCGCCTTCATCGCAGATGCTACACCCGGCGCTTTGACTGCACACACGCGCAACCGTGGGCAGTACGGCAATGTCGTAGACTCGTTCCTGAACGGTATCACCAACTACACCTGGCCCTCATGGACCGGCCCCGATGTTCTCTTCGGCGGTGGTGCCGAGCAGTTCATCCCCAGCAGCAAGTCTTTCCAAGGAAAGGATTACTACCAAGAGTTCAGAAACAAGGGCTACAATGTCATTCAAAACAACACCGCACTGCAGGCTGCCCCTACCACTGAGCGCTCCCTTGGTATTTTCTCAGTCAGCAACATGGCCAAGTGGCTCGACAGAAATGTGTACAAGAACAACACGCAGATCCCCAAGACCTCTCCAGACGGAAGCAGTGCTGCCGCTGTTGACCAGCCCGGTCTTAAAGAGATGACTCTGAAGGCTATCGATATTCTGCACAAGCGTAACCCCGACAAGGGTTTCTTCCTCATGTCGGAGGCCGCCTCCATTGACAAGATGATGCACACTTTGGATTACGACCGCGCCCTTGGAGAACTTCTTGAACTCGACGACACCATCAAGGCCACCCTCAAGCACCTCGAGGAAATTGGTGAACTCGAAAACACCCTCGTCATTGTCACTGCCGATCACGGCCACGGCTTCGATGTCACTGGTGGTGTCGATACCAAGTTTATGGATGCTCAGACATCGGACCGAGCCAAGCGTAATGCTGTCGGTACCTACGAACAATCCGGTCTTTCGCAATACATGGTCGCCAACCGCTCTGCCCCCATCGGCTCTGACCAGAACCTTGTCTACTCTGCCGGCGTCGACTTCCCTGTCAACTGGGACCCTCGCTACACTCTTCAGTCTGGTCTGGCTACTTTCCCTGACCACAGGGAATCGTACAGAATTCACAAGGGATCTGTGAGAGTGCCTGCTATCAACATTACTGGCTTCAGCAGTAACGACTATTTTTTGAATTATGTGGACGCGATCACGGGCTTCGTCATTAACGGAACTCTTCCTGTCTCCGCTGACCAGGGTGTACACTCCCTGACCGATGTCCCAGTCTTTGCCCAAGGACCTTGCCAAAGCGCATTCGGTGGTGTCTACAACAACGTCGACATCTTCTACAACATTGCTACATGCCTGCGCCTGCAGAGAACAAAGGCCGGACACTAGATATATACTTTAAGGTGAACATTTTGGAAAACTTTTGGAAAACCTTTGGATGAAGAAGAAGACTAGATATCAATCGGAGCTGTATATTTAATCATTAAGATGAGCCAAAAGTTGAATGCGACTGAATATAGCGCGTCTCATGGTAATATGGTCTTTTGTGAATATTCTCTGCCTCCTGTCAAAGTAAAGACCGATGGACGGAGAAATTCAGGGGAGGCCCTGTTCGAAGCCGAGAAAGGAAAGCCCACCTCAAAAAACCGTGTCTCCTGCCAAAAATTGCGCACAGTCTTCCACAACCACAATCCATCGTGAATATCATCAACAATGTCTGACAACAAGACCACCAAGGAGACCGCCGCCGCCGAGAACGCGGACGCAACATATACACGCCACTTTAGCGATTTCGTCTCGAGCTGCGGACAAGTCGGCGGTGAAGTCGCTTGGACTACCATTGCCGAGCTGCTTGATCGGTACAATGTACCTGTTCTCTATCGCGTGTATGCGCACATGGTAAATTCTAGTCCCCTTATCAATCATTCTAGCCTCCGACGCACCCCTGAACGTCGCTGTCAACAGGCACGATGATTTTGGAGGTCGAAGATATGGCCATAGAGAGTTGGAGTTTTGCGAGCTCTCTTTGGACTTTTGGACCTTTGCACTGGATGCAAAGTCATCGTGGCTTTTGATGGGAGGTCGGCCGCGTGCGCTCTCTGGCCGGGAGATTGGGTTTGTTGCCATATCCCAGCTTCCAGCGCATTCAACAAAGTCACGGTCAAAAGGCACGATGCTTTTGATATTCAGTGATGAGTCCACAGAGAGCGACAGACCTACGAGTTCTCTTTGGACCTTTACTCCGACTTCAAAATCACCGTGCCTTTTGACAGGACGGTCAGCGGCGCATCTCGGACAACAGGAGCATGCTTTTGATGGACATTCCTTGTCCAGAATTGAGACTAACGGGAGTAGGTACTTGCCCATGGGCCCTCGAACAGACTCTACCATGCAGAAAAAGCCGTCGAACATGCTGAGTGGGATGTGCGCAATTTTGGCGACCGGTGTGGCGGCCTGGAGCTGATCGCTCTCGCCAAACGGACACTCGAGGATCTTCTTGAGAGCGAGCCAATCTGCCACACTGAACAGGGCATCACTGGCCACGATGGAAATTGAAGCTGTAGATGGAAAGTAGGCTTCCCCGCACTGTCAGAAAGAGGCGGAAATGGATGAGAGTAGAGAAGAGCACGCTTTCCCAATCTGGTGTTTTCCGCCCATTTCCGACAGCCAAGCACCCTACGAAGTACAACGTCGGAACACCGGGAGCAGTGCATTACGGCTCTCCGTACACTCTCAAGGCTTCCAAGACATACGGAATGACCATGGAACAAGGATTAGGATTGTTAAAGATACACAAGCACCCGGCTCTCGATATGCCACCATCATCACAATCCCACACGCTCTGCACACATCAACAACATGTTGGCAACTCCTACCATCAGCTTGCCGAGAGCAGCAGGCCTTACACAACTACCGACCAAGACCGCGGCTACCGCTTCCACAATCGAGTTCCTCCAAGATGAGGAGCCAAAGACAATCAACGATTTGATCCGTCTACGAGCACAGGAAGATTGCTCCGACGAGCCCATTGTGGCATACCCTTCTTCCGGAACAAACTATGTTCATTACACGCCCAAACAACTGGACGCCTTCGCCGAGCGTGCGGCATCACATTACTCAGCTTTCATTCCGCAAAGGACATCTTCGAGCGATCCTGTGCACGTCGTTGGTCTGCTCGGTCCTTCGAATCTTGAGTACCTTATCACTCTACTCGCCATCACAAGACTCGGACATACGGTGCTTTTCCTGTCGACAAGGATTTCAGAGGAAGCATATGTTGGTCTGTTGAATTCGACAAAAGCCACCACTCTGCTGGTCGACAATGCCTTCCAGTCCATGGATAAGAAGATTCAAAGTCAATGTCCTGTCAGCGTGCAGCCGGTCTGCAGCAGGGTTGACTACGACGGGTCAAAGCCTACCACTTCCCTCCCGAAGGCATACTTAGACAGCAACACTGAGAACTCAAATATCGCCTGGATCATCCACTCGAGTGGTTCGACTGGCCTGCCCAAGCCCATCTACCAGACTCACGCTGGCAATCTGCGAAATTATGCAAACAACTTTGGTCTCCGCGGATACATCACTCTGCCACTCTTCCACGCCCATGGCATTAGTTGCTTGTTCCGCGCCATCCACTCCCGCAAGCTCATTTACATGTACAATGCTGACCTCCCATTGACGGCGCCTCACCTCGTCGCCACACTCAAGAGCCACGACATCCAGATCCTCTACGCCGTGCCATACGCATTGAAGCTTCTCGCAGAATCGGAAGAAGGCGTGAAGCTTCTTGCATCACTTCATTTAGTCATGTTCGGCGGTTCTGCATGTCCGAAACCGATCGGTGACAAGTTGACAGCTCAAGGCGTGTTGCTTGTATCGCATTACGGCACAACCGAGACCGGCCAGTTGATGACATCCTTCCGCGACCGTGCAGACAAAGACTGGGATTTCGTGCGTCCCGCCGACAACCTCAAGCCCTTCCTGCGCTGGGAGGAGCAAGCTGCCGGAAGCGGTATCTACGAGCTTGTCATCCTCAAAGGCTGGCCGAGTCTGGTGGCGAGTAATCGTCCGGATGATGCGTATGCGACCAAGGATCTTTTTGAGGCTCATCCGACTACGCCGCATGCTTGGAGGTATTACGCCCGTCTGGATGATACACTTGTGCTGGAGAACGGCGAAAAAGCGAATCCGCTGTTTGTCGAGGGCGTTGCTCGTGAGAACAGGAATGTTGCCGAGGCTCTTGCTTTCGGTGCAAACAAGCCTCGTATCGGCCTGTTCTTGATTCCGGCTGAGTCTACTGCTTGCAAGACCAACGAAGAGCTCGTTGATACGATTTGGCCTGCTATTGAGAAGAGCAATGATCAAGTGCCCGCCTTCTCCAGACTTTCAAAGGACATGATCAAAGTCTTGCCGAAGAATCTGGTGTACAGAAAGACAGACAAGGGTACCGTCATCCGCGCTGCTTTCTACCGCGATTACAAGGACTTGATCGAAGACGCTTATCGCGAGGATGAGCTTTCCGGCAGCGAAATTCTCGAGGGAAACGACCTTCTTGCCTTCCTACGAGCGCGTCTGCTGGAGATCGCCGACTTCGCCGACATGTCCGTGCTACAGGACGACACCGACCTCTTCAGTCTCGGTGTTGACAGTCTACAGTCCATCAGATTGAGGAAGAGCATTCTCGAGACCCTCGACGTTGGAGGCCAGAAGGTTTCTCAAAATTTCGTCTTCGAGAATCCAAGCTTGACCGCTATGGCTGAAGAATTGACTCGTCTCCGTACTGGCACAGCCAAGAAGGACTTGCCGACCGTCGAAGAAAGAATGGCTGCTCTGATTGACAGATACAGCGACTTTCCTCAACATGTTGCCGGGAACAAAGCTGGCCCAGCCGGCGAGCATGTTGTCGTTACCGGCGCCACCGGATCTCTTGGTGCTCATGTTGTCGCTCAGCTGGTTCGTCAAGAGAGTGTTTCCAGGGTCTATTGTCTTGTACGCGCATCGTCGCAGGCTACTGGACAGAAGAGAGTCCGCCAATCGCTCATGGAGAGACACGTATATCACATGCTTTCTGCCTCTGCTTTGCGCAAACTCGTTGTGCTCCCTGCAACTTTCGCAGAACCTCATCTCGGCCTCTCAGATCAAGTGTATAAGCAATTGTCCTCAGAAGTGACTGGCGTTCTACACTGCGCTTGGTCGGTCAACTTCAACATGGGGCTCGAAAGTTTCGAGAAGGACTGTATCGCCGGCACAAGGCATTTGATTGATCTTTGTCTGTCATCCACCCGTGAAACACCTGCTCGTTTGGCTTTCTGCTCTTCCGTCTCCGCAGTCGCCAGAACACCTGGTAATATCGCTCCTGAAGACTTGCCCGACTCCTTGTCACACGCTCAAGGCATGGGCTATGCACAATCCAAGCTCGTTACAGAGCACATCTGTCGCCGCGCTGCCGCGCAAACAGGCATGTCCGCTCGTGTGGTCCGCGTAGGTCAAATCGTAGCCGACACTCGTCAAGGTGTCTGGAACGCAACGGAAGCAATTCCTATGATCTTCCAGACTGCAGTGACAGTCGGCGCACTTCCTGCGCTTGACGAGACACCTTCCTGGACACCCGTCGACATTATCGCTAGCAGTCTTGTCGAGTCACTCGCCAGCAAAGAAGATGCGGGCGTCATCAATCTGACCAATCCTGCCTCCTTCCATTGGACCAAAGATCTTCTGCCTCTGCTCAAGCAAGCAGGTCTGGACTTCGAGACAGTGGACAAGCGTACCTGGCTTGCCCGTCTGCGAGTGTCAAATCCTGACCCTACTGCAAACCCACCAATCAAATTACTCGACTTCTTCACAGCAAAATACGACAACGACGCCAAGGGCAGAAAACTGTCTTATGCGACAGCAAAAGCGGAAGCATGCGCACCCAGTCTGTCTTCCGCTGGTCAGTTGAGTTTCGAATTGGTGCAAAAATTCGTCAACTATTTCCAAAACAATTGCTGGAACAGTCAGGAGAAGAAACAAGCGAAGCAGACAGTCCTTGTCATCGCCGGACCTTGTGGCACAGGCAAGACTACTGTTGCTACAGCTATTGCTGAGAAGATGAGCCTACCCTACATCGAAGGCGATGTTCTCCACACACCTGAAGCGCGCGAGCAAATGGCACAAGATATCGCACTCAAAGACTCTGATCGTTGGAAGTGGCTGGCTCGTCTTCGCAAAGCTGCTGCGTCTTCTTTGCTGGAGACCAAAGCTTCTGCGGTTGTGGTCACTTGCTCAGCATTACGACAAGCATACCGTGACTCTCTTCGTCAAGTGACTGAAGAAGACAATTTCGACATCAAGTTCTTGCTTTTACTCGGCGATGAGGAAGAGTTGAAAAGGAGGACTAAAGTCAGAGCTGTTGAGGAGGGACATTATATGAAGCCGGAAATGGTCGGTGGGCAATTGGCTACACTTGAGAGCCCAGGTGAGGCAGAAGTAGATGTAGTGCCTATTGATACTGTCAAGGCGAAAGATGTGGTCGTGGCAGAAGTCGAAGAGATAGCCAGGGTGATGTTGACATAATTCCCTGTCCTCCCCAGCATCCATCATCGCCTTAGCAGTTTCCAGAATAGCATAACTAAGCAAACCGAGAGCCCTTACACCTCCTTCAATTCCACCCCCGTCCTCTCCAAAATATACAAATGATGCATCTCCGGCGGTCTGTGAACTTTATCTTCCGGGTCAGGCGATTGGACGATCTCCTCATGCTTGACCAATTTCCAAAGTTCGCCAGGTTGTGGTAATCCTTGTGGCATTTCCTCACCTTCCCAGTCCGAGAAACGGGACGATGAATAGCTCAACACTACCCAACGACATCCCGGTCTCGCCAGATATGCTAGATGGATGGCTAGGATATGAGGAGGATATATTGCCGCTTTCTGCGGAGAGGTGTGGTTGCTTGAGGTGGAAGTGTTGATGTTGTTGATGCAATAAGGCAAACCCACCACCACATCTTCAGCACAAGAAATGGCATCGGTGGTTGATTTATCAATGATGATATCATATACACCACCATCCTCACCACCACCATCCTCACCATCACCGCCCTTTCTGACATTTGCAATTTGCTCCGGATCCAGTAAATCCAAAACCGACCAGCGACTTTGCACCTCCCGGCCTCCCGATCTTGCAGCATGATCGTTTTTTTGAAGTAATTCCTCTTCCCTCTGTCGTTGTCTTTTTATTACCACGGAGGAATAATCGCAATTGTGGAGTTGTGTCGCTGTTTCCACTAATTCGCGTAGTTGGAATGATAGTAGGGAATTGCCACAACCTATGTGTAAGATTTGTGGTGTTTTCCCTTTACCATCTTTTCCACCATCTTCTTTTTCAACTCTTGCGGTAACAAATCTTTTTTCCCCATCGATAATTTCACGCAACACTGGTTCCAAGATTGTGAAATCGGCTACTAGCCAGTCGAAATTTTCTTCCGAGGAAAATCGTGTGTTCCAGTATGTGAGGTCGCCGAAGGAAGGGGGCATTGGTGTTGTTGTTTTTTTTTGTGGCCTTTTTGTGGCTTTTGGGGGAGAAGAAAAACTCGTCATGAGGCTCTGAGTGGGGAGGAGGTGGTTCCGTTGGGTGGGTCTGAGGGCAGGGGGGAGGGAGTGGCCAGAATGTGTTGATTGGGTGGTCAGAAATTGTGGTTGGAGATGTGGATTCGGTGGGGGCAGATCGCGGGCATCGTTCGGTGAGAAGAGTTACGAGTATGACTGGGATATGTTGCAATCATGATGACTAGTAAGAGATGGAGACAAGACGCAAGGAGTAGATATTTGGAAAGTCTTAGCTTCTATACCTATGCGAGGGTTTGGTCTGATGACTAGGATTATGTACAGATCTCCGGTCTCACTAAAATCATGATTATATACAACTTCCTAATCTTCTCGCGAAGTCTTAGTTGATGTAGTTGGCCTCGTTGCCGATATCAGGCGAGATGGGACCGGGCAAACTGTTGAACACATCTCCAATATAATTGCCTGGTGTCAAACCCTTATCATACGTTCCATTCCAGTACATCATCACATCCTTGACAATCTCAATACCCGCATTGTGAATATTCTGGATACTAGGGACAAAGCCCTCTTGCTCAGCATAAAGAAGATGGTAGACTTCGGTCTCGCCGGGTGGTGCGCGGTCGAAGTCGCTAATTGTTCTCATGATGATGATGCGGCTGTAGTCGAGTTTGCCTAGGATGGCACCACGGAGTAGTGATTCTAGAGTTGCGTTGTCCTCTTGTTGGGTACCGCAGTAGATTCCGGAGCCGTTGGTGAGGAGTGAGGTGTAGTTGCCGAACGCATCGCCCAGAACAGATCCGGACCAGTATTGATCGGACGTGGCGCTATCGCACTTGACCACACTAGGAGGTTGGTTGGCAGGAGAGTAACCGTACTTGGCGCGGTACGACATCGCAGCATCGGTATCGTTGAGAGTAGCCAGGGATGCGAGGTAGTATGCACGATCACGGAGGTTCTCGTTAACTTCGTAGACTTCAGTGCCGTAGAGTGAACCAGGATAATCTTCAGAACTGGCCTCGTCGGGATAATAGGCGCCCTGAGGATAGTACCCAGATGTAGCGTTGGAGGGAGTTTGGAAATGGTCAAATTCTTCTTGCAAGCCGACTTGCACAGCGTATCTGGCGAAAGTCACAGAGCCGGTGGTCACGCGATGAGGGTTTCCGCCAGAGATACCAGCGATCATGAAGTAGGTGGAGGTCAAATCAAAGCACCCGGATAACCAAAGAGCGAGAACTGAACCGGCAGCATTGATTTCTCCCTCGCCAGTGGTCATTTGGCAGACCTCACCAGACGCGGTACAGTGTGCGTCAGGGAAGAGAGAAGAGAAACCAGGCACGGTCACATTATTCGCGTAAAGGTTGAGTGTGGTGTCCTCATACCAGATGTCTGCCTCGGAGGAAAACTGGTGAAGTGTGTCAGCGTCAAAACTTGTACATGCTCGGCATTGTGGGTTCTACCATGCTGATGATGAACATCTTGGGCTTGACGGGCGCCGTAGAAGAGCATAGTGGCGACGAATCTCTCTTCGTCAATGCACTACGACCAGCATGGTTTGCCTGCACCGAGCGATGCGTTGGCTTGAAGGAAGCGCGAGCAAAGGACGAGGCCAAAGCTTCGGCAGCGAAGAGGCTTGAAATACACAGGAAGATGAATTTCATGCTGACGGTCTTCTAGAACTTTTGTAATGGAGTGGGAGGTACTTGGCATGCAGGTGCGCAGATGATCGCCTTCATATACAAGACAATAATGTCTGTCAGTAGAAGGTGTCGGTAATCTTGTCTCTCACCGGGATGGGCCGTTATCTGGGTTACAATGTTGCATACTGTCATGGATATCCTGGCGGTACCACATTTTGAGTGCAAGGTGACCGTTGCCGTCCAGATATGCTTATCGAGTCTTGATTGACGCCACTGAACGATATGACTGGTTCAGAATGCTTCTTATCTGGGGCGCATTATCGCATTGCCGACATTCCCGTGATAGAAGACGACTCTTCCGAGTCTGAGCGTAGAGAACCACGCGTCACCAGAACCTAAAGCTGTCTTGTGTGCTCATGTTCGTGTACGGTTCCTGCAGAAAGCTGTTTCAATCTCTGACATTACACAGCCGTGGTATGTTTTCGGGCGCAAGATGAGACCCTCAGATCCACTGCGCATGCTGAGCGCGATCAACGAAACTCACAAGCAAGAAGACTTCCAGTTGCGTGAGTCGGTACGAACAGATGATAGGTGCCGGTCTGCAATCGTTTGCCGGGACGGGTAGAAACCTGTCAGAGAAGAGGTGGCCACTTTGTGTTTCCCGGTGGGCAAGAAGTTTTGGCCGCTAGGAGACTTCAGGCTTGGCGGCCCATTGAATGGTATCGGTGTTGTTGACACTCATTGCTGATTCAGGCTAGTCTTCCTCTCAAATGGACCGTTTGCGAGAGAAGTCAAGAACGAATAGAAGTTGCATCCTGCAAGTCACGAGAATGTAGGATATCTTGTTGCTGCACGAGGCCAGCATGTATCAGGGAAAGTGCGACCGGCGTCGGAGAAACAAAACTCCACAAGCACCAGCTTTCACGAACAGAACGCGATTTTCGTAACGGAGTTTCGTTCGTCATCAACGGAACAACGAAAGCACGAAGACCAGAATAGGCCAAGCATCGTTCAATAGAAAGACGACATGAGCTTTTCTCCCATTGCATGTGAGAGTTGTCGCTCGAAAAAGAGAAAGGTAGGCGACGATTCCTTCAGTCTTTTTCGTGTCCTAAAGTCTCATGGTTTTATAGTGTGATCGCAAGATGTAGGTAGCTATTTCGACTCGATGTTCAGGTAGGCTAACGCCAATTTGCAGTCCGACATGTTCGCAATGCACGCATTCAAGTCTCGCGTGTACATATCCTGGAACAAGCAAGAGGTAAACCTTTCTCTAGGTGGTACGGGGCTTCGGATATCCGCTGATGTTCTGCTCTCGCCAGAGGTCTTCCTTCAGGTTACATCGCCAAAATTGAAGAAAGGCTAGCACACACAGAAGCAGCATTACTTCAAGCCCTCTCAACAATCCATGCCTCGGAAGCACGAGCAATAGAGAATGTTCTTCCAGCCGGTCCAACATCAGAAACGGTGGAACGACAACAACTCGAGTTCAACGAGATACGCATTGCCAAGGTGGAAGAATGGCAAAGATATCCATTGGACAGCGAACAACAGCAGAGAGAATGGATGCGTCATAAAATCAGCACTGGCGATTTGCAAGCAGAAGTTCGAGCAGAAGTTCAAGCGACAGCACATCAAGCTGATGAGCCAGAGCCATTGCACCAACACAGCAATCAAGAAGTAGTGTCGACAAGGAAACGACAACGGACCATAATATCGGATCAGCAGCAACCAGATACGGCAGCATCTCCAGAGGCATCAGAGAGAACGCGAGGTCCGGAGTCGCTTGCCGGATGGACAGCGAATACATTCGTACAAGACTCCTACAATAACCAACCGAAAACGCAGTCGCCAGCACCAGTCCTCCCACCAACTTCAAATCCCTCAACCTCCGACCCCACCAGCATCCATGACCCCCAGCCGCCCAGCAAAGCAAAACGCCTCAGCATTCTCCACTCACGAAAATACTTCTAGAGCGCCCAGAAACTCATCAGCCGAGTCTATACAACCTTCACAACCTTTACCCGTATAGAAGCGTATACGAGAGCCCAGAGGACAATTATCCGAACAAATGACGGTGTTTCACACCGTCGGCGTCTGTGCTGGTGTAGATCAATTAGGGCTCGGTCCGCGTCGTGGGGAAGAATTCGCGGGGCCCCTCGGTTTTCTGCCTTTGGTGTTTCATCCATGGATCGCGTATTTGGACCATTACAAGAGTGTATGTTGATGCGCATAGGGAGGGAAGGAGAGGTATATAAACTGCATCATACCCCAGTCGCAAATCCTCCGATCATCCTTTCACATCGTTTAGAGCAATGCATTTTCTCACTTCCATCACTAGGCTAAGTGCCATTGCCGCCATCACTGTTTCTAGTGTAACCGCTGCTCCTGCATCTACTTCGCTTCAAACTAGAGCAGACAGTTATGTCGGATACCTTGTTTCCACCTTCTCGGATGTAACACCTGCTGTCCAATTCCACCTTTCCAAGGGCAATGATGCTGGCAGTTATACTTTTTTGAACAAGGGTCAGCCGGTTTTGAAGTCGACTGTGGGGACCAAGGGTGTGAGAGATGTGTTCTTGGCTCATGATAGTGCGAGGACGAATTACTATATGATCGCTACTGGTGAGTTCGAAAAGACTTCCTGAATGATTAATGTATATTGACAGAGAACAGATCTCGATATCAATGCTGCAGGATTCAGCTGGGATGCCGCAACAAGAACAGGAAGTCGTGGTATCGTGGTTTGGAGTTCCAAAGACCTGATCAACTGGTCTGCATCCTCTCTCCGCACGTAAGATCTCCCGTCCATCCATACACTTGCTGCAACTACTAACAAAAGGCAGTGTCGAGAGCGCAAACGCAGGCATGACCTGGGCACCCTCGGCAGTCTGGGACGACGCAACATCCCAATTCTACGTCTTCTGGTCTTCCCGCCTCTATGCCGATTCCGACCCCAAACACACTAGCGTTGCCTCTCTCGACCGCATCCGTTACACCACAACCAAAGATTTCGTCACCTTTGCAGCGGCAAAGGATTATCTTGCTCTTGCCAACACACCTCTCATCGACCAAGAATTCCAATATCTAGGCAAGACAGGCTCCTTCGCACGTTTCTTGAAGAACGAGACGGTGAATCAGGTCTATGTCGAGACGACGACTGGTGGTTTGTTTGGCAAGTGGACCCGTACACCTGGATATGTGAGACCAGAGAGTCCGAGAGAAGGTCCTGCTTCGTTTGTTGACAACGTTACTCCTGGACTCTATCATCTGCTGTTGGACGATTACACTCAGTATGTGCCTTATCAGTCTACCGACCCGGCAAAGAGTGGTGCTTGGACTGCTTCGAACTACCCCAACTTCCCTAAGGGTCTGAAGCATGGATCAGTGACTCCGTTGACACAAAAGGAGTACAATGCTGTTGCCGCAAAGTATCCCGCTTAAGAGCTCGGTTCTCTAAATAGCTTAGTATCGTATGTGAAAGTTGCGAATCAGAACAGTGTCATGATCGCCTCGTAGTGTCTTGGTATCGGTTCCCTCAAATCTCGAAATCGAGGAGTGAAGAGTATTGGTCGTCACCCATCCAGAAAGGAATGTCAAATTGTTCGAAGATATTGTTGCTGGTAGCTGCAGCAGCATCGGGTCCGGACATCCAAGGAATGGTCACATGCTGATCAAAGCTGGAAGGTGAAGGACCCATCACGTTTGCTGCGTGACTTTGCAGGCTATTCTGTTCATTCCTTCCAGGTTGCGGAAAGAGATTTGGTTGCTGGGAGAAATCCTGGTATCGCGTTGCATTTCGGGGGAGAGTGGTGGCTGTTTGTGGATGACCCAGCGCTTGAGTACTTTCACTCTGTGGAATCGATGGCGACTGTGGTGTTGTAACAGCAGAGTCGAGAAGTAGCCTCAAGAAAAGATCATCGATGGCGACAGCGCAGACATTTGGCCATACACTGCCTCGAAGGGCGAGCTGTCGGAGCACCTCAACACTTTGATCTGCCAGCCTCCGTGCGACAGGCTTTGGCATCTCGCCTTCAATCGCCGCATGAAGTACGATGAACGCACTCATCCATACACACCAAGTCAAGGATGGCCAGAGTAGAGGTGCCGGAGTCGATGATGAGATATCCTGCGTGGTAGTGTTCTTAAGGTAGCCATGAAGTATGGTAATGGTAGACCTGGAAGCACGAATACAAGTTTGTAAAGCAGCCATGTATTCCGAAGTGTGCCTCTCCAGCGCAAGTAGTGGTCTGTTGAGCGATATGGCTGATTCGTGCTGTAAGACCAAAAGGATAGCTTGATGTAACTTGTTGACATCTCCAGTCTCGCCGTGTTCAGAGGCCTCCAGGGTATACTGAAGGTCGTTCGCCCATTTGTCGATTCTCGCGCTGATGAGGGTAGCTTGATCACGGTTAGCCGTTCTTTGATGAACAGACTTGTTGCGAAGCTCCATGATCTGTCCCTTAATGGAAGCATGCCTGGTAAGAAAATTCAACACTCTCAAGCGGTCGTCCATGATTGTCCCGTGACGATTCTCGGCCGAGTGTTTCTCGTCGTCGAAATAGCAAACATCGACATCGTCGTCACGAATGGTTAGAGGTAACCCCAGAGACTGACACAAATGGCGATCGATACAATAGATTGTCCAGAACAATCTCCGACGAAGCTCTGCTTGTTCGGTATCGAAACCTGCATATCTCGTGGGACATCTGTGCAGTCCCATCTGGAATGTCATTCTCACTATCATACCTCCCAGCCGTGATGCACCATTGAGACGCAGCATTGAGACCAAAAATAGCTGCACCGAGACGACTGCTTGAAGTGCTTCGATAGAGGTCGGCAGAAACAGCATGTCTTGCACACTTTCCATGGCTTCCTTGAAAGATTTGAAGATGAGGCTGGCAGGGATTGGTTGCGTAGATCGATGACCAGACTGCCTACGGTCTGCTAGAGAAATGGACATGATGGAACGTATTATAGTGAAGCGTGGACTCTGGTGACCGTGAAGATTTTCCAGATTGTTCAGTCGAACTTCCTGCTCCAGATATTCCAAGATAGATGGCGCGTGAATGAAAGGATAAGCAGTGTGCCAATTCTCGAAATAGCTCTCGCTCCATGTTTGCAATGTCTCGAAATCGTATCCAAGGTCCTCGCCGTCGGCTGCAGCAATCTCGTTGGGTGACCAGAGATTTTTCGAGCTGTACGGAATAGTCTCGTCCAATTGATCCTCTTCTCCAGGCACGATGTTCTGATCCGGCGTCTGAGGTGGTATATGCACGCGGGATTGAGATTTGGTCAAAGCCTGGTATACCGAGCGGACAAAGTGAATGCCGCTCGAGCTGCCCACAAAGCTTGGTGCGTTTGTGCCATCGCTCTGTCTCATCAAACCAATCTCGCGGCGTTGGCGGTCTTGGGACTCGTGCCGGCGACGTTTTGTCGGAGGCCTATAATCTCCGTCACGGGCGCGGCCTGGCCGCGATTCCGCTGATTTGGTGGTCAATGGTGCTGATGCATCTGTCATTGAACGTGAAGTTTGGGAGAAATTGAAATTGGCGATGAGAAAGGAAAGTTTGTTGACTTGACTGCCCGGAGGAGTCTTTGCCCGTGCGTGATTGCCGTCGCGTTTGCAACATGTCTTGGCAGAGTTTCAGAACGTCCACGTCACAATCTCGCCAGGCGAAACCTTTGCACATCCGAACCTTCATTGCACTTAGGAATATGTGCGGCGCGGCCATCTTGTGACTGGGCACGAAGATTTTCTCTGTAGCTGATGGCCTCTCGCTGCATTCTTGCTGATCGATGAAAATGGCTCAAAAGAGTTGATGCATTTCGCCCCCTCGGCAACGGGTGTACAGCCAAGGCCACAATGCCACTGTGTTTCTTTCTTCAACCTCGAGATAGCGACCATCTGCCTACATCCACGGAAGCAGCGCAATGTCGACAGACAGTCACCCCGTCATCATGACTGCACGGACTTGTCTCTCAATGGCGACTCTCTATGGTGTTGCGGCAAACACCATCACCACCTACCATGACGCCGGGTTCGATCACAGAATGGGTGTCGTGGGAGTCGTCGGCTTTATCATCGCCGAAGGAGCATATCACATTATCGAATTGAGAAAGCACATTGGGATTCGCCATGAGGAACGTACTTGGACGAATCCAGACTGTGTATTGCACTTTCACAAAGGCGTAGCTGGGACACTCTTCTTCGGGATGCTGTTCGGATCCGCAAGAACCAACCAAGCCTTGCAGTTTCTATGTCGTCTGATTTCTAAAGCATAATTCTGGGTCCCATCAAGCAACAGCAAATACTGATTGAGAAGAATCCTAACGCTTCCGGAACTAATCTCCAATCAGACTCGTTATCTGTATCACAGCTCATGCACCTCCGCGCATGTCTATTAAGAAGGCCTTGACTCTTTCTCTGTCCTTTTCAGCCCTCAGAAGCCATCTAAGCCCTACAGCCGTCTCAATGTCGAACCTTTTGCTCTGCTTCAGATGCGGAAACATGCCGTTGAAACCATGGGGGACTCCTGGATAGACGTCAAGTCGGGTCTCGATGCCATGGTCTTTCAACACTCTCTCATAGACAAGACCGTCATCACAGAGAGGATCCAGTCCAGCCACTTGTACATATGTGCGAGGCAACTTCGAGAACGATTCCGGATCGTTGAAAGGAGAGAAGTCAGGAGATTTCGCATGCGGCTGGTAGGCGGCCATGACACCATTGAGGGCGTCCTCGTTCAGGATTGGCGCTTTGGAGTTCTGTTCTCTTGCAATCCACAGACTCTTGTATTGGTCCGGAACAATGTCCTCCATCAACAAGAACGGGACCGCGAGATAGAGTCCTGTCAATGGAGGAGTCAGGTTTGTTCTGGTGGCTTTGTGCATTGTTACCGCTGCAAGATTGGCGCCAGCAGATCCGCCGCCGAGGATAAACCCAGCGGAAAGGTCGGCATTGAGGGTATGAGCGTTCCCGGCGAGCCACTCAATGTTGTCCCAGACGTCGTTGGCTGGAGTGGGAAAAGGGTTTTCAGGAGCGAGACGATATGAGATATTGGCGACGGTAGCTCCGTACAGCAACGCAGCAGCTCGTGCAGTTGCTGCGTACTGCTTGTTGATCCCTAAAACGAAGCCGCCACCATAGCAGAGTACGATCAGTGGACTCGGTGATGAGGAACGCGAGGCGGACTGATACACGATTGCTTCGTTCTCATACCCATCGCGCATTGTTATTTTGATTGTATGCTCGCGGACCTTTGTAGTCGCACCGGCTGAATACTGCTGTTCGCATTTGAATACTGGCGAATCATCTTTGGCTCAGGAAGAGCTTCTTGAGGAGGCATGGTGGCCAGAATCTACATCGACTCCTGATGAGTAATATACTTTGGATCTCGTGGCTAGCAGACGAACCTGAGCAAATTCATCATCGAGAGTGGCTAGCGCGGCGATATTTTCGGGGGTGTCGTACAGCGCCATGTTCGTCAAATGTGGCTATCTGTCGAGCTTGAGTGATCGATATACAAGAGAAGCCCGATTGATATGTCCAGGTTGACTATCGACAAAACTCCCTTCGGCCGAAACTTCTTGTCAACGAATGCAAGCGATGTTCGACTTCGTCAGGCTTTACACAGCCATTCTGGCGCTCAATACTCCGTACGCGTATCATCCATATTCGTAACTATCAGGTACGAACGCGAATACGACACGAATACGAATTCAAAATCTCTCCAGATTTTCTGTCAAACTCGGAGCTCCTTCTTCCGAGAGCGCTCGAGCCAGCATAGACTGTGCCGAGGTACAGAGTGCCGGAGCCATGTCCGATACCGTTGTTCGTTGTTAACACCCCCCACAAGACCCAGGAAGCCATCCGGCGAAACCCTCGGAGAACGCACCCAAGCAACAGTTCACTTGTGGGGTTAGCTGGTAACGTGCCTTCCAGAGCATGATGGATATGGCATGACTTATAAAAGTGTGACGCCTGTGCCACGACCATGTTGACGACTCATTCTCCTCATCCCGGCACTAAACAACGATTGCAACTGCCATGACTGCAAGAAAAGATATCTCAGGGTTGATAACCCAAATGACTCTTGATCAAAAGGTGGGATCTACAATCTTGTCATGTGTTGCGGTTCTTAGAACTAACAGCTCGACAAGATCAGCCTGTTAGCAGGCAAGAACTTTTGGGAAACACAAGAGATACCCGAACTTGGAATACCATCTTTAAAGGTGATACCTCATGCTCTGATACTGTGACGATGGTTCTAAATGCATTTAGTTATCCGACGGACCCAATGGTGCTCGCGGTGCGGCTTTCTCTGGTGGGACCACGGCTGCATGCTTTCCAGCTTCAATTTCCCTAGCCGCAACCTTTGACCTTGAGCTTGCATACAAAGTTGGCAAGGCCCTGGCCGAGGAGACTTTGACTAAAGGAGCAAATGTGCTGTAAGTGGTTACTGAATTGCTGAGAATTCACAATGTTGATCAGTATAACAGTCTCGGTCCAACCGTTTGCCCTCACCGGCACCCCCTCGGTGGCCGCAACTTCGAGTCTTTTTCGGAAGACCCCCTCCTCACTGGCAGACTTGCATCCCAGTACATCTGTGGCCTTCAAGATCAAGGTGTTGGTGCCACGATCAAGCATTTCGCCGTCAACGAACAAGAGACTAAGCGCTTCACGATGGATGCCAACGTTAGCGAGAAGGCACTGCGGGAGATATATCTGAAGCCTTTCGAGATTGCCATTAAAGAAGCCAAACCATGGGCATTGATGACGAGCTACAATTCTATCAATGGTAAACACGCGGATGCGAATGATGTCCTTCTCCAGAAGATCTTGAGAGAAGAATGGGGTTGGAGAGGGTGGGTTCAATTTCTGGTACATTGTCGCAAGATACATAAACTGACCATTTCTCTAGCCTCTGCATGTCTGACTGGGGAGGTACCAACTCAACGGCTGAATCGTTGAACGCTGGACTTGCATTAGAAATGCCCGGCACTGGAAGATACTATTCGCAACGTGCAATCCAAGGCGCGCTCGCAAGTGGGAAGCTCAGCGAAGAGGTCATTGATCAGCGCGTGACGGAAGTGCTAAACTTGATCTCAGTCACGGGGAAATTCGAACATCCAGAAATCATCGCCGAATGCGCAGTCGTCAATCCTGAACATTCTAGACTTATCCGAGAGGCTGGCGCGCAAGGCATTGTGCTTCTCAAGAACCAAGACGGCATCCTCCCGCTGCATCCCAAAAGCATCAAGAAGATAGCAGTCCTTGGGTTGGCGAAACAATGCCTAGCGCACGGAGGTGGCTCTGCTTCTGTCAATGCGCATTACAAGATCACGCCTTATGACGCGCTTGAGAAGACGCTCGGCACCGCGACGAAACTCCTGTATGCGGAAGGAGCACACATGCATCGAACTCTGCCAGTGCTTGCCGAAAATCTGGCTGACCTCCAAGGCACCGCTGGCTTGACACTGACCAAATACAGCTTGGATAACCCCGAGAAGGTTGATGCAGTCAGTACTGTACAAACTAGCCGGTACATGAGTTTAGGACAAGCACCGTCTAGCAAAGTCATTATCGAAGGCACCTTCACGACCAAAGAGACCGGTCATCATCAGCTTGAGTTGAGTTCAATCGGCGTTGCAACGCTCTGCATCAATGGAGAGCTCATCATGAGTGCCCATGGTGGTACAGCTGACCCAGTAGCCTTTCTTCAAGGGAATTCCGAAGGACAAAGATGTTTCTTTGACTTCAAACAAGGCGAATCTTGTGCGATCAAAATTGAATTGAAGCCGGAGGCGAACAAGTCTGGCCTGTTGTTACTGAACGGCGCCATGGGAGTATCTCTCGGCATGATGGAGCAGTCAATGGCTGAAAGAGACCTTCTCACGCCAGCTGTAGAGGCTGCTAAAGATGCAGAGACTGCCATAATCTTTGTCGGCAACACGACTGCTTGGGAATCTGAAGGTCGCGACATGAAAACCATGAATCTACCTGCAGACGGCTCTCAAGACAGGCTCATAGACGCCGTGGCTGATGTCAATCCGAACACAATCGTCGTCGTGTCGACCGGAGTACCGATAGCGATGCCTTGGTTGTCCAAAGTCAAGGCTGTTGTGCAGACATGGTTTCCAGGTCAGGAAGCTGGCAATGCGATTGTCGATGTCCTTACAGGTATGGTCAATCCCAGCGGACGTCTTCCAGTCACCTTTCCTCGCAGGCTTGAAGATACACCTGCATATGAAAACTTCCCGGGGAATATGGATACCTTGCAAGTCGACTATGCGGAAGGCAGCTTCATTGGCTACCGCCATTATGATCATCACCCCGTGACTGTGCTATTCCCTTTCGGATACGGTCTTTCGTACACCACCTTCGAGCACAGCAACGCTCATCTTGCTTGTGGCACAGATGCGGTATATAGTGGCTCGGCTTCGGAGTTCATTGCTTCCATCGATGTAAAGAACACTGGGGATTCCAGCGGTAGCGAAGTGTTACAAGTCTTCGTCACACCTCCGGCATCTTTGACCAATTCAAGGACACAGCGAAAGCTTGTCGGTTTCGCAAAACTGCATCTAGAGGCTGGTGAGGCCGGCTCTGCGTCTATCGCATTCACGCGCAATGAGTTCTCTGAATGGGATGAAGGTAGCTCAAGATGGACTGTTCCGGGCGGCGAGCATGTTGTTGAGATTGCGATTTCGGCAAGCAAAGCGGACGTAAAGGCATCGTTCAAGATTTTGACTGATCGAGAAGATCTGACGAGCAAATTATAATCACCAACAAGAAGGCATGGTCAAGGATTTCCGCGTCGTATCTGATCCTGATGGGGCAACCTTGTCTAAGAATAATCACAATACTGGTCACGGATTAAAACTGTTTTTCGTCTCTCGCTTTACATGGTTCAATGCCTTTTCTGACTAGTATGCGATTGCTATCCGTCATAACTTCTCACAGATCTTTCGAGAGGCTACATTAGACTAGGTTTCAATGATGCTGTTACTCCGATTGAAATGTACCACAAGGCCGCTCAAACTAAAGACAGTTCGTGCTAGATCTGACTACTACAGACAGCCCTAGACGTTTATCTCAGATGTATGATGTATTCCAATAGCTGAACGCCAACTTGAGTGCCTGGTCGCGAGAGTGTGCTTAATTAATAGACCCCGCATCTGCCGAGGTTTCGCCTCCCACAACGCCCGTTCATCGCACCTTCTTGCCCTGTCGACTCCACAACTTCTCCACTTCCTCACAATGTGAAGAAGGAGCGATTGCCATCCATGTTCCTCAGACCAAACGCCCAAAACTTGGCACTAACGCGCCAATATGGGTAGAAATGTCAAAGTACCAGCGACCAAGGCCTGCGATTATTGTAGGCTTCGCAAGATCAAATGCATCGCGTCCGAAGCTGGTAAAGATTGCCAGGCATGCACCCTTGGAGAGCTAGACTGCAGCTATATCATGCCTAACAAACGACGCGGTCCACCGCCAAAGAGGCAAGTGGCTCAAGGCTGAACGATACCTGCATCATCTTACATCTTGTTCTAGGAGGAACATAGTCGGGTCAGCTCCAGAAGCGATGTCGACTCCGCCATCAACTTCGGAGATTGGAAACAACATGATCGACCAATCTCCTAGTGGCAGCTCACACTCTGCTTCTCGAACGTGCTTGGTGCATCGGCTCGTTTCTTGCCCAAGCTTCGACATAATTATGCAAGACTATCTGGATGTCCTTTACGCACTTATGCCAGTCCTACACATTCCGACATTCGTGTCAAATCTACAGAACGGAAAACATCATCACGACCCGACATTCCAGATGTTCTGCCTAGCCATGTGTGGATGTGTCTTTGGCATCTTACCACACAAATTTGAGCAATATACGGAGCAAGATGCAAGCACTGGTTTTACTGACAGAAGAATGGCTATTGCTGACATTCATCATGCCATCATGGTAGCTCGTCCTCCAGATTACCACGACGAACTCTCACACGAGAAGTGGGCTATCATGTATCTGATGTCGGTAACGAACGCACATCTGGGTCATCGCAACAGAGCTAAACTTCAATTTGCTGAGTGCAACACCATCGCTACCGAACTGGGGTTACACAGAATTGCAAGCTATCGCGAACTAGATTACGTGGAGTCTCAGCTCAGAAAGAAAGCCTTCTGGCTGAGCTATATAGGCTGGTCGTGAGTATCGAACTCGATTTCAGACTCATTTTCGCAGTCCACGACTGATTAGATGCAGACACTCTCGGACTAGAGATGTGGATTTTGACTCCATTGGAGATCGATTCAAGTTCGAAACCGCTGATGCTGAACATCTAATGCCCATGGAGATTGACGACGAGTACATCACAACTACTGAAATTAGTGCACAGCCTATTGACAAGGTACCGCTCGTGTCTGGACTCAACGCCCTAATTCGCATCAGCGACTGCCTGGTCCCAATTTTCAAAGATGCTTCGTCGACGGCATTGTCATTTCATACTGTCGATGAACACTGCCATGTCGACCTTGGAAGCTGTGCTTGCGGAAAACACATACAAAAGGCGCCTCTGCAACCATCGATCATGACGCGTTTGATCAAAGCAACGCACACTCTGGACAACATACCGGCACAATTGAGTTGTTGGACTGCTTCGGAGACACCTTCGGACGCACAATTTCAGATCATGACCGCCAACATCCAAGTGACTCATATCTGGGTACAAAGCCTTCTACTCGAGCACTTGGTCGTGCTGAACAACGCAAATGAAGCTACAGACCAGGATCAGGCCTACCACCGGAAGCTTATCTGGAATCTACGAGAAGGCATATGTGAACAACTCATGGATGTTCTAAACCACATCTCTGAAGCAAATCTGAAGCCGAACGGATATGTTTTGGTACGTTTTCAATACAGCGGATTGATGCAGAATACAGTTTTGACCATCCCACAGATTGTCAAAGCGAGAACAGTCGCTGCTAGTCTTTTGGATTGTGCTCTTGAAGGCGACGACACCACCATCCACCGAGCGCGTACATATCTACAAAGCTTTGCAGATATACTGGCACGTCTGGATGAAAGCTATCGCAACGATGACACATCGAGACTATGGAAAGAGTTTCATGCGAGATTTTGATCGAGTACTTTTCACACCTTGATGTTCAGTGAGTGTCTTCGTATATCTGAGGTACGTATACGAGGCTTGGGAATACGAAAGCCCAGGCCGGGCTTGCAGGTGTTTCTCCTAGAGTTTCGCCGGCCGTTTCTTGGACCCCTCACTTGTCACCCACTGCCTCCTCAGACGTTTGCGCCAATCCGGGATCGCATCACAAGAATATCCGGCGAGATAAATATAAAGATGTCCCCAGCTTCTTTTAGGTGTCATTGTACATCCTTCGCCCCAGCAACAAGATCACTTGATTCTACTCACTTTCGTTCTTCTTTATGATGTCGTCGAAACAACAAGCAGCAATGGAGCCAAATCCAAATTTCGGCAAAGTTACATTGAAGGAGAAGCTTCAATGCATTTTGTTCTTGCCTCTCATCCCCTGGACCTTACTGCGAGTCCTACTTCGCAGACTGGTATCGAAAGGCAATGGTCTTTCGCTCAAAAGAGACTTTGGACTTTCCTATACTCGCGCGTAAGACGTTTTCGGATCATTTGTTGCTGTGCAGCACCTGCTGACGGGCTTAAACAGTATTCAACATGTCGTACCACTAAGTGTAATGCGCTCTTTTGGCAAGAATTCCGAGGCTAGACTCGAGAAATCTACTCGTTTCGCCGACGTCAAACCCGAATTGTATCAACGAGTATTGACTCCCAAATTCGCTGGATACTGGATTTGTCAGGGCGCTCCTGGAAACCCAATAAAAGCAGAGGATTGCGACTTGGTCATCTACTACCTTCACGGTGGAGGCTACAAGACTGGTCATCCTGCAACACCGCTGTCGAGTTTCTTGCGCCTTGCCGAGATTGCTGCGGCCAGAGGTGTCTCTGTCGCCGTCTTTGCACTGAACTACTCTCTCGCTCCGGAAGCAAATTGGCCCACTCCAGTCAATCAATCCATAGCAGGATATCAATATCTACTCAACGAGCACAACATCAATCCTTCCAAAATATCACTACAAGGAGACTCGGCAGGCGGACATCTTGTCATCTCTTTTTTCTCCGCATTAATCGACACACAGCTTGCCAAACCGATCGCAGGCGCTTTCCTCATCTCGCCATGGATAGACTTACGCTGCTCTAGCAATGGGTCTTTTGTGCATAACAAGAACAAGGATTATCTAGTCCGCAGTCACATTATAGATGCTGGGCATGATTTTATCCCGACTTCCTGCGACACCGAACTCGCTCATGTCGTCAACTACCTGCGTCCTCGACCCAACAATCAATCCTGGGCTGATATGTTGCCATCAAAAGTATGCGTCACCGTGGGCTTGAATGATCTATTTGCCGACGATGTGGAAGATTTTGTGAAAGTCTTGGAGAAAGACGGTGTAAAAGTTGTTTTCGAGAAGACGGAGGAGAAATGTCATGTTTGGCAATTCTTCGACGATGCGATGGATGTAGGGAGGTATTTCGATACGGTTGGGGAGGTTCCGCAGGGAGTGATGGCTGGAGCTGCGGCGTTCGCGGATACCGTGCTTTCGGTGGTTAAGACATGATATTTGGAGACCACATGTACAGTTTAAGTAAACACAATCAGCGCATATGGGATACCACTCCGCAACCAATGATCATTCCGCCTTCTGCGCACAGGTTCAACGAGGGAGCTTTCACATCACCTGTCTACTTCGTCATAATTGCTTGTCGCGATGCAAAATCTATCCCTTTCACGCATGCTTTCCACCGAAAACACCTGGTCGTACTCGTTGCCAGTGGACACGCAAATCCAACACGCAACCTTCCTGCATGACGACAGACTTCAAAAAGCATATTGTAGGAGAGAAGGAGGATGGAACAACATATACTCTATCAACACCCCTTCGAAATCAACGAACCAGCAATCATCCCCTCCCTAACCACTTTCTCCGCAACCGAACTCTTCAACCCACAATTCCTCCCATCCCAGACAGCGAAAAAGCAATTCTCTGTTTCATCGCAAGCGGTCACGCAATCCTGAATACTCCCCATCGTGCTGTTCTTCAACTCCCCACCCACGAAATCGGAATTGCATGTTGTGTCGAATACACTGTTGTCAAGGGTGGTGAGTTTATAACCGTCATCGTCAGGGCATGTTGGTGTGTAGTTCCATGCATCGATGGTGAGTTTGTCTGCTGTCCAGGTTTTGCCGCCGTCGGAGGAGGTGAGGGTGCCGGAGGCGCCGAAAGTGCCGAAAGTGTTTGAGTAATCTGGTTGTGGTTGGTCGAGGACGAGGACGGTGTTTATCCAGGAGTGAGCGGGAGTGAGTCCGCAGGGGTATGCTGGGGCGGCTTGGTTACATTCTTCAGCTGTGCCCCAACCTAGTGCTTTGCCTGATGCTGTACCTGCCGTCAGTTTGGGATGGCAAAGAAGCGGGTAGGAGGGATGTACAAGTTGAGAATGTGGAGACGAGGTTACCGTTGAGGAGGACGTATTGATCATAGTTTCCCGTGTCGTCGTTATACAAATCTGCGTTTTCCGTTAGGAACCTCTATGTATCCTCTGATTCAAGCGACAACACTCACAATTCATCTGTACTTCATCTCCCGCGTTCGCGTGTACCTGTGTTCCTCCTTGTTGTCCGTTGCTCGTCAACGCACTCGCCAAAGTACACCAATCGCCATCAAGTACACCACAGTCATAGTCGATATTGTCGTTGTAGCTCTCCACCAATGCCTGGATCAAGTCGCCATTACTAGTGCCCATGCCTACCCACAGCGAAAGCAGTCCTTTTTGTGGTAGGGGTGGCGAGGGAACGACCAGGGTAGAATTTGCAGTGCGAATCCAATTACCGTCTGCAGTCGGGCCAGAACTAAAGGCATGGCCAAAACCAGAGGCACCTGCGGAGACCAAAGGAAGAAGAAATGAGAGGAGGGTTGATTTCTTGAGGAGGGACATTTTGGTGAAGAATTGGAACAAAATTTAGTACAAGTAAATAGCAGAAAGCAAAGAAGAAGGAAGGGTTCAAGAGACAAGGAAGCAGCGATGGCTATATAAGACCTTTGTGTGGTTATAAGTGTACATACTTTATCATGTATTTTGTTCTTTTCGACAACGGTTGTAGTAAACTGTTCGTATAAGAAGGTTTAACGAGAACATCATCTTGTGTAGACAGTCTTATGTGCATCTTGACTTGCGCCTGCCAGGGAAATGAACTCTCGCCTTTTGTGAGCGATGTTTAAGTAGGATCTTGACTGCTATGGTCATTGCTCAACGACATTTGTGTTTGTCTTGCTGCAGATGTGGTTGTTCGTTGGTAGGATCAGTTTTGCGGCTCGACGCCTCACCTCCCAAGTACCTCCAACGGTATAACCGTTTAGCCCTAGAACGGCGAACAGGAGTTTGTGAAACACAAAGATCTAGACACACTGATACCTTCTTGATGAGAAAGGCAAGATTCGGGTGATATGAAGACTACGCGAAAAATGACAGTAAATCAATTTTTCTACTAAAGAGCAACACAGCGAGAGACAATTACCAAATAACTAAACACAAAAACTAAACCTTCGAAGCATCAACACCTCTGTCCTGACAATACTTGGCAACCTCTTTCGCAAGCTTCTCCTTCTGATCCACCGCATTATCCATGATATCCTTGATCAATTCGAATTCCTTCTTGGTCAAGGATGCAGCAGCACCGCCACCGCTCCAAACACCCTCGGCGAGAACGGCCCACAATCCAGAACCTTTGCATACATCTTCCATCAATTGCATGACTGCGCTGAGCTGGTTGGGCAACCATGTGATGATTGGGCTTCCTCCGGTGGCCACGGGGTGCGAAGTGCGCTTGATGATGTATTCACGGGTGAATTGCCAATGACGCCAGCGGAAACTGCGGATGTGGTCGAGAACGCGGAGGTACAGGACCACGAGGCTGAGATCGCCGGAGTTGGTGAGGAAGTCGCGGACGCCGACGTCAGCGGCCTTCTCACGGATGGTGGTGAGGAATTCGCGGTGGGGTTTAGGTCTGTATTGACGGAATTCTCTCAAGATCTGAGTGAGCGGGTTTTCGGGCATGGGGATCTCGCAGACGTGGTCGAGGAGGGGGATGATGCTGTCGTTGGCGCCAGACTCGCCGCGGAAGAATTGGGGTTTGTCGTCGTATTGGCCCTCGTAGACGACACCGTCGGGGAACATGGATTGGTTGGTGATGCCGTAGATGAAGGTGCGGTAGGTCATGTAATCTTTGGGTAGAGAGTTTGCCCACATTTTCTCCATGTTGGCTTCGATGACCGTCATGGCTTGGAGGATGGATTGAAGACCGACTTTGGCGTCGGGGATGGCGTGGTCATCTTTCTTGTCGCTGCGAGCTGCATCGACGGCTTCAACGACACCGGCGGCACCTTCAATTAGCTTGCCGGTCTGAGCGACCATGTGGATGTGGGTGAGGATGAAGCCAGCTTCGGATGACTTCGGGTCAAGACCTTTCTCAAATGCGCGGATCAGACGGATGTTGGAGTATTCATCATGGCCCTTGGAAGGGTCGACGAGGTAGTAGTTGTACAAAGCGTACGAAGCAGCATAGGACATGAATGCTGGGATGTCAAGGCTGGTCAACATTAGCATGTGATGACTCATTTGATATCCCATGGTCAGGTTTCAACTTACATCTCAGCACACTTGACCAAAGGCCCAGCGATACACTTGGGAAGGACCTGACGTCCAAGACCATACCCATCATCAGCATTGTTGCTATACACCTGCCAGCAAGGTTCAAGCAAATAAGAAGAAGCAACGAAGCTACACCAAGCAGTCAGTAAACACTCATGCACGACCAATGTCAACACGACTCACGAGTAATCACGGAAAGCAGCAGTGATAGCAGCCATATCGACCTTACCACCCTCAACAACAAGATTATCGATCTCATGGGTCAGATCCGGCAAAGCGCCAGAGTCAATGAGGGGGCCAAGCTTGAAGGTGGCAAGAAGACCGGCAGTACCATCTTCCTTGAGGATAGGCATGTTGTCGAGGATATCGCTCAATGCATCAAAGGCCTTGGGCAACCTCCGAAGAGGCAGTTGGGTAGGAAGGTAGCCATTCTGGGCAGTAATAAGGAAAGGGTCAGAGCCAGGAGGTAGCTCAGAGGGGTCATGAGGGACAGAGAGGGTAGAAGGTTGGGTGATAATGCCAGGCATGGTGAAAAACGAGAAAGTGGTAGAACTGGAAATTCGTTGTTTCTGAGTTGAGAGAAGGAATTTTGGAAGTGTGGGCGAAAGCGTGCGTCTATATAGGCGTGGCCGGAATTGTTCCTCGATGTGATAGCCATGTCCTTATCTATGTATCCACTTGCTCACTTACTGTTACCGTGCGTCGTCGTCCAGGTCAGATTGGTATACCCAGGCGACGACATGGTTTGGCAATGGCGCATTTGGGCAGTTTTCTAGAGGTGTCCTGAAGAGGCTTCAGAAGCCTTGTTGACCTCTAGCATTTGTTGTGTGACCTACAAAGAACTGATGTTGTTGAGTTGATGGAAAGAGATGTTCCTCAGAGGCCGGAATTGTGCGCTCTTGACTTCTCTGTATCACCTGGAGTGGCCGGACTGTTCCGGCCTCAAGGGACCGTGCAAGGAGGTGAGGTGGAGACAGGTACAAAGGCACGTGACCGACTTGGCAATCTTCGTGACGAAAGTTTGATTACCAAAACGACTCATCGTCTCGAGGGGCTCGAATAGGTAAGCAGAGCCGGCAGCGAGAGTTGCAACAACAAAGATGATCTATCTCGTAGTCAGCTCCTGTACCTGACGCTCCCTCTCGTATATGTGAGAGGTCTTCATACCTCATATCGCCCACGACTTTTTCCCTCCGTACCCCACGTCCGACGACACCTTCAATCGTCGTAGCCGTTCGCGTCGCCCAAGCCACCGGCAGCTTCAGCTCCTTTGCGGAATATATCCTTCAAATCTCTCGCCATGTGCTCAGGCTTCTCCCAAGCGGCAAAGTGACCACCCCTGTCATTATCGCTCTCAAACACCACATCCCCCAGCTTCCTCGCCCACGCCTTCGGACTCGTCTCCATGTCCCGCCAGTTATACATCACGCCCATCTTGACATTGGGAATATATCCAGTCGCTGCAGTCATGGACTTGATGTCCTTTTCATGCTTGGCTTCGTAATAGATGCGTACATTGGCTGCAGGGCCTGCGGTCGAGAACCAATACATACATACCCACGTCAGGATTTCGTCGGCGGTCCAGGCATACTCGTCGCTCCAATCGTGGAGTTTCTCGTATATCCAGGAGAGGAGAAGAGTAGGGCTGTCGACTAGGCCATATCCCAAAGTCTGCGGACGCGTACATTGCTCGTGGCTATAGCCTGCCCCGTCGTCGCGGAACTTGGCTAGGCGCTGGAGAGCTTGTTGTTCTTGTGGGCTGAAAGAAGATAAATCCTTCAGTACAGCGCTGAGGTCGGCATCGATGGCAGGAGGTATCATGTTGATGTGTGAGGCTTTGCATGCTTCTGGGTAGAGGTTGCCCATGGTTCTTGTGATCCAGAAGCCCCAATCTCCGCCCTGAGTTGCTGCGACAAGTTAGTGGATACGCACAACATGACGGTAGGTCGGAGTGATACTCACCATATTGCTTGTAACCCAGCTTCAACATGAGTTTGTGGCAGACTTCAGCGTATTGCGGCAGACCAAAACCTCGCTTCTTGACGCCCTCGGAGAACCCAAAGTTTGGTAAGGAAGGCGCAACGACATGGAAGGCCGGTGCGCCATCTTTGGTATCTGCAAGCAACGGCAAGACTTTTGAGACCTCAGTGAAGTTTCCGGGCCCTGTTTGATCATCAGTCATCACTTACGCGTCAGATCAAGCATACTCACATCCATGACAGAATAACAGGGGCACAGCATTCTTGACAGGACTCTGTTGATGGATAAAATGGATCTGCAATTCACCGAAGCCTTCAACCTCGATGCCGGTACTGCAGTTAGGCAGCTCATTCAGCTTCGCCTCTTGTTTGCGCCAGTCGTAGTCGTTCTGCCAGTAAGTGATGAGTTCCTTGATATCGCCAAGCGGTGCGCCGCAATCCCAGCCTGCATCGTCAAGCTCATCGGGTAAATCCACAACCGCGAGTTTTTGCTGCAAGCGGTCAATTTTCGCCTGTGGGACCGAAACGTTGTATGGCCTGATATCTGACATGATGCGTAAAGTGTTCGGAGACTTTTGACGAGTATGGAGGGAGCGCAAGATAAGTGTTTATATGCACATGTGAATGTTTGCGCCCTGACATGACGCTGCGGGGTAATCTGTTGCTCATTGCTCATTGCTCACATACCTGCATAATCTGCTTACAAAACTCATTACAAAGCAGCAAACCTCCAGGCATCCACCTTTACTCCCCTTTACACGTGTCTACGCGTAACATCTCTTGATTTCCTCACAGACCGCATCAGTGACCTGCTTGGTATTCGCGTCACCACCCAAATCCTTTGTCATCACCCCATTCCCACACACATTTTCTACGCAGTCTAATAGTTTGTCGGCGGCGGTTTCTTCTCCAAGCCAGCGTAGCATTTCCGCTGCTGTCCAGAATGTGCCGACGGGGTTGGCGATGCCCTTTCCGGTGATGTCGAAGGCGGAGCCGTGGATGGGTTCGAACATGCTGGGGTTTTGGCGTGTAGGGTCGAGATTGGAGGTTGGTGCTATGCCGATTGAGCCTGCGAGGGCTGCGGCGAGGTCGGAGAGGATGTCTGCGTGCTGGAAGAGTGTCAGTGTTGATCTGGTAAGCAAGGCTCGAAAGTGCGTACCAGGTTCGTAGCGACGATGGTGTCGAGTGATTGCGGTTGCAGCACCACTAAAGATACGATTAGCAGGGTAATGATAAGGAAAAGGGTGCGGTCCTGTTCCAGCGAGCCAGCTCACGAACCGGGTCCGGCATCAATGAGAAAGGCCTCCTGAGAGCCATCTCGTCCACGCCAACCTGATTCGAGGACCGCCCAATGTATCCGCACTTCCAGCACACTTACTTCTACAGGTCATCGCATCCACAAGCATCTTGTCACACTTGACGTCCGGAAAGTCCTTTGCCACTTCGGCAGCAATCTCATCCCACATCACCATACCATTTCTCTGTGCATTACTCTTGGTCACCACAGTAATATGTTTCTTCTCCCTCTTCTGTGCGACCTCGAATGCGAACTTGATGAGTCTGGTAACAGCATGACGGGTGAAAATTGACGTCTCAGTTGCAACCTCCCATGGTTGACCTCTGTGACTGCGGCCACCTTGACCAGCATATTCGCCCTCGCTGTTTTCGCGGACGATGACCCAATCTAGATCTCCGGCTTGTGCTTTGCGGAGGGGTGACTCGGTGCCGCGGAGGATTTTGGTAGGGCGGACGTTCGCGTATTGTTGGAAGGGTTGACAGATTGCTAGACGGAGGCCCCAGAGGGAGATGTGATCAGGGACATCTGGTTTCTGCCGTCAGTCGTTTCTCTCGACATCGTTCCATGATTCACTTGCCTGGAGCTCCTACAGCACCGAAGAGAATCGCATCATGCTTCTTCAAGTCTTCGAGTCCGTTGTCAGGAATATATTTGCCGGTTTTCTTGTACGTCTCTGAGCTCCAATCATAGTGTTCGAAGTCCAATGTGAATGACTTGCTGGCCGCACTGAGAGCCTTGAGCACCGTGACTCCAGCATCAATGACTTCCGGGCCAATGCCATCAGCGGGGATGCACGCGATTTTGTAATTCTTTGCCGAGACCATGTTATGAAGCTGCTTCTTGTCGAATTGGAATGAGTTGTTCAAGGTGCGAGATTGCCGACATTTGTACCTTCGTGGCTGCGGGGGTTCGTTCATCCGGCAGTCTCGAGCGGACTTGTCTTTCTCCAAGGAGGGGTGTGAGGGGTAATTTCTTCTCCGCATTTCTACGATGAGGACAGCAAGAGCCTCAGTTCCATGAGAGCCTCATCGAAGAATAATTCTCGAACATGCAGCAGATCAATTGCTGCAAACCCCGTCTTTCACCTACCTGCTGACTTGATGTGTTTTCAAGTCTGGCTAGTCTTGAAGGCCATTCCTTGCACTCCTCACTCGGTGGAGACAGAAGGCCCGGTTGTGTCTTTGCACAGCAATTGAGCGATAATGCGTAGAGTGAAGCTCCAATGAGTGACTTGGGCTGCTGATCGTGGTGTCCCGTATCTTGCAGCATTGATCGTACATCAGGGTCGTATGGTACTGCCCTTAGGCGTCTGCAGTCTCGAGACGTGCAGAAGAGCGGTAAGCACTTCTCATGTTCATTGTGGCTCGTAGAGGCAGCATGTCAATTGAGCAAACGCAGTGCAGGATGCACAAAGACATGCTTTGGTCCTCTTCATCACCCCCACTCTCACACCACCGCTTGCAATGACCACACTCATTCTTGCAGAGTCACGATGACACCTCCATCGCACCGATGAAATGAGCAAAGTGACTTGCAGGATTCACAATACCGTCACGAAATGCCGCAACCATCTCCACCTGTGCCAATAGTAAACAGATCATCAGAATAGTGATGTCAAAAAGAGTTTCAAACTTCACGCTCCGATCCCACGTTTGCATCCCCGTGTTCCCCTGCATGAAGCACTTACCAAGAAACCCAGCTTCTAGCATCACGAGGGGGAGGTATATCGATCTGATCTGTTCCATGCGAACGAGAAACTAGTCCGCATACTGCAGGTTCATCGAGTTCATCGCTTTCCAGAGCCTCAGGAACCGATTAAGTTTAATGAGATCTGGTAGAACGGGTGGAGTACGTGGAATAAAACGTGCAAATATGAGGCTCAATGACAACATCTTTTTGTTATGTTTGGGGGGAAGCGGCTGAAATGCACGCGTCATGTTTCGCGTGACGGGTCTCGCGAAACCACTTTACGCCAGATTGGGATGGAGATGGCGTCGTTTGCCACGGGGATGAGAAACAACCCTGATGGCGACATTTGTGGTTTTTGTTGCATCGGTTGAGCAGATGTTGCTCGATCTTGACGAGAGAACTCGCAAGAGATAGAGCTATGCTGCATTGATAATTCAGTCGAGAAAATCTCAATGGGAGGTTGAGAAAGAGCCTCAGTTCCCATGGTAGATTATTTTGATCCGTCAAACAAACAGTCAGTGCTGCAGTTCAGCCGCTGCCTCAAGCGCGGGGCTCGACACGGCGATGACACGCTACAGAATATCAATTAATGCTGTATCGGGCAGAAGATCAGCTGTATAAGCGTCATATCTGATGAAATCTGGGTCCCACCGTTCCACTCAGGTACGACACCCAAGCACGATCTGTGGGGAAAGCTATCCATCCCGCCTCAATGCATCACGCTTACTCCACTAACGCTGTTCAAACGATCAACTCTACACCATTGCCTTGCCTCATCACACCTCATCCGCAAGCGAGATTTCAGCTTCGTATGGTGACATCTTGACCTTCAGCAGAACCAGGGAGCGCGCGCGCGAAAACGATGGGAGAAAGACGTATAAGTACTTCGTCCTCTGCCACCTCTTCTTCTTCTCCTTCATCATCATTCAAACAACATCGCTCTTACTCCTTCTCTCATAACCTCACTCAACACAAAACAACTTCGGAACAAAGTCTTTACTTTCTTCAATCAATCAATATGTCTGGAACTTACAAGCCCACTGGTATGAGATTTCTCCTTCGTCTTCACTTTATGGATCATTCGGCTGACTCGGAATGTAGAGCACGGCGGTCTCAAGGAGGACGGTACCCCTGACAAGCGTGTCGGTACCGGTCAGTTCGCTCAGGGTCAGGTTGACCCCCATGAGGCTGGCAAGCAGGGTGGTCAGACTGGTGGCAGCTCCTCTGGCGGTAGCTCCGAGTCCACTGGCTCTTCCGGCGGCAACGGACGTGAGTGACCACTTTTCCACCTTCACCACTGAAGCACATACTGATGCAAGCTACAGAGTTCGCTGGCGGCAAGGTTGACCCCGTCGAAGCTGGTCGCAAGGGTGGCCAGAGCTCCAACTAAGTTCTGGTGCTCGATGGCATTTCATGACTTTTATGTTACCATATCATAAGTCATTTTGTAATCATATTATGACTATATCAGAATTTATACCAGATTCATATGAATTATATTTAAACCTCTATCCTGCTTCTCCGTTGTTCCACTACCTGACATTCTTCACACTTGACATTCTCCTCCTCCTCTTCTCCATTAAAATCTGAACATGAAAGTGCTTGATCCTCTCATCCCTTCCGTCAATGTTCAGTTGCACTGCTTGCGAATCTGCTTGTCCAACACCACCGCCTCAGGAAACTCCTTGGTCATGTTTCTAGGCAGCAAATCCTTCGAAACCCCACGAACAAAGTCGAAAAACTGCCCCACGAAACCATTAACAATCTCATCAGCCCTCTTACCCTCCACAGCCCCCAAAATCTCCCCAATAACCTCATACTCCGAGCCAGGAGTCCCCAACGCATCAGCCAAAAGAGGCAGGTCGGTGAAAGTACCATGGGTAAAGTTGTTCATCGAAACAAACAGCTTTGTGCCGGTGAACTTTGACCAGGCTGGTGTCCAAGTTGGGTCGGAGGTGATGTTGTGGCCCTCGCGGCTCATGATCATGAAAGGGGAGGAAGTGTTGTTTGGCATGGAGGAGTCGAAGAAGCGGCCGTCCATGTTGACGCCAGCGGCGATGCGGTGATCTGTCTGCATGGCGGCGGCTGCAGTGGCACCACCCAGAGAGTGTCCGAACATGAGAATTTTGTTCAAGGATTTGGTGTCTGCGATGTCGTGGAAAAGTGTCTGTCTGATGGAGCAATCGTGCAGTTTGTCGATTATGAAAGACACATCCTGGCGGCGGACGTACAAGTTCTTCTCAATCTCTGCGTCGGTGCTGATATTGGCGGCGAGGGCGTTTGACTTGTCGGGGTATTCGACGATAGCTGCATCGTAGGGGTGGTCCATGGTGATGACAACGAAACCCTGGCTAGCAAACGACTGAGCCATTGCACCATACATCAAGCGAGTGTTGCCAAGGCCCGGAGAGAAAAGAGCGATTGGAAATTTGGTAGATCCTCTGCTGCGATCCTTGCGGTTGAAAGCGCAGGTGGAGAGTTGGAAGGAGCCAAAGGTGCCGTTTGAGATGCCAAAATCTGCGTACATGGTGTCGTGGACGGCAGCGGTTGCAGGAGGCATGTATGGAACCGTCAATGGTTGGCAGTTCTTGAGCGAGGTTGCCGGATAGTATGCAGACACCATGATGCGTCGATGCTCTTGTTTGGGGGCATAAGGGTCGTTTCTCGAGGTATCCACGAGTTCCATGACGGAAGTTGCGACGCCATGCTTTCCGAGAGGAGGTTGGAGGATGGTTGCAGATGCCATGGCAGCTGAAGCGACAATGATACAGAGCTTCATGATGATGGTGGAGTTGAAGGTGGGTAGAAATTATGAATAGCAAAGAAAGCTGATGCCTACTGAAAAGCTGTGTCGCAAGGCGTCTCTTATACCTTGATGCGACTTCGCAGCAGGACCTACCCGTACATGCTCTGAGCTTCAATGTCTCGCTCGAGCGCTTCCGCTTACGGAATGGTATGGACTCAACATGTCGATTGAATTGTTGTGTTCATGTAAGCAGGAAACAGTAGACGACAGGCAGAAAGATTGACATGAAAACAGGCCCGAAGGAGCGTGCGTTGCGGAGCTCATCTCGCGCGAACGCTTCCTAATCGGGTATGGTCGTCTTGGCTGCGAGTCCCCGGTCTCGTCGGCACCAAACACCTTCGACTTCTATTCGAGTCTGCCTGATGAATATAAGTCGTCTGTCACTAGCTTCGCTCGAATGTATCTCTTTTCGGTAACATTTTCGCGGCACGATGCTCTTGGGACCACTGGACCGCCGACTTGAACGCTCGAGATGTTCGGCATGCGCGAAAAGCCATCTCAAGGTGAGTTGGCCGGAAGTGTTGGCCACGCTTCCCTCATTAACGTTGTAAAATGCAGTGCTCTGGCGGCAACCCATGTACAAATTGTTCTAGACGTGATTCGAGCTGCAAATATCCTGCGAAATCAACTGCAGTCGTGAAGATCAATTCTGCAAACCAAAGAACGATACATAACGGCAGCTTTGTCTGCTCGGTCATCCCACGAGAGCCGATCTTCAATGACGGCAGCAACATTTTAAACATTTTCCTCACCAAATTTGTCCAGGAGAACAGCTTCACTGGATGCTCTTCAACTTGGTTCCTGGACATTCAAGCTCATTTCGCTTCGAGTGCTGCGGTCCATCATGCAATCTCGGCATTGAGTGCATTGTATGCTTCCCGTGAAGAAGGCTCGAATCGAGTCCGAAATCAGAAGGCCGCCTTGAGGGCCTACCAGACCGCAGTGAAGACAGTCCGGAAAACCATTGACGCCGAGGACCCAAACATTGAGCAGCCGCTACTGTCGAGTACATTCTTGCTCGGGCTTTTCGAGGTACATCATGTTTGTCCCCTCTGCTATTGCATCGTTACTGACGTGTGTCGAGTTGATGTATGACCCTACTGGAGAAGGCTGGATCCAACATACAATGTACGGGACCTCGAAGATTCTCCAGCACCTTGGGCCTGATGCTTTTCGCTCGGGTCTCGGGCTCAATTTCTTCCATCAAATGAGAATGTTCGAGGTTTCCAGATCGCTGATTTTCTCGGAATCATCCTTCCTGGTCGAGGCTCCATGGAGAGACCTGATGAAAGGTACCAGTACTGACAACATGAGCGATCACCCAATTGAGAGCTTGCTTGCTCTGATGCTCCGATGTTCAGATCATTGCTTTAGAGCATTGCGGTATCTTGATCCACTCGACACTAGCGCCCTTTCGCATGAGGAGATGCAGCAGCTCCGAGCTTTCGCTGTCGAAGGCTTCGATCTTAGACTTGAGCTGTGCGAGGTACAGGCCACTCTGTCGGCGCTGGACGACCCAGCTAAAGACGACCGCACCATCATTGCGAAGATATACTTAGCGGCGACTTCAATATTTTTGTCCGGTGTATACGACTACAGATCCGTATGGCTGAAGCACATTGAAGCGGTACCAACGCTACCTCAAACCATGATTGAGGAGCATCTAAGCACGATACTTGATCTCACAGAATACGCCATGGCCAGAACCAATCTCTCTACCTTGTTGTTCTTGTACCCGCTCAGAGTTGCGTGCTCAAGGGCGTGGACTCTTAATGAGAGAGATCGCTTAAGGAGCATGTTGGGGACTATCAAGAGGTCATTTGCTGTTGCGCATGTGTTTATTACCGAGGTTGAAGAACTCTGGATCACTCCTGTATCTGACCGATATGACTGAGGAGCACGATGAAGACAAGGTCATCAATAAAAATCACTCATCATTACTATCCAACAAGACTACAAAAGCAATAATAATAATAACAACCCTACTTCCCACCCGCCTCAACCCAAGCATTATAATGATCCCTCATAGTCTCCGCCTTACTTCTATACACAATCCCAAGCTCCTCCACACTTCTCCTATTATCAACTTTATATCCAATCCCAATATTCCTAGAAACCCACTTCATGGAAACTCCCATAAAAGGGCCAGCCAAATAAATCATAACCTTTGGCAAATTCTTCTTCGGCAGAACATCAGGCTTTTTATGGTACGGACGCACCAAATTTGCCATTTCCAACTGACTTACACTCCTCTCGCTGGCAACGATGTACCTTCCTTTTGCAGCAGCATCAACACCAGCTCTCACATGAGCTTCAGCAACCTCCCTCACATCAGCAATAGGATAATGCAACTCCGGCGCTCCCATTTTGTTGTCGCCTTTATACATGGCTTCAAGCATATGGAGTGAGCCGGACGCCGATTCGGGAGTAAGCGAGGGACCGATGACCAGACCGGGGTTTATGGCGATGAGATCCCAGCGGGACTGAGCGTGGCAAATCTTCCAGGCTTCACGCTCGGCGGCGACTTTGGAGTAACTGTAGGCGGAGGAGGTTGCGGTGCTGGTGGTGTTCCAGTGGGATTCTGTGAGGGTGGCGTTGTCGTAGTGGAGGATATCTGCGCTGTCGCCGTACATTGCTGCAACTGGGGGATGGCGTTAGCGTGATAGCTTGTGGGTTGTCAATTCAGAGAAACGGGGACGACGTACTTGATGAGGTGAGCACAATGCGCTTGACGCTCTCGGTCTGATTTGCAGTGTTGAGGACATTTTGCGTGCCCTTGATAGCAGGTTCGACAATATCTTTCATGCCATCTTTGATTTGCTGAGGGACGAGGAAGGGTGAGGCAACGTGGTGGACGATGTCGCAACCTTGCATGGCTTGAGCGAAAGACCCCTCCTTGAGCAAGTCTGCTTGGAAGAGATGCAGTTTTCCGGGATAAGCGTTCTGCAGAGACAAGAGTGGTTGACATTTCTTCTGGTCCTTGAGATCGCGTACAGTGGTATGGACGCGATCGCCACGCTCGAGAAGCAGCTTGATGACATAGATGCCGATGAAGCCTGTGCCTCCGGTGACGAGAGCGGTAGACATCGCGATAGGTGGTTGAAGGGGGGAGAAACGAAGTTGAGCGTTGTCAGTGCTGGTAGACTGTGGGGATGACTTTGGACGGTGACTGTGTGTGTGGTTTCAAACACGACCTCCAGGTGCCAGAGAGGCTAATGTATCCTCTGTCGTCTTGCATAGCTGTGTTCGAATTGTCCCGGTGTCCGAGTGAAGAACAAGTTAGTGTGAGACATATTTTCCCTACCGTAATCAAGCTGCGTCGATATCAAACGCATCGCTAAGTCCGTTGATCAGAGTCAAGGTTTCTCTGTCGTGCAAACACAACATCATTCTACCGCTCCGGGGAGATTGAAGACGAGAATCAATCTCGCCGGACATGAATCGACGGATTTATGATGCAAAAACGCAGTATGTCCACAGTCTTGTACAAGTCGGAAGGAAAATTGGTCCGTCGTGGGTGTTGACGTCTGGAGTTGTAAGGTTTATCCGACGACGCTGCGTCAACATGTATTGTTGACGTTGATGAGTCAACACAAACTTGGCTTCGCGACTGCGCACTCCGCGTTGCGTGGTAGCCAAAAGACCGTGACCATCAGAAAGTTAGAATCGCTCCTGCTGTCTTCTTACCATCTTGTGCTTTGCGCATGGCACTTTGTTTTAGAGTTCTTCGTTGCACATCTTACTTGTTCTTGAACCAGATAGTGTAGTCAATTGTCCAAGTCTCTGTATTGCGACAGCTATTGATGACACTTCCTCCAGAAGGCCATATGAAGCTCACTCAAGCCAACGATAAGCCCATGGAAAAAAGTGATAGATCAACCCTTTGACCAGCAATGGAATGTTCTGCCATGGAAAGGCCACATCACTCGCAGTAGGATTGACAGAAACGGCTTTCCAATCATATACATCTCCACTTTCGGCAACTTCAACCATACCTGCAGCCAAATCTAGGAAGGAAACAACACCCTTCGGCCCCTCCATCGTCAACGCATGTCCCTTTTGCGAATCAATACTCAGAGCACCGGGCTTGACAAACGTGACAGAAAGCCAATCCTGCTCTTTCCGAAGCTGTTTCTCAGCAGCGATCAAATCGTTGTAGATGTTCGACTCCGCTCGGAAAAGAATGGCGAGGGCAAGTGCAGGCATGTCCTTGCTGAAAGCAGGCTCGGTAGGCACAGCGGACAACACAACCAACCTAGGCAATTTGCTCGACGCATCTGATTCGCGAATCTGTTTCAACGCAGCGACAACGACGCGCGCGGTATCTTGTGCGATGGTATTGCCTGGGACGTTTCCGCTGACTGCGACGGCGAGGAAGACGGCATGAGTGTTTTTGATGCAATCGCGTATGACTTCCGTATCGTCGAGGCTGCCTTCATAGACTTTGACGTTGGGGTTGTTGGTGACGGTTGGTTGGAAATACTCTAGTTTGGATTTTGAGCGGCAGTAGGGGTGGACTGTGTTGGCCGGGTTCTGAGTCAGGACTTGGAGGAGTGATTGGCCTGTATTGCCTGTCGCGCCCAGCACTGCGTATGCTGGCATGATCGAATGAATTATCGACTGTAATGTGACCAGAGTAGTACGCTTGGATCGTGGAGATAATCCTGAGAAGCCGCAGGATGAAGATGTCGAGGCCTTTATGATGTCTCGTGGTTACGGAACGGAGAAGTATATTCAGAATCCGAGAGGGCTCGGCATACCTACAAGTGTCGTGCGTGACGGCACTCCTATGCATCTTCGAGTCACGATTTCTCTACAAGCCTACCTAATCGTCAATATCATAGTGCCTCTCCGGTGAGTGATTGGAAAGAGCATGCCTAAACAACGGTGACGACAATGAATGGTGGGCTTGGATGCGGTGACAGAATGTCTTTCCCGAGCGGCCGAAAGTCGTGTCAAAGATAACTCTTGCTCCAACACAGTCCTCTATTGTCCAGGACACGGGGTCGGTGGAACAACCCCCATACATCCTCCACTTTGCATTACATCAGACTGGTATTAGTTAGATGTCTTTTGATGATTTGCCACGGCATACAGACTTCCCAGCATGACATGCGGAAATGTGCAAACTGACCGTGTGTTTTCAAGATTCCGCCCGAATCTGTCAGACTTGCCGATGTCTCAGTAATCACTGATCTTGGGGTCTTCTGACTCCTCACGGCGGTTGATAAGCATTTCAGCATTGACTCGATCATGTTAAAAAGGTATCTCCCCATCGTTCAAAGGGTATATGGAGCTCGCCGTCGAAAAATCGCTTGCAATTGGGGTGACCCGGCCGAGTGTGCACGGTCCCACGAACTTGCGTGCTTGGCGTGTTCGCGCTTGTATCGCGTTACATTAGAAGCTCCTTCTTTTATATGCTCTGATAACTTGTCTCTTCCTTCTTCGTCTCATCGTCCTGTCTTCTTGCCTCTCCATTGTCCAACAGAACACAATTCCGTAAGCGACAATGATTGCCTTCGCACACGCGTCGAATACTGCAACCTTTGGAGTGAGCGCGGAGTGATACTAAGCTACAATGGGAAACTCGTTGTGCCGGATCCGCGCCATGCGATAAGGACGATCCTCCTCCCAGTCACCGAACTCTCGGGGATCCTTCAACCTTGGGATAAACAGCTGTGGTGCCCCTTCTTCTTCCCCCTTCTACCCTCTCATTCCTCGACAGGACGCAGTCAATCTTTACCGCCGAAATGAACATCACCCACCAGTTGTCAGCCGAACGCTGTTCACACTCGGCCGACAACCACTTCGGACCCGTTGTCTCGCCGCAATGCCGTGACTTTGACTTCACCTTGTACTTCGAGCAGGCCTTTCTGTCTTTGACGCCATCCGTGATGTTCATTTTCGCTTCCTTGATTTATCTGCCGACTCTCACGCGTCAAACTACCAAAGTTCGCACTGACAGATTGTATGGAGTCAAGCTAGTAGGTTTATCCGTTATGGGAAAAAGGTTTGGTGACTGATGATCTCAGACGTTTGCTGCCCTCTATGCAGCTTCGCAGCTTGCTATGATCACAATATTGTCTGTACCACTAACTCCAAAGACAAAGCTTTCGCTACCGGCATCAGTCCTTGCCTTTGCAGCTTCTCTTGTTGTATGCCTGTTCTCGCACTTTGGCCACGTCAAATCAATCAGATCTTCGACATTATTGAGCACTTTCCTCTTTTTTTCTTGCGTCTGCGACATTGTACAAGGTCGCACCTTCTGGATGCTGGCGAACTCGGGAGCAGTCTCGCATGTCTTTACCACTGCATTGAGTCTCAAAGTCGTATTATTAGTGCTCGATGCCCAAGGAAAGCAGAATTCGCTGTTATCGTCGTATCGTTGGGTTACGCCAGAAAGTCTCAGCAATGTCTATAGTCGGAGTGTATTCTGGTGGCTAAATAAGCTGTTCATGCAAGGTTTCAAGAAGGATCTGACTCTGGACACCCTCTTTGAGCTCGACGACCAACTCGACTCTACTAGGCTGGCTTCGGAAGCACAAAGGTCTTGGGACAGGGTTGACAAAACCAGCAAGTATGCATTGGGCAAGACCTTGATGTCGTGCCTCGCATGGCCAATTTTGATGCCTGCAATCCCACGACTCGTCATGATAGGCTTCAATTACTCCCAGCCTTTTCTGGTCACTCGACTTATCGACTTGTTAAGCCAGGACAAGGCGTCCCCGGACGATCGCAACATTGGATACGGTCTCATCGGCGCCACAGCAATCATCTACATAGGCATTGCCATCTCAACCGGTCGCTACAAACATCAGATCTACCGAAGTATGACCATGCTGCGTGGTGCTTTGGTTGCCTTGATATATCACAAGACTCTAGAACTGAGACTATCAGCCGTTGAAGACTCAGCCTCATCAACATTGATGAGTACCGATGTAGATACTGTCATCACGGCCACTCAGCAACTCCACGAGATTTGGGGGAGCGCAGCTGAAGTTGCTATCGGAATGTATTTGCTTGGTCGCCTGGTAGGAGTTGGAGCCGTGGCTCCGGTCTGTCTTACGATATTCGGCACCCTGATCAATTCACTCTGGGTCGGACCAGAATTGAGTCGACGACGACCAGAATGGAATAAGGCTATTCAGGATAGAGTCGCACTGACTTCTTCAATGTTGCACGATATGAAGAGTTTGAAAATGCTAGGATTGGTTGGAACACTGAAGGACATACTACAAGCTCGGCGAATCGAGGAACTGAAGCGTTCCAAAAAGGTGCGCTGGATGATTGTATGGATGAATGCAGCTTCGAATTTGATGGAGACTTTCTCTCCTGCCCTTGTTTTGATGGCGCTGTCCCTTCAACGAACAGCCACGGGACAACAACCACTGACCGCCAGTCAAGCATACACAATTCTTTCAATTCTGAGTCTCGTGGCCAACCCTTTGTCAGATGTTCTGTCCAGTATTCCGGGAATGATCGGCTGCATTGGGTGTCTTGGTCGAATTCAGACATACCTTCTTCATGAAAGTATCAAGCCGTATCCTCTGAGAGACCGCACGGATCTTTCCAGCCAAACCTACTCGGCCTCGGGAGAAGTCGAACTGGATACCTTCACGCCGGATGACGCCCCTTGCAGACTTAGTGACAAAGCTCTTGCCATCAACAACGCGTCTTTCGGATATTCACCAGACTCGATGGTTTTGCATGACATGACTTTCCAGGCTTCTCAAGGCTCTGTTACTATGGTCGTCGGACCTGTTGGCTCTGGCAAAAGCACCTTGCTTCTCGGCATTCTTGGAGAACTCTACAGCGATCATGGACGAGTCGATGTTGCAAACTCAGATGTAGCATACTGTCAGCAGTCAGCGTGGTTGCCAAATCAGACAATCAAAGAAAGTATTGTCGGTGATGCTACTTTTGATCAAGATTGGTACCGAACAACTGTCGATGCTTGCTGTCTGGATGTCGACATCTCTCGAAGCTCAGGTGGTGACGACGCCTTGATTGGCAGTCGAGGCTTGACACTGAGCAGTGGACAACGAACGAGACTATCTCTAGCAAGAGCCGTGTATTCGAGAAAAGCGGTGGTGTTGCTCGACGATGTCCTCAGTGACCTGGATGCTCGAACTCAGAATGCTATTTTTGAGCGCCTGTTGTCACACAGAGGATTGTTCAAGAGGAACAACATTACTGTCATTATGGCAACACATACAGGTAAAGCACTACATGTGAAGACATAGAATCCCCTACTGATCGTGTCACAGTCCAATATTTATACGGTGCAGATCATGTTATTGCTCTTGATTCGCAAGGTCACATCGTTGAGCAAGGCAATCCGACCACTCTTAGTGCTGGCGACGGCTATGTCAACAAGCTCCTCGCACAGTCGATGCAGACGAAGCATGGAGAAACGCGAGAACCACGCAACGAGGTCCAGGCTCACCAACAAACAAGCTTCTTCCTAGCGCATTCGACAAATCCGAACAACAACGATATGCAATTGCGACGCATGGGAGATCTCTCTGTTTACAATACTATGGGAAGCACGCAGGCCCCTTCCAGATGGTGTTATTCTTTGGCTTGCAATTTGGAGTCATCACATTCTACAAGATTCCCCGTAAGCATAATGTCTTTCCTACGATCTACGTTTAGTCCCTCGACTGACAATCTACAGAGCTCTGGTTGAAGTGGTGGACGAGTTCAGATGGAGCTGGAAACGATGTCTACATCGTTGTCATGTTTGTATTTGCGGTCGCCGCTTATGTGATCATGATATGCTCGATAAGGTCATTTCAATCGTTAACGTTCAAGCACAACACGGCTAACATACCGAAAGTCTGATGCTAATTCGAGTTATGCCTATTACTGGAAGGAGTTTACACTGGACGCTTCTCTCTATCGTTTGCGCCGCACCTATGAGTTTCTTCACCAACACAGACAGCGGCATCATCTTGAATCGATTCAGCCAGGACATGAATATCATCGACAGCCACGTCCCCACTGCGATTGGAGGGATATTCCACAGTATAGCTTCTATCATGTGGGATACTGCATTGGTATGCTATGGCTCATACTACATGGCCGTCTGTATTCCAGTGTTAGCGGCAGTCGTCTACTGTATTCAGCTGTTCTACCTTCGGACCAGCCGACAATTGCGCCTCCTTGACCTGGAACTCAAATCGCCTCTATTTACTCACTTCAACGGAATGAAAGACGGCTTGGCAACGATCAGGGCTTTTGGATGGCAAGAGAGCTTCTATCAGAAGTTCATTCAAGCTCTCGATGCTTCTCAGCGACCTTACTATTTGCTTTACATGATTCAGCAATGGCTGGGGTTATGCCTGTCACTTCTCGTAGCAGCCGTCGCAGTCATACTTGTTGCCTTTGCGACTCAATTCAGATCGCAGACGTCTGATTCAGCAATCGGGATTGCTTTAGTCAACGTGATTGGTCTCAGTACGACGCTGGCGAACCTAATAAGGCAGTGGACCAACCTGGAGACTTCAATTGGCTCCATCGCTCGTCTGAAGCAACTTGAAGCGAGCGTCAAACCAGAGTCGTCGACAGGTCAGGCAGACAAGCCTCCAACCGATTGGCCAAGTGCTGGAGCCGTAACCTACGACAACGTCTCCGCTGCTTATGATGAGACCGCTGCTATTGTTCTGCACAATGTCAATCTTTCAATCAGCCCTGGAGAGAAGATCGGAGTATGTGGCAGAACCGGATCCGGAAAATCCACTTTGATCTCGTTGCTGTTCCGTATCATCCCTGTCAGGTCTGGCACCGTCAAGATTGACGGACATGATATCGCGACTATATCACACGACAGTGTCCGAGGCGCAATCATTGCGATCCCGCAATCACCATATATCTTCTCCGGCTCTGTGAGGTTCAATCTGGCTCCTGATGCTGCCTCCGATGACTCTTCCGGTACAGGCCATGCGATGATCACGGATGATGAAGTAATCACTTCGCTCAAGACCGTCGGCTTGTGGGCGATCATTGAACGACATGGAGGCCTCTGGGTACCGATCGCTGACGTTGGTCTCTCGCAAGGTCAGAAGCAACTTCTTTGCCTTGCCCGAGCGATACTGCGAAAGGACACTTCAAGACTTCTGGTCCTGGATGAGATTTCTTCCAGCGTCGACAGGCATACCGATGAATTGATGCAAAGTATCATTGCGACCGAATTTGAGAAACACACTGTCATTAGTGTGGCTCATCGTCTGAGCAGTTTGAAAGGTTGCGACAGAGTCATTGTCATGGACGAGGGCCGGATTGTTGAACAAGGTGTGCCTGACGCATTGCTTCAGAAAGAAGATGGATGGTGGAAGCGACTTTGGGATGCTCAAGTCTGATGATCGAATGAGATCAACGAGACTGGGACAGCGAGGTGTTTTGGAGAATTCGGAGTTTTCTGCTTCAGCGAGCTATCTTTTGGCAGTCACATTATGTTGTCTGCTCTGTCAGAACCTACTTGTGGATGTTTCGACCCGGACTTTTTACCCAAGTACATCGGATCAATTCTTACCTGCTTTGCATACACATCTGCCTCGCGCAGAGTTCGGCGATGTCGCAAGAGCGAGCGTTGCTAGCATGATTTCGACCTCTTTTCACAGAGTCTAAACAGCACTCGTGATGTGAATTGGTTTGCAGTCAGTGAATTAACCGAGCCGCGAGGACAAAAGAGATTTGACCGTGGCGACAAAGAGATTCGCAGAGAAGAACGGGCACCGGCAGATTTATGTGGTCGGAGAAAGTGGAAGACGGAGATGGTCATGGAGTTCTCGGCGAGATTGTAATGGATGACGTGGTATTCGGCTAATATGGCGTGAAGCTTTAGCCTCTCCCCCATATTACCCCACCGCGTTTCTGCATATGAAAGCCCCTCCTTCCTCGTTATTTTGTTGACTGACACAAACCTCTCTTTCCTCCTTCCTCCCACATCCCTAATCAATCTTCCAAAACACACATCATGTCTCTCGGACGCACAGTCAAGCTCAACACCGGCGCCTCCATCCCGTGAGTCTTTGAACAGCTAGCCACTACCCCGCGTCAATTGCTAACAAGACCACAGCCAGTTGGGATTCGGTACATGGCAGGCTGAGCCCGGTCAGGTTGAGGCCGCCGTTTACGAGGCCCTCAAGGCCGGCTACAAGCACATCGATCTTGCCAAGGTCTACGGCAACCAGAAGGAGATTGCCAACGCCTTCAAGAGAGCCTTCAGCGAGGGCGTCAAGCGTGAGGACCTCTTCATCACCTCCAAGCTCTGGAACTCGCAGCACAGACCCAAGGACGTCGCCCCTGCCCTCGACGACTGCCTTGCCGAGCTCGGCCTCGACTACCTTGACCTGTACCTCGTCCACTTCCCCGTCTCGTTCGACGAGCAGGGTGATGTCCACCAGAACCTGTTCCCTCTCGAGGGTGAGGACGTCAAGATGCTCGACAGCGTCTCAATCGTCGACACATGGAAGGCCATGACGCAGCTTGACAAGAAGAAGGCCCGCGCCGTCGGTGTCTCCAACCACACCCAGGAGCACCTCCAAGCTCTGATCGACGCCACCGGTGTCACCCCCGCCGCCAACCAGATCGAGCGCCACCCCCGCCTCCTCCAAACCGAGTTCGTCAAGTGGTGCGGCGAGAAGGGCATTCACATCACCGAGTACTCTGCCTTCGGTAACAACATGGTCGGCGAGCCCCTCCTCATCACCCACCCCGTCGTCAAGGAGATCGCCGACCGCCTCAGCGCCTCCCCCGCACAAGTCATCCTCGCCTGGGCACAGGTCGGCGGCCACTCGGTCATCCCCAAGTCCGTCACCGCATCCCGTATCCGCGACAACTTCAAGGAGGTCGAGATCTCAAAGGAGGACTTCCAGAAGATCGAGAAGATCGGTCAGGACGACCCTCACCGTTTCAACATCCCTTACACTGCCAACAAGCCCAGATGGCCCGTCAACATCTTCGGCACTCCCGAGGAGAAGGATGCTCCCCACAAGGTCATTGTTTAAATGTTCCTATCCACTATTTTTTATGATTTAGATACCAAATGAGCAATTAATGAAAAAGTTTTGAACCTCAATGATTGTTCCACTCCCGGATGTCGTCGATTACGTGTACACATTTCAGCCGCCATATTTGACTTTTGGGATGAACGATTCTGCGGAGGTGCGGACTTTTGAATGTCCGCAGCGCTTGCTCGGGTCAAGAAATATGGCCAATGCGTGAAACGTCTGCTCCTCCATCCACACCGACCGACGCGTTTTCGACTTGCCATCTCTCCCCATTCATGTCATTAGTGATATCTGCCAGTGCCAGGTGTCATTGATAACTACACTGTTTTAAACTTGCAATGGGAAGCTTGTTAACACTCGGCTATAAAGGTAAGTGTTCTTACGCTACGAGTACGACGCAACATAAGTTTAGTAAGTGGCCTAGAAAAACGGCTTTGCTGCTTGCTTCCTGCATGATATGAATCCCCGACAAAAGACTCTTATTGCCCACACGGCCTACAAAACTCTAGTCCGTTCCTATAGAGTTCGAGATTAACAGGCCGTACCTAACCGCGATTGATCCTTAATTATTCCAAGAGGAGAATTAGGCGTTGTTTTCATCGACCCAAGTAAATTATCATCACTTGTTTTTTTTTCATGCGACATTAGCAGATGTGGTAATATCCTTAGACACGGCAATTTGTGGAAAGAATTATGATCATTTAGCTTGGAGGATTGGAGAGATTGGGGTGTCCCGATATAAGGTCATGCATCGGTTGCAGACTCCTCGCTCATCTTTGTTGGACATTGAAAGTCGACGCTGTGGTCCCGGTACAAAGATTGTCAGTGCGATAGCACTCCTAGTACCGACTTTACCATCTGCGTTCACTCCTCAGAACACCCTTCCCTCGAGTCAGGAAATCTCGAAGGATCCACGAGGCCCAGGTTCTTGCGGAGTTGGAAGGATCGAACCTCTATCATACGGCCGAGTACACCGACCAAGACCAATGCCAAGCATCACTATACAAGGAAACCGCCGGTCTGCCGGATCATCGTGGGACGATCTTCAGCATCGCGACCAACGTCAGTCTGCAAAGGACATGGCATAACGCAACTCTTGGACTGCGTCATTCATGCGTCGGCTGGTATATCACGCCCGCTCGTCCCATGGTGTCTCCTCATCAGTATTCTTCAAGACCAACGCAGCAACCATGCATTCGAGCACGCCAGCCGCCATCTTGTTCCTCCTGTCACCTTCAGCCTTTGCAGCCTCTTGCTCGTCTTTCACACCTTCGCAAGATCCGTATTCTCAGCCCGCCTCAAACACATTCATCATCAGCAAAGGTGTGACCTGTGACTCGACGACTGATGTTTGCCGCGTACCTATCGGTGGATACGTGACCGATGGACGCAGCATGAACATCACAACCGACTCGGAAGACTCCATCTACCAGCGCATCGCCGACACTGTCGGCTTCTCATTCAACGAAAGCATAACGACATGGTGGGGCTCCTCAAATGTCAGTGAGCCAGATACATGGCCCATTCAGAACGGTACCTCTGGCTATGTCGGATGGACCGCAATCCACCGATGTACTTCTGGCCAGCTGTCTGGCTGCGATGCATCGACGGTGGAGGGTATTTATGTCGAGGCTTGCACACCTTTTCCTCCAGGTGGTGACGTTGAACTCTCCGGCACCACTGCTGCAATAACCACCGACCGTAGCACGGCAGAAGCACTCACTTGCAATCCTGCCAACACCACCGCTGCTCAGAATGGAAATTACTCGAATTCCTGTTCGACTGCAGATTCGCAGCCCGAAGAGGGAGCTGCCAGCGGACTGGGAGGTGTATCGTTGGTATTGCTTTCTGGTTCTTTACTTGTCGCTTTCGTTGGGATATAATCCTTAAACACGACTTTGGGATAGTATACAGCACTTGGCGATTTTGTTGAGCATAAGAACTCTGTGTACATAGAGTCTGTTGTCTGATGAGTAGAACTTTTATCGAGATGTTCTCTTATCCAGTCCTTGACGACTGGTTCTACAGGCTTAAGCCCACCATCTGTGAACCCATTTGGCGAGACATGGCTACCCAGTCCACCCCAGTCGTTGCGGATGTTTGCGCTTGAGCCGTCTGCTTCGCGTAGATCAGCCGAAGCAGGTCGACCAATCGGCTAGAGCCACCACTCAGACCCAAGACCTGCGTGCTCTTGATAAGCTCGAGAGCTTGTTCTTTCTGCAACGTGTATTTGCTGGCGTACCCACTCAGAAAGAGTGGGAAAATACACTGATGTGAGTCGAGACGGTTCGTCGATGCGATAGAGAGGATCTTGGTGCAATGTTCCGCAACTCGCTTTCCAACACGAGGGGAGGGGAAGTGTTGATCGTGATACATGCTTGTGTGCAGATAGACAATGATGGTCGAGTACTGCAACAAAGCCTTGTGAGAATGTCAGCCAATCCACCATGGAGATCAGAAGAATAAAACTCTAGCTTACAAGTTCCAAAGTTGCGCTTATTGTTGTACCCATCAATAAATTGCGGTCAGATGCGGTTAAAGTAAGGATATGCTTGTACCTAAATGTCCACTCGATATACAAGATATGGTAAAATTTGTCGATGCACCTGTGACGTGCTGCAGCACTACCTCTTCCGCTATTCGTTTCAGATCGCATCTTCAAGGCGAGCTGACTGAGCTTAGCGAATTTCCGGCATATGTAAGTTGCTAGGTCGTAGACTGCAGCACACAAAGCCGATGTACCACATTTGAAATCGTGTCGCAGATTTTGGAGCTCAGCCAGGTCCGGGAGGAATGATTCGTCTGCAAGATAGGCTCTTACATATGACCCTGCGTCATTGTTCCCGGCTAGGCATAGTTGTACATCGAGGTTGAGAACGGTCCACAAGAGGTTGGCTGGCACCTTGGCCGAGTTATCCTTTCGTAAGCAAAATGCGAGTGCCGCGAGATGCCCTAAATGCTGGGACCACATGATCGGGCCTCTTGATTCTTGTCCCATGCAACAGACGTCGAAGACGAGTAGAACAAAGTGCAAATAGAAGAGTAAACTTGGCTCGACATGGGCGTGTGATACGGATGTGGAGACAGCACGAGCATAATACTCGAAAGCTTCCACAAACCCAGTCTGCTGGCCTCTTAGCGCTGAGGTCAGGGACGATAAAGCACAGATGGCATGACGCAGCTGATCGAATGTCAGTATCCAAACGGGGCATGCAATATGATATGGTTGAACAATCGGCAACTCACCGGCTCGAAGCTCTTGGACTGGGCGGATATTGCTCCTTCTTCATCGAAAACCCCCACTTTCTGATCATGGTATCCAAGTCCAAAGATTACTATCTGTGGTAGAGTCAAGGTCTTGTGATTCAGCACAGGGGTCGTCGCTATAAGAGTATTCTGATCTTCCGGATTGTGCGGTAGAGGTGGTATGCACCCGGAGAGTGCTGATTCTGGTAGCTCACACTTGTCCCATATGGCAAGTGGTAGAAGCGGCGTGGGTTGTGATAATGTCTCAGGTTTTGCGAGTATGCCAAGGTGTGAAACATGCATATGCTTGTCCTGGTCGTCTTCACCAAAAGAGGTCACGTGGCTGAGGGGTGTCAGTGGCCTGCAACTGGATGGACTTGAAAAACTGCTGTTGGTAGAGATTGAGTATGCATCTTGTGGGCTCAGAGAGTCTCTCTTCCGATGCTTGTCTTCAGGCGAGATTCCAGAGACAGTGTGGTTTTTGACCGATGGCTTTGTAGTTTGAGTGCTACTGATGAGACTACTGGGGTAGCAGTTCAATGATGAACTGCTAGAAGGGCTGTTGTGTCGAAGTTGTCGTCCCGTGCATAAGCTGAAATCGAGGAATTGCCATTGGTGACCATAGTGGCAATGTTTCGATAACCTGACGCATCCGCCGCATTGTGGACGAGTCTCGTCACACTTGACTCTCCGCTTTCGACATGTCCAGCAGCCGTCCTTCGAGCGGGTTTGGGGTCGCTTTTGTTGTTTTCTTCGAACGCCTTGGGAATCGCTCGAATGGCCACGTTGTGAGGCATCCGTGAATGGGCGGCATATAGAGGAACCCAAGGATGCCGGAGGGGTTCCGGTGAAGGTGGAAGCAAAGGTTGCCTGCGCCGTCGAGTCGCATATATGGTCCATAATCGAGGGGCTGGGAGCATCCGAAGCGGGTCACGAATCATGAGGTGCATCAATCTTACTCTTTGGGAGGACGAGGCTTATATTTTTATTCAAAGTCCAACATGGTACCTTGCGATGCAGGAGAATAATAGACTTTCTGCGCCACGGCAGATGAGCGAACGTCCCCATCGCCATTACATGATCGATGCTGCGCCGAGATAGTGTGTTTGCAACATTGACCGCGCGCTAACAAACGTACAACCTGCTGGTACTAGAGGCGACCATGTCGGGCCGTCTGAGATGAATTTAACCTGGGTCAGACCCACGAGCATGCACGCAAGAGGTGATTCTCGGGTTCTATAGGCAGCGTTACTCGTTTATGCAGGGAAAGCGGGAACAGCCCCGAAGCGGCATCGGCAGTCGCAATCTTCGAGGAGACCGACGTTAGCCGACCTTTGTGAAGCAGGCCGCGTACAATAGGGCTTGATGCGGACTCAAATCCGAAAACAGCTTCAACTAGCTACCGAAGACCGAGCGCAAAGGGGTACCTCAGTGCCGACAAGTACTTCTGTACTGGGACGGTCCCGATTCCTTTTCGACAGAAAGCATCTGCCGGAGCGCTGCAGCTTGTTGACCAGATGATAGTCTGAGCGGGTCTACGGTTTGACGTTCGATGAAGTACATATGGCCCGTCGCCGTTGTTCTCTCGTCATCAACCTGGAGATAATGCGCAACCAGATGGTTTGCGGGTCTGCTCTTGGGCCCTACCTCGCAATGGCGATGCGAGTCGTCGGAATCGTAATAACAAGCTAGCCAGCGTTTTGCTTCTGGGAGAGAATGTAACGTTGCATTCTTTGCGTCGGCCGAACGCGGCTCAACTGGTAGTTGACCTTGGACTCCAGGAAACAGTTCGCCGACTCGTCTTGCACCAATCGTTAGCCTTTCTGCAAGTAGAGTAGAACAATCGATGCGTCTCTCGAGAGTCCGGAAAAGACTGGTATATCTGCAAGGCGCGTCTGATTTGCAACAAGTAAGATGTTTAGCGAGAAAGCGAGGCTGGAATTTCGTCCATGCCATGTTTCGCGATTACTCCAACCATTTATTGTAAACTTGGGAGATCTCTGATAAGTCTTTCACTGTAGCGTATCCCAATCGAAATTGGCATCAAGATCAAAGAACTCTGGCATGGCCGCAAAGTTGTCAAACACGAATTCGCCCTGGGAGCTTATGGCGATGTCGGATGCTTGAGCTGGAAAAGATGATTGATGTAGAGTTGCAACAATATTGCCCATTGTCTGCCCAATGTGACCGGGCAGGCCGATTGAGCGAAGCCATTGCGATGCTTCCAGCACCAAGACATGGCGACTCACTGCCTCGAAGAATGAAGCATATTCTTTCTCGTAATTGCGAAGGAGTCGGATGAGTGTCAAAGCAGCGAACGTGATCATATAGAAGACGTGATGGGTAAGGTGCTCGGTTCTGTCGTCAGGAGTCCTTATTGCTGCTTGCAAGATGTCTGAACAGTATTGTACCATCTGCACAATCGATGATTCGTCTACGGCCTCTGAAGACTTGCCGAGTGCGCGCTCGAGGATCAAGAGCTGAGCGAACGAACACCCCATCTGCAGAAAGTGATGCCTTTCTTGCTCAAAGAGAAAGTTCCATTCCGACTTCCATGATTGTATCGCCATTTGGGCGTGTTCAAGATCGAGTGGTTCCGTATCTAGCTCTCCGTAGATCGTCCAGTACAAGCATAATTCAGCAGCCATCCGCAACTCAAAATTACTGGTGCTTGGCATGCTGGTGACAAGGCGTGCTTGTCGGATATGCGCAGCATTGATCATCGCCTTCCGTCGCATGGTGATGCAAGCGTGGAGATGAGACAGACACAGATGGTTCCACAGGTAGAGGCAGTCAACTTGTGTCTCTTCTTTGATTACTTGGATTTTGCCCGTTGCCAGATCCTTGACTGATTTCGATATGGAGCCATGTTGGATGGCCATGCCAGTCATTAGCCATACGTCTAGACCGGTCGGGCTTTGTCCGACTGCGGATGACCATAGAGACAGCACGAGGGTGGCTTGGTAGAACGTCAGTGGTCGTTGAGGCTGCAAAACATTGCTAGCGAGCAGACGTTCTGCTTCAGCAGATAATATGGAAGATAGTCCGGCATTGACGTCTGTCAAGGAATGCCTTGCAGCCACCGAACAGGCCGCACACAAGAACAAGGCATCCTTGATATCAGTCGACCTAAGTGTGCTCAGCATAGTTTCCGGAATAGAAAGCCATCGACCGTAGTGTCGCTGGAAAAGGGCAAGTAGACGGTCGGATCCTTCAGCCGACACAATATCCTTCTGTACGATATTTGCTTCGTGAGTAGGATCCCGTGCTTGCCTTGGGTAAGTTGAATTGGTGTCAGCATCACGTATCACTTGCAGCGGTGCTGCAGCATCTTCTGTATCGGTTCCAGGCAAGATGAGGGACTGCTGAAGTGCCGCAGGCTGTTGTGCTTGTGCGAGTATGCTCTCCAGTCTCTGTACTGTGTGCTCGAGAGAGAGAATCCTGGACGCGTCATTGTCAACACTTGATGACTGAGCTCTAGTCAGTTCGTTTGATATACCTTGACTCCATTCCACTACAATCATGGGGGCTCGAAGTACTGGCGACTGCTTCGAACACCTCTAGAGAGTCTCTGGTGAGAGATTCGCGCTGGAGCGAGCAGTCTTTGCCAAGCGTTCGACAGCGCAGACACGTCATGGGTTCTGGGCCAGTCGCGTAACATCTTGTCTTATGGGTTCTGCAGGCATGACACGCTTTTGAAGCTCTTCCATGGTTTGTGCGCACAGGAGGCATTGCTACTTCGAACCGTGATCAGGGCCGTGGACTGCAGGCTAGAATTCACATTTCTGTCGGGCTAAAAAGGCCAGCGTGTTGAGTTCTTGGCAGGGTCCGCAAAATCCTTCTTCCGCTCTTGCGTCAACTCTTTCGGCATGCCGTGTCGTCCTTCTCTACGCCTCACTCGCAAGTCGTCACAGTAAACCTTCTCGCGACACACTTTGCGCATGGCTGAAACAAGCACTTTTCGAACGCGACAGGTGCAGGTGTCTACAACGGAGGAAATGATGGCTCTGCGAACGAATGTACGACTATTTGGACTTATGAAGCCGCCCCGAATTGCTGCTCTATACGCTGTCGTGCTCGCGCGTTGACAACACTGGATCCACACCGTGCTCTACTTCTACTCCGCGGTCGTCATGGTCGAAAATGCGATACAATAACTTCCAAATCAAGATGACACCTGCTGCTGCAATCGCGCAAGCTGCAGCGGTCTTCAATCCCCGTGAGTATCGAGGAGCATCTGGTCGGGAATCAGTCTTTCTGGACTTGCTGTCACCAAAGTGGATGTTTCAAATACCTTTGGTCTCGAACAATTGGTTGCCGGGAAAGTTTGCCAGCTGAATACTCATCACATACGCAGCTAGAGCAACAGGACGTTTCTGATCTGTCATCTTCGCGGTGAGCCAGGCCGCGTTGATCGCTTGGGCACTCCCCATGCCCGTGTGCGTCAAGACTACTCCTCCTATGGTTTTGTCAGCCTGTGCCACATTTGACATACTCGCCAGGCTTACCATAAAGTGTCCAGCGACCTACTGTGGCAGGTGCAAGAGCTAGCCACAACAGTCCTGCAGCCCCCAGTAGGTAACCCAACGCGATGTGGAAACCTCGCTCACGGAGCTTGTCACTGCTGAAAGCCAAGGATACCGACCATAGCAAAGCACAAGCACTACCTATCGAATTGGAACCGTTTGCTTGGAGACCAGTGAAACCAAGGGACTTGATGATTGAAGGCGCATAGGTATTCATGGGCGAGATCATGACCATCGAAAGCAAGCCTGCGACCAGATGGCCGTAGAGGCGCCAATCTGCAAACGTTGCTACCACATGCGAGGGAAGTAGTGGCTTGCCGTGCTGAAAGCCTTTGGTCGGGTCGTCCCGGACGACGCGTGTCACCAATATTGAACCCTCACGAGGTGAAAACAGATTGAAAGACCGCCCAAAGAAAGACTTTGGTTTGACGGCGCTGTGTGGGAGATACAGGTATGCGACCATGCCCAATACGCAGGTGAGAACACCCTCTGTTCAGTGTTCACAAGGTCAGCCGATAAGAAACACGGGTGATTTGGACAGTCACGTACCAATCAGGAAAAGCCATTGCCAGCCCTTGAGACCTTGCGAGCCCCGCAAAGCTAGAAGACCAATCGACAATGGACCACCCAGCATTCCTGCGATGCTGTTGGATGCCCAGAAGATGGCGAATCGTAACCCGAGTTCTTCGTTGCTGTAGTATCTGGAGATGTACAAGACAAAACCAGGTATGTATCCTCCTTCCAGAGCGCCGATGAAGAAGCGAGCCGCCCACAGACCATTAGGGCTCTTGATGAAGATCTGAGACCATGTCGCCACACCCCAGCAGAACATTGTGATTGGTAAGAAGCGCTCCGGTCCAATGTACTTGCTGATCATGTTGAAAGGGAGCTCAGTGACGATGAAGCCCACCGTGAACAGAGTCTGAGCCAAGTTGATGTCTGCGTTGTCAACGCCGATGTCCTTGCGGAAGGTATCCGTCAAAGCATTGCCGATATTTGTTCGATCGAATTGGAGAAAGCAGAAGCAGAGTACGATGAATGGCATGATCAGAAAATCGACCTTGAGCTTCGCTCTTCTGACCTCTTGTGGGGTATATTGCAACTCGGGAGTGTAACCAGGTACGTTGAAAAGCTCTTCGTCTAGTGTCGTCGATTGTTGAGATTGGATATGATCCATCTGTTTCGAATCATCTTGTGACTTCGGCTCGTGGCCGGCGTACTGAGGTGCACTCATATCCCATGCAACAGAGAGTGACTGGTTTGTGGGTTGCGTTATTGGGTCCGATGTCACAGCGTATACAATCCACGAAGATCGAGAAGACCATGGTTCCAGGCTCAGTATTTGTAGATGGTAGTCGCTACACCCGGAAGCAAGTTGTCGCAATCCTTATCATGGTGCCATGAAGTCAAGGTTGACGTGCTATCGCGAATGCCTTATCGCAGATGTCAAGAACCAGTCCTAGAGGCAGGGTCCCTACGTCCGGCCGGCTTCCCGACGCTGTGCCTCAGGCAAGCCGACGGTCATACCCGACACTCCGCCGGCTTGCCGTGCAGCACTATCCGATTCTTGGATTGCGCCATCGATAACGCTGCCACGAATCCCTTATATCTTACAACAATGCTCGATCGCCTTGATAATTACATTCATCGGCCTCAGAATTCCTACACACATCATGGAGCAAAACACCCTCAAAAGACGAGGCGTTGGCTTGACAGGTCTCGACAAAAAGCAATATTTTGGAGGGTACACTCTATTCTGCCCATTGACTAGCGACGTCGCGTACCTCATCGACATTGAGGGGAACGAAGTTCACTCTTGGAAGCTTCCCGGACGCATCGGTCGACATGCAAGAATCCTGCCGAACGGCAACCTTGCAGTCAATACTCTTCGCCCTTCAAGCAAGACTACCAGCGATGGAGGACCGTTCCCCTTTCCTTTCTTCAACAAATACGGTGGTGGTGTTATGAGTGAGTTGGATCCGCAAGGCACTGTCGTCAGACAGTTCGAAGACGAGTTTGGTCATCATGATCAACATCATTTCGGCGATGGGAGAATGCTTTACACTGGACTCGAGCCACTCTCTCTTGAGGAGTCTGCAAAGGTCTTGGGAGGCGTACCGGGTACAGAGATTGATGGAATAACGTATGCCGATACAATCAACGAAACTGACACGAACGGCAACTTGATCTGGCAATGGAGAGTTTCTGAGAGCTTGCCCAGAGCAGAATATCCTCTCCAGGCTCACTACACCAGAGAGCACTATCCCCTGATCAACTCGGTACTTCCTACCAGAGATGGCAAACATATTCTGGCTTCCATGAGATCTGTCTCTGCTGTGGTCCTCATCGAGAAGTCAACCGGCAACATTGTCTGGAAGCTTGGCTCCGAAGTCCTAGCCCAACAGCACAATGCTACCGAACTGGAGAATGGAAATATCCTCATCTTCGATAATGGCGCATACAGAAGCGGCGAATCAATTACGTACAGCCGAGCCATCGAAGTTAACCCTGCCACCAAAGAAATTGTCTGGGAGTATCGGGACAAGTCGCAAATGCTTTACTTCTTCACGCCATTCATGGGGAGTGCACAACGTCTTGCAAACGGCAATACTATGCTCTGTGAGAGTGCATTTGGTCGACTCTTTGAAGTGACGCCTGATGGTTATGTCTGCTGGGAATACATCAACCCACATTTTGCGCCATATCCTGATGCAGCGACAGCGAAATTGTTTCCGGGAGAGTCAAACGCTCTGTTCCGTGCATATCGCTATTCGAAGAAGGAACTCCCTTGGTTGGAAGTATAGATGAAGGGGGATGCTATTAGCACGAGCTGACACATACAAGGTGAGGGACTTGGTGGAGGCTTAGAATAGACAACACAGCTTTTGACCTTCTACGTAGCGTTTTGATAAACCGAACGCTGATGATAGTCTGATCAAGTCGTCTGCTATCCTTAGTTAATCAGGTCTTCCACTTGTTGTACGTCAACCGCCAATGTAGTTATTCTCAACCTAATCTTCCAAACCAAATCAAAATCAACAATTCCTGCTCTACTGATGCCCATAGAATCTACCCCACTGCCAGTATCATTGACCCTGTAGCAAATCAAGATCGACAGCCTTATCAGCAGTGTCAAACAGATCAGTTCCGTTGCCCCAGTCAATGATGTCAACGAAGTTGAGCAAGTCACCGATGATGCCATCGACTTTCCTCGCTAGTCTCACGACATCGAAACAAGTCTCGCCAAGTATCCCGGTGCAAGTGGGCATAAGCTCTTTCTTCTGCATATCACAGTACAACCCCTCGGCCAGATTGACAAAGTTTGGACCCGAGGATGTCTCGCTTTCACACAACGTGCGAGCACTTTGGCTAGGTCTGCTGGTTTTGACCAGACGGTTGTCCACGATGGAACGTCTGGAAGTGGGAGCTTTCTGATGAAGCTGTTTAACAGGAGGGGGGTAAGATCGCGTTGAATCAGCGGCGTCCCTCTTGTAGTAAATGGTGCCAGGATCGTTGCCATACTGAAAATTCAAGGCGTTGGGAGAGTCACAATATTTGCTCTGGATGTTGTTGCTATCTGTCGTGGCAAACCCGTTTTCGTTGAATTCCGGCCACTTGACATGGAAGGCTGTGACTGGTCGGTCCCCTGTCTGTGTCAGTGAAGACAATATATGTGTGAGGATGTGACATACCGTTGCCATCGATCCAAACGCATTCTAGTTCCTTGTTGTCCTGGTAAACTCCAGAGTAGTACCAGTCTTGACCACAGGTGTGGCCCCAGTTCCCAGCAAATGCGTATTGGGATCCATCAGGCCAGGTCTGCACCATGAACTAGCTGATCGATACACGCCAAAGATGTTCAGAAACGTCAGAAGCTTACAGTAGTCATGTATGCAATACAAATGGCATCATTGTTGGCGGTCAGAAGAGTGTAGACTGGCTGTTGTCTACTTTGGCCGATCTTGATATCCTTGTAAGTACCACTACCAATGTGACCTGGGTCATAGTTGGCCCCAAGAAACTCGGGATTGTTGTTGAATTGACGAATGTCTGGTGCATCCCCGCCAGCATTGGTGAGTCCTTGAGTTCCGTCGAGCCCGACAAAAACGCGGACCTTGCTGGAAGTACCATCGTTGGATGGAATGTTGCTCTGGAGGAAGCTAATGGTACCAAGAATACCGGTAAAAACACCGAATGTAGTGGCCATACTGTAGAGAGATTGCAAATGTTGTCGATGAGTAAGATAGTGAGAGCTGAAATTTCAATTCTCGACTTGATGGGCAGTACATGCTTCCTTATAATCCTTACATGCTACTCCAGCCGTCACCTTTGTTTCATTGAAGAATTCTGATTACGAGGAACACTATCAAAGTGGGCGGAGCACTTCACACCGCGTAGTCGGAATACCGCATGATGCTCCTCGGGGCATCGAGACTAGAGACTTGACAATGTACATGGGCGACGAAGCCAAGGAATCCTTCGAGGAATGAGGGAAATATCTGACATAGTGAATCAAGATGATGTCTGAAGCTTAAAGACTAGAGTGGTAAAAAGTACAGCAAATTAGCAAGCTTGAGATTCAGATTATATGAACAGGTGACGAGATGCAGAGGTTGGAGATCACCCGATGTAACGACCTAAGCCAGGTCGTATGTATGGAAGTGGAAGGTCAAGGATGACATGCAGATGAAAGGCTCCTCGGAGATTGAGTGAATCTGGGCGGAGCGGAGCGGGACATGATTGTCCGCCTGCGATGATCACATTCTTGGCAGATGCATCAGCAACCCCGCTCCGGGAATACATCCTTCCCATCACTCTGTGGGCCCAACAGTCTCCGCGGTTCCTGATCTTGACTTCTTCACCATGGCGATCAAAAGTCTTGAATCGGACCTTGGTGAGAAATCCTGCCAAGCCCACCAAAGTCCGATTCAAGACTTTTGATCGCCATGGTGTCTTCTAAAGTATTGGCAAATCTGAATGCGGGAATACCGGCAATAAATGCCCCTCACCCTTGAGCAACAGCTAAACACTGGACAGATCATTACCTCATACTCCAGCTCCTTTCATCAACTGAAGCCGGCTATCGAGCGCCAATATCTGATCATGAAGGCCAGACGCTGGGCATTTGTCGATCGATTGTGTCAACTCCATCTTGCCACTGCTAAGTATAATAAGTCGCTGATGCGACCACTTCTGCCACAACGATGCCAACGAACAGACCGCTCCAAACGCCATCACATCGCTCTCTCATACTTTCCAAATTCAATCGCTATACCTAAGATGTTCATGTCTTCATCTCGCAGTCTTCGTACCAGAGCAGGTGTTCTCGCGCTCTTGCTCCAATCAACACAAACATCAGCACAATCCGGCTTACTGTCCTGCGCCAATGTTGATTGTCCTATCCTCGACAACACCGCCATCTCGAATTGCTCAGTGGCAGGTGCGAGTTACTCCGTCATTGGCCTCACCTCAATCCAATCTCTATCTGGCTCGAACCTCGAATGGACAATCGCAGTCAATCAGTCCAAGACCGGTAATAATTCGCTCATCAACCGCGCCTTCTACCTAGGTGTCGAATCAAGCAATTTTTTCGAATCGCAAGGTCAATCAGCATGTTCTTTCTTCTTCACAACACTCGACGATGGACCTCTGTTCTACGACTCCATGACTCCTGTGTCCACAGATTGTACCAGTCGCGATGGAACGGGATTCAGTAGTCAATGCATCTCAGACCTCAAGTCCCAAGCCAACAACTTAGCCACCTCGGATACCTCCATCTGCAACTCCATCGCACAGACCTTGCAAGACGATCCGCCATCCTCTTGCTCTTTGGCCTCTGGTACGAAAGTTGTAGCTGTGCCACTTACAGGTTCTTTAGGACCGGAACCGATCTCCGCAGCTGAAAACGAAACATCGAATTGTTGGCCAACACTGCCGAAGACTAATCAATTGCTTCCAGTGTGGACGGCTAGTATCTATACTTCCATTGATAATGATACCACCATAAGGAGCGGTGCGGGAACCACACCAGTCATGACAATTTTCTTCGCTGAGGGAAACAATGAGAAGTCGAGCGCTGAATTGGTTTGTTTGCGGCCCGTGGATTTGAACGAGAAGAGTGTTGAAACAATGGATGATGGTACTAGTGAGGCTCAAGGCATGCATGTCGTATCTTATTGGCTTGTTGTGCTAGGCTTGACGTTTTCAGCCACCCTCGTCTTACTCTGAGGCAAGCAACCTCTCTACATGCACCTCTACATGAACGCAATGATGAAACATACTGTTGTCGACTTCAACGCCTCATTTTCAGCTCTTGCGCAAGTCCGATCAAAGCCTCCGACGTGACCAGATCCGTGATTTTCACCTGGATGTGTGCAGAACTGTTTTTTTTCCTGAACACTACAATCTTTCAGGCCAGACTTTGAACCCGTAGTTTCTTGTTTGATTGAGAGTGCATGTCAGATCTCTATCCAAGAAAGAGCGGCCAAGGCCAGCAGAGACGAACGCGCTCTCGGCCATGGCCAAGACTTGTGGCCAGGCGAACGCACCTGACTTTGAACGCGTCAACTATCTCTCTGTTCGCGCACGCCCACTGCTTCAGAAGACGCCTCACAGAATGGTGCGGTCGACTTGTGAGCCTGCACGCATGCCATCTCGGCTCAACATCGTTATTTCCCCTGATCAATGGGATGAGCGTGCTCGAGCGTCGCGTCTCGCGAACCAAGGCAGCAGCCTGGTGATACAGTGCACGGACAACGCTACATGATCCTTTGAGTGACAGCGCCGTGCATAGAATGCTCAATCCCCTCGTCGACCCGCTCACGTCTCCGACGAGGCGTTCACACGCACTTTGGACCACGAGCCACAATGTCGTGCAAGCATGATAGGCAGATGCTTCAGCCTTCTTGCGTTGCCCAACAAATTGGTTATCGCCGACCCAACAGGTTGGAGAGAGCAAAAGCGGCTGGCCTCATTGACGTCTCGTTATTTGAGGATGCAGATTATCCAGCACCACTGGTGCTTCCGAATGATGAAATCGATTTTGATCCTGATTATCCGCCTCAAAGCCTTTCAGACTAGCAGAAGCATATCACGCCCAAGTCTTTGCCGTTCAAAAGGACGAAGATCTATCTTGTGGCTCCACCTGGATGGACTGAAAAGGCCTCGTTCTTATATCGCAATGAATGGCCTCATAGGCATCTCCTACCGCCAAGTTCCGAAAGCATCGTGGAATATCTCGCCGCATTCTACCATGGATTTAAGGTGCTACAGCTTCCAAAAGAGACACTTACCTTCGACGAATGGATCGAAGAGGGTGTAGCTAAGCAGAGCCAGTCTTTTGTAGCTCTAAACACAGGAACAGAAAGCATACGAATTAGGAAAAGGCTAATGCCTAACAAAGGCCGTAGTTTCTAGCTTAACCTTAATGATCTTTTAGATGCAGCCATTACTGTTCTTCCTAATGATGCACTTACGCTAATTCTTCATATAGATCTTAACCTATATAAGGATGATGACGACGACTTTGTCTATAGCCGGGCGTATAGTAAAAGCTACGTATGTGTCGTGTCTTCGTTTCGTTATAGCCCTAGAAGCGATAAAGACAACGAATTAGACTATAAACACTTCTGGCTAGCGAATCATTATGCTACTTATGTTAAGGATTAGGTCGACAAGTACATTAAGAAGCCTACTACGAAGTGTAGAAAAAAGGGCATAATAGAAGCTAGACCATTAACTACAAAACTATCAATACCGCTCTATATAGCTATAGATGCATATAAGCTCCTAAGTCGCCGGTCTACTTAGTTAAACTAGGTTTGTCGTATAGCTAGTTATAAGATCGGCCATTGCTTAGGATTAGATTACTATATGTACTATACTTACATTATGCACGGTAGCGTAATAGTAGTAGAAGACTTAAGATAGCCTCCTTATCTCTACCTAATCGATAACGCTAAGCTAAACACTCTTATAGCTATAAGAGGTAATGTAAGCGTAGGAAGTACTATATATCGAGAGGAAGCCTTACTTATATTTATAAAGTAGTATTAATAAGGTAGTAGATTTGCGGCATTTAAGGCTTAGCTTAAGGTAAGATAGATATAAAGAGCGAACAAATCTCTTGCTTCTACTAATAGAAGTCTAAATAAGAACACTAGTGCTAATGTAGACGGCTCTCGGTCGAAAGCTAAAAAGCGTATTATAACCTTAAGTAAGGAATTAAGAAGGAGTAAGCGCCTTACGTCTCGCTCTTACTAGTTAGGTAGTATCTAACATTTAGTTATGTCAATTTTTAATATCTTAATACCTACGCGTAGCAAGGCGATACTAACGTTTAACTTCTTAGTAAAGGTAATGTACTCGAGTAAAGGTTTAAGTTAAGTGGTAGTATATTTCCTACTTATTAATTAATAATAAGTAGGGTTAATAATAAAGCTTAGTATAGAAAGAACCTTAGTAAGTAGAAGGAGCTCTCTATACGGCAAGCTCCTTTAAAAGCATTTTTCTACGCCTACATTATTTATCTTATTATAGTAAGTAGACCGATAGACTATATTAATAACTCCTAAAACTAGTAATTAAATAAACGAAAGATATTACGCCTAAATCTAGTATCGACGTAGCATTCAATCTCACGAAAGCGAGCTATAATTGCCTACTAACTATGCCGAGCAAAGAAAGCTAAGTACGACAACTAACGCCTAACTTGCTCTAGGTACTAGGCCTAGGAGTCTAAATGTGTCTACGAAGATACTACTACTAATGTATTATAAGTGTACCGATCGGATGGCTCTTAGACGGTTACTAAGTATCTATTAGCTTTAACCGTAGCACCTTAGCCATTATTAATCGGCTTAACTACCTAATTAATCTTGCTAAGTCTAACTAGAGCTTATAATTACTACTTGTCGAGGGACTAAGCACTAGACCTTAGCAAAGTATAGATAAAGATGTTATTAACGAGGTAGCCTATTATAACATACATAACTAGTAGCTCGAGATTAATATATAAGGTGCAATATATGTCTATCTATCTACTTATTCGACGACATCTACCTCTAAGTTAGATACTAGACTATCCTTTACTTCTTACGAAGCTATCCTAAAGTAGACTATGTTTAGAGAGGGCTAGCATCTTAAGACTATTAAGGCTTTATTTATAGATCTAATGCTTACAAACGACGTTACTAATAATTAATCTATAACTAGTGGAGAATCGCGGCTACTCTTTATAGGACCGTAAAAGATAGTCGACTATAAATCTAATCTTCTAGAGAACGATATTATGTTACTAGTAGAATACTTCCTCGTATAAGTCTATACGAAGAACCCTATCTTAGAGCCAACTAGCTTAAGGAAGATGATAGCTAACATTATATAGTCTAGCCTCTAGTAGGATAGGCTAATATGTCTTATAGTGCGCAAGACCTTCTTATCCTTTACCTATATTATTGCTAACATTAGATAAAGCTTTTAATATGCGCTCTCGCTATCGTTTCTTCGCTATTTACCCGACTATCGACTATTACTAGGTCTAAAGTATTAGGTAGGAGCCTAGAAGATACGTCGAAGTATAGGCTTATAGAGTCCTACTATAACGCTACTTAGAAGCGCATTAGTCTTCTTAGAAATGGCTTACTAGCGACCGAGTGTTACTTTTAGCTTAGTATGTATATAATGTACTCTCTTCGGCCTTTCTAAGCATCTATCTCCTTTAATAGAGCCTATATAACGTTTCCTATCTTAACCTAGCGTACTTTTAAGTCTAATAAAGCATCATTAGTCGACGCTTATGCTTGCTAGGAATACTAGTCTTACTTAAAATCAGAATAGTAAGGCAATTCGCGTATTACATTAGCTTAATTACTTACATATATTAGTAAGATCTTAGTCTAACTTTAGGTCCCTTCTTCTAGGCTTACTACACAAAATTATACGCAATCATTCCCTTTACTACCTAATAATAACGACGATGATTATTCTTCTATAGTAGCGTCGCTAACTTTAATGTATTACACTAGCCCTACATCGTTTATAGAACGGTTGCTATAGATAGAAGCTTCTTAGTACTACTATCTCGCTAACATTGCTATACGTCGCATTTTGTAATGAGTAATAGATACCTTCTATATAGAGACGGTTAGTTTATAACTTGGTAACATCCTAAACATGTTTAAAGTAGTAGAAGAGCTATCTTAGTAGATCGAGTAATGGTAAAAAAATTCACCTATCTATAGTTGCCCTTACTAACTATACGCTAGGTACTAGAACCTCCCCGCTCCTATTAAGTTCGATTATAACACTCCTACCGAATGCGAGCTAGCATATTATCTTTAAGCTCGAGCTTACAAACTCTAAGAGTAGACTTACTAGCCTTTCCTCTTTTATCTCCTTAATTATAATCTCGACGTAGCGACAAAAGATAGGTTTAAGCGACTAGCGCATTAGTATTCTACTATGTGCACTAAGTTAATACGTTATTAGGATATTCGACACTAACATTATAGTACATAGTTAATAGTAAGATAAAGCTTTAATGTAGCTCTACTTCTTATTACTACGTAAAGATCTAGTCGGAGTAGTCTAACCTATAAATAGTACAAGGAAGCTATAAATTTGTTAATGTCGACTATACAATACTAGGAAGTAGAAGCTACTAATCTTAAAGCTTCTCGAGTGATCCTTAAGAGTGTTATATTGTAAACATAAATCGAAGTAAACGACCCTAAACATCTAATTACTAAACCCTAAAAACCAAAAACGACTTACCCCCTAATACCTAGGGCGTAAGTCGTTTAAACTTACCTTATACTAAGGGACAAATAATTACATGTTACTAAATGTTGTTCGCCTCGTCTAGGTCGCGCTCTATAGCTTCGAAGAGCGACTAAAGGCACGTTAACATAGTAGGTTATAAGCGTATAGATGTGTTCTAGCATGCCTAGAAATGTCTTTAATTTTTTACTATACGGACGCTTTAATACTATAGGTTAAAGCAGGTAGCAACGCAACGGGGACTTACTTAACTATAATCGTAATGTCTTGCTTCTAAGTCATTAGACTCAAACTTTAATTAATCACATCCTTACAACTAAATTACACTAGCAGAGTTAAGCATAGAGTAGACTATAGATGGATTAGACTAGATTAACCCTCTAATCTAATCTAGTCTAGTCGGCCTTAGCATCTAGTCTAATCTAGTGGATCTAATCTATCGAGTCTAGTAGATTAGTATAGACTATAGACTACTGTTCGAGCCTTAGTTATAATAGTTAATTATTCTTTTTACACTCTCTTAGAAATGGTCTAATTCGTTCAAAAACGCGATAAAACATAGATTTAGTAAATAGTTCAACATTTGCTTTATTTGTTTAGTACATCTACGCCTCTAGCGCTTTCTCTAGTGCCTATGCTATTAACTTAAATATTGCTTCGAGATTAGTTATAATACTATGTCTTATCTAACTCTTAATGCATTATACTTCCTCTATTACCTCGCTAGTAAGCTTTCCCCTCTAGGGTGTTACTATGTTTCTATAGCTTAAAAATACCCGCTCTAGCTCATTAGATATAGCTAGTATTATAAAAAGATCGCGGGCTATACGAGAGAGCCTAGGATAGGAGTGTTTAATGCGTAGTTTCGACTAGAATTTAAGAGGATAGTAGACGTTAGGGACATACCCTTTAATATACTATCTAGCATATTTATTAGTCTTAGGGCTACTAATGTTAGTGTCCTCCTTATCTAAGGTAAGTATAGCGTCTATCTATACTATTATATTAGGCGTACGATCGTCCTCGAGAGGGGTAGTCTCTATAATAAGTTAAGAGTAGGAGGATAGCTAGAAGTTACGTACTAACTTCTCTAACATTATAAGCTAATCCTATCGCCCTCTCTACTTTAATCTTAACTATCTCTAGGTATAAGCTAGATAAAGCATAACTGCTACGACGTATATAGGCGACTAATTAGTTATCTAATAGTATTCGTTTAATTTTTCTAAGCTAAGTTAACCCTAGTAGCTAATATACGATATTCTAGAGTCTACTTAGTAGGCATAGCGAGTGCTAGTATTAACAATAGAAGAGGGGTAATAGGTAGTAGCATTAGCGAGGATACTAAAGCAATATTAGCTTATCGTCCTTAAGTAGTCTTAACGGCCTTACGTAGGGGTTAGGAAATAGGAAGGTCGTCGTCGAGGTTAATGTTTTAGGTCTATAATTACGATATTATAGTACTCTAAGAGGTAGGGACTTAACTAGTTAGTAAAGAGATAGTAGAGTAGTTCTATATAGGCTTAATAATAGTGTACTAATTTTTAAGCTTCTTAAAGTGCGAGAATAAGCGCTCTATTACTAGTATTACCTACTAGACTACCCTATAGCTAGTACTAGTGCCTCGACCCTTAAGGCGCTAGGTAAATTACTATACTAGCTCGAGGATCTCGTAATATTAAGTTAGTAATGCCTAGTCATCTTAGGTAATGCAGTCGTTTAGTATTACTAGTTTCTTACGCATCTTCTTAGGGCATAGCTTAGTCCTAAAATTAGTCTTAATATTAATATAATCCTACTAATCCTTTATAGTTTTTTAATAGAAATCATCGATAGTAGGGCGTACTAAGATAAAGACTTAGAGCGCATAAAACACTAAGTTCTAGTAAGTGTCGTTAAACGTATAGAGCTTAGTAACCTTAGTAAGTAGTAAGTAAGCCTTCTAAGCCTTCTTAAATTCCTTATTTCGCTAAGGCGAGGCGTAGATGTAGACAATAGTGTTTCTAACCTTACTAATAGGTCCTCGACATTGCTAGCACTTAAGCTCTTACTCTATTACTTCTACGCTAGCTAGCTCTATAAGGAAGGCATCCTTATTAACACCCTAGAGTAATGCGCGCATAATAAGGTTAAAGATGTGTCTAGCGTAGCGTAGTCGTCTTTAAATAGCATTAAAGTAGAACTTATTAGTAAGAGCAAAGATATAGGTGTTATTATTTGATACGTTATTAGTAATAAAGAACCTAATCTTCTTATTAAGTAAGAAGTAACTAATAATCTTAGTAATAGTATTAGTAATATTAGTACTAGTATACTTACCTTTCTACTATAGAAGGGCTAGAAGGAAGGTCTTAAGGTTACTATATTTATCTATAAGTGAACATTAATACTATAGAGTGCCTTAAGATTACGAGATATCTAAAGGTCGAAGGAAAAGTAGATAGTAGAGGACGCTAAGTATAGTATTTTAGTTACTACTCTAAGGTAATTATTATAGACTTAAGAAATCTACTAGCGCATAGTCCTATACTATAAGAGACATCCCCTTAAGTCTACTACTAGATTAAGCATTATTAGATAGTTCTATATATATAGGGACTTAAGAAGATAGAAGGCGAGGTTCTTATAAATAATTAGCGTAGTAACTACTCCCTTCTACGTAGCTTCGTTAAAGACCGTCCTATATCGCTCTATATCTTAACTATATAAAGATAAGGTAGGTTAACTTAAGACCTAGTCTATAATACTTCGAGGGCGCTTCCTTAGGCTATCCTTGCTAATATCGTAAACTACTAAGAGGTAGTTAGTAGCGCTATCCATGCTATTAGTAATGTTATAGATATAGGTGCGATAAGCACGAGACTTATAGTAGTTAGTATAGACCTAGAAGAATTTTATAGGAAATGTAGCTTTTTTCTAAACACGCTAACCGTACTTCTAGATAGGGCTCTTACTCGTACCCTTACCGTTAGGTACGCCCTCGTACTATAAGAGGGAGGACTAGTCGACGTATTTATAGTACTTAGTATTAGTACCTTCTACTTTGCGCGCCTTAGGGGTAGTACTTCTAAAGTCGTCGGATCATTAGAGGTAGGTAGGTACGTTAATTACGGAGGTATTTAGTATAGAAGATAGTACGTTAGATACGGTGTTATTTATAATAATTAGGGGTAGTAATATAAAAAGTTAGGAGACGCGCCTAGCTCTATACTCGCAAGTATTTTTGTTAACGTTAGAGTTAACTAATTAGAGGCCTTATAGGCCGCTAGAAATCTCCGTAGGCTAATTAGAAGGCAGCTTAGCATAGGGCTAAGAATCTACTAGAGTACTAGATTAGGGGCTAACCTAATCTAATCTAGTCTAATGCCTATACTAATCTAATCTAGTCTAATCTAGTACTAGATTATCTAGTAGATTAGATTATTAATCCATCTATAGTTAACTCTAGTTAAGTATAATTAAGAGATAGTATTAAACTAGCATACTATAAGCTACACATCTTAAGATGGCCCTATAATTAGTAGCTTTATAACCTTGCCCTCCTTAACCTCGAGGAAAGCTTATTTAGCGTCCTTAAATAGGACTGTCTTCATAATTAATCTCTTAACATTAATAGCACTAGTCGCTACTATTCCTAGAGCAGTCTTATAGTCCTTTAGTCTGTACCTAAACGAACCTTAAATTATAAGCTCCTTTATATAAGCATCTACCATTAAAAAAGGAATATCGGCATAAGGCATTCCCCCCTAGACATAAGAGCCTCCTATACGTAAGACGTTTATGGCGGTCTAGATAGATAAAGCAGCACTACTAGCATCGATAGCAACATCTACGCCATTACTAAGGTCATTTTCTTGCATCAATTTCTGTGCGCTCTCTATAGCTATACCTCTAGAGTACTTAAACGTTATAGAAGCCGTAAAGCTTCGCGCGAAATCTAACCTGCTCTTCTAGATGTCTATAGTAATGACCTTCCTTACACTATAAGCCCGAGCTATAGTATAGCAAAGAAGACTAATCGGACTAGCTCTAAAGACTATAACACTATCTCTATGTTAGATCTTTGCCTATCTATAAATGTAGATAGCAATAGATAGAGGCTCGAGCATTGCGCCTTCCTAAAGGCTAACGTTGTTAGGAAGCTTGTAGTAGAAATCTTCTAGGAGGATGTAGAACTAAGCGAGAGTGCCATCGTAAGGGGGTATAGCAGCGAATGCCATTTTCTTGTAGAGATTGTATGTTCCGTTCTTGCAAGCCGAGCAGCGTCTACATGGTATGCCTGGCTCCATGGCTACTCGATCGCCTATCTTTAGATTAGTGACTTCTGTTCCGACTTTGACGACAGTGCCAGAAGATTCGTGAACTAGTACCATTGGCTCGCGGACGATAAAGGGCCCAATCTGGCCTCGAGTCCAGTAGTGAATTTCTGAGCCGCAGATTCCTGTGTAGTTGACTTCCAGCAGCACATCATGTTCATGTTGGATCAAAGGCTTGGGTCGATTCTCGTAGACGAGCTCGTCGACTCTTTTGAGGACAAAAGAAGGATTCTGTATTGATATTAGATCCATAATGCGTACACCGATAGACGAAGGAAGATTGCATACACGCACCTTTGTCCCGTCGGACTGTATGTGGGCCATGATACACTTAATAGTTGACGTGGACAGGAGGCAGAAAAGAAAGCTCACTCACTGGAGCAAAGACAAGTAGGCAAGACAAGAGTATCGAGCATTCATTGATATCTTCTCAAACAATGGCTTAAGCACCCGAAGGCGGCCTCGGCTTCCAAGTCTCCACACAATCTGTAAGAAAGACTATCGAGCCATTGTTTCTTATCATTTCGAGTCAAGGCAAGAGGCTATTCCTTACTCTAGGTCGGCAGTTGCATATGATTTTGATGGTCGTGATCAAGTGAACGTTGAGGTGGAATGGTGTAGTGCATACGGCGATACGGTGTTTTGACCGGACTGCCCCGACCAATCAGACGATGCGTGCTTGATGATTCAAGATCAGCCACGGGACCGTGCTTATTCAGGGCAAGCGCTTAAGCATCAGCTTGCAAGTACCAATCTTTGCCCGGACTACCGCGACCAATAAGCATTGACTACCAAGAGCGTTGCGGCGGAAAGCTTTCGGCGCGACTTCCTTTTCCGACATGCATCTGCGAAATCTGGTGCCCCGCAACCTCCCCCATGTACCACCCCACATAAACCCCAGAACCTAGAGATAGAAGCGACATATATAGCCACCTTGTACTCCCAGGCTTGCAGATATCAACCTCGAAGCAATTCGAGCTTTTCCAACGTCGTTCATCAACCTGTCACCTTGCTCTTCCTCTTCCACGCCGACATTCGCCATGGACAAGATCCACAAGTCGAACCTGGTCCATCGTTATGAGAAGCGCAGCTTGCTCATCGCGTGAGTCTTCTGAACCAGATCTCTGCGTGTTTCAAAGCTAACCTTTTGCGACAGAATTAATTGCGTCGCAGGTCTCTCCATCCTCTTCTTTGGTTATGATCAAGGCATGATGGGCGGTGTCAACACTGCCTACGACTCCTACACTCGCATGGGCTTCGGCCATCAAGGCCCCGACGGCGAGCCCGTTGTCACCAACTCTCTTCTCCAGGGTGGTATCGTCTCTGTCTACTATCTTGGAACCCTTGTCGGCTGCTTGGTCGGCGGGTCCCTCGGTGACAGGTACGGTCGCATCAAGAGCATTTTTCTCGGTGCCTTGATTGCCATCGTTGGCGCTTGCCTGCAGACTTCCGCCATGAACCACTCCTGGATGATCTGCGCACGACTGGTCAATGGTTGGGGTACCGGTATCCTCAATGCAATTGTGCCTGTCTGGGCGACGGAAATCGCTGAGCACAAATCTCGTGGTCAATTCGTCGCCATTGAATTCACTCTCAACAGTATGTAAACTTCTCACAACGTGCATTGACCATGTCTCTGACCGAAAACCTGCAGTCTTCGGTGTTGTCATTGCTTACTGGCTCGAATATGGATGTTCCTTCTACGGTGACGGCACCTCGTCCTTCATATGGCGTTTCCCGATCGCCTTCCAGATTCCCATGCTCATCGTTCTCGCGATCGTTGTTCTCATCTCTCCCGAATCACCGCGCTGGCTCGCCAAAATGGGTAGAGAAGACGAAGGTCGCTATATCCTTACCCGCCTGCGTGGCGATACCTACGAAGCAGAAGTCGAGTTCCAAGAATTGTCGCATCCTGCGAGCTTGAACGTGCCAACTTCCGCAAGCAGACTTACTTCCATATGCTCTTCGGCGCTGGATCTGGCAAGCTACACACTGGCAGACGTGTTCAACTGGTCATCTGGCTGCAGATTATGCAAGAATGGATCGGCATTGCTGGAGTAACCATCTACGCACCCACCATATTCGGTATTGCTGGTATGGGTCCTGAGAAACGTCAATGGATCTCTGGTCTCAACAACATCTTTTACATGTTTTCGACTCTGATTTGCGTTTTCACTCTCGACAAGATCGGACGTCGCTGGACTTGTTACTGGGGTTCAGTGGGTCAAGGTATCGCAATGGCTTTGGCTGGTGGCTTTTCTTACCTCGGTCAAGAGGCGACACGAAATGGAGATGCGTCCAAGGCTACCTCGTACGGAAATGCTGCCGTGGCCATGATCTATGTCTTTACCTTTGTGTTCGGGGCGACATGGCTGACCGTACCTTGGCTCTACCCAGCAGAGATCTTCCCCCTCGAAGTCCGCGCCAAAGGAAACGCGTGGGGTGTCGTCGGCTGGTCGATTGGCAACGGTTGGCTTACCCTTCTCTGTCCAGTCATGTTTGCTCAACTGGGGGAGAAGACACTGTACATCTTTGCTGCTTGCAACGCCATCACTATACCAATGGTGTGGGCGTTATTCCCCGAGACGAACGGTCGTACGCTTGAAGAGATCGATCTGTTGTTTGCCTCGGACAGCATCTGGAACTGGGAAGCTGAGAAGAATTTCGCCCGTCTCAAGGAAGAGAGCGGGTATGGTCAGGATCATACCGTACAGCGCAAGGGAAGTTTGGTCCGTGAGATGAGCGCGCATGTGGAGGAGAAGGCATGAAAATGTGCAGACTGAGGTTTCCTATTTTACAAATGTCTTCATGAACGTAGGACTTTCTTGCAACGGGTAGGACATCACACCATCTAAACCGCTTGTTCCACTATCTGAGAATGACGATTTAATCAACCCCCCTGTTCCCCTTTTCTCTAACAGTAATACCCACAACTCAATCACCCATCTGCGCAACAGTGTTGTCATAGCTCAGAAGTTTGCATGTGCAAGAATCCTTGAGCCAAAAAGAGAGTGCTATTGCAGTGTTACGGAAATGAGCTTGTGCACTGCGTCGAACAACCCGATGTACTTTGGGGGTGGTTGAGTATCTGCTGTGCTGAGATCTGGAGGTCACGAATATCTGCGAGATGGCGTTCAGGAGTAGTGTGAGGTGAATGACAGATACTGGAACCCTTTTCACTCGAGAGCTGCTGGGTACGATGAACAAGACTGCATCATGCATAAAACACGAGATCTGGGGAAAGACACGAGACCACGTTGGAACAGCGCTCTAGTCTTTATAATGCGTGGATTACCATTCATGAGAACTGAGATTAGAGTTAATTAGTCGGCAGAGCGTGTGGTCGCTTGTGACGAGACAGCTTCAGTCACCGACTTCTGCGTAGCGATATCTCTCGCGAACGTCATCATTTGATCGGGAGGCTTGCGGGCTTCTATGCTAGCGAAGAATCCCTTGTTCTCTAGTATACTGTCCAAAATGTGAGTCGGTATTTGCAGGTTGAGTTAATTGTTCAAGAGCCGGCGTGCCAGCAATACTACTGGCATGGGACCTTGGTTGTACCTCGATGTATCGTGGCACCTTAGGAGAAGTCGTTCCCGCTGACCAAGGATCCTGTACCGAGCGGTACGTGTGCGGTGCTGGGGCAATGTTTGTCGCCCCTCCGACACTGCGGTCACGCTCAGCTGCTGCACGTCTAACAATTGTCGAATCTTCATCATAAAGATTAGTCCAATCACGGACCAAGTTCTCAATGTCGTCACTCGCGGTGTTGTCTGAACTGTTGTCGTCATTCCTATCTTTGGATGGCGGAAAGTTCTTGGTTTCTTTTCGACCTTCCTCAGAGCGAGTACGTCCATGTGATACGTGCCCGGTTCGGTAGTTGTCTGCAATCTTGATTCCTGGCGCGGTTGCCCCATTGCGGTAACGGCGGCGAGATTCGAGTGCCGTTGCGCCTCCTTCCTGTTGCTTCGTAGGATCCAAATCCAGCTTCATTCCCAGGGCGTTGACCTCCACTTCGCGAATGCGTTCTGCTCTGGCTGCCGTGATTTCTACCTCACCTCGTTCAAGCTCGAACCGTTGGTTCAGGGCCGCAATGTCTCTATCGTGGCGATGGCGAGCGTCTGCGGCTGCTGCACCGCGGCGCTGCTGTTCGAGTTCCCAGCGCAGACGAGAGAGCTCGGTAGAACGATCAGGTAAGACAGAATGGTGGCGATGGTGGTGCATTACTGGGGTCGGTTCGTGAGGAAATTGTTCGCCTAGGCGTTGAGCTCGGAGGGCGTGATCGTCTTCTGTGAAAGGAGCGGCGATCATGGGTACTTGTTGATGCATGAAGATTGGCGGTTGCATCATCGGTACTTGCGGAGATTGCGGTGTAGAAAACATAGAGGTAGCCATAGGTAGTCTCGAATCCGTACGATGTGCAATGGTCGTTTCTTGGTTGATAGGGATATTGTTGTGAATATAAATATTGGCAGGGATTCTTGTTTCGTAACCTTGCAGGTATGAGCGGTGAAGGTTGGAGTACTGTGGCTCGTTGAAAGCGGTGTCGTACTGATGTCCATCTCGATAGTGGTAGGCATGAGGTGGCAAGTAGGGGTTATCCCAGTGACGACCTTCCCACGACTCCTGCTTCCAAGATTTTGGCACCCTGCCAACAGCTTCTCTGAAATCTGTTTCGCTAGCTATATCCTCTTGTCGGTATCTTTCAGGTTCTACGTTCAGGTTTGGGGTGGCTTGCTCTCCGCGTTGGTGATGGCGAGACAAGGTGAAGGCATTGTCGGACTTGTGAATCTCGCGTTCCCTCTCCGACTTCACCGCTGCGACTGAAGTCTCTGCGACTTGCGTCACTTTACTCACAGCGGTTTCTGCATCTACTCTCACGCCGGTAGGCCTCTCGCTGTGGTCTCCTCCGGCTCTTGGGCAGGGGTCTCTCACTTCAGGATCCTCTAATTGGTATTCCACTGCATCCATAAAGTGATCATGTACGTGAGTCGCGTCAATCTCGGGGTTGCGGTCATCTGCGGAAACCGGACTTTTGCTTGAAGATTCACTTATCCTCTGACCTTCATCGCCATCGTGTTCTCGCTTCAGTCTACGACTTCGAATCGACTTGACAATACGTTTGTTCAGGCAGAGCACCATTCGATGGCCATGCTTGTTGACGTCGTTCACGATCCCACGTTTTGCTTCGGTGAACGAATCACTTGTACCTAACGATTCCAGCTTTCGCAAATCGTGGAGCGCGTTTCTGATACTAACTTCCAGTGCTCTCAAGTGGTCCAGACAGACGTTATAGTCAGAACATAAAGCCTCTGTGAAGTCCATCCCCAAACCGTTCCCAGAGTCGTTCGCAGTATGCCAGTTATCTTCGCCGACCAGCTGAGAATTGCTTTGTGAAATTTCATCGGACACGGAGGATTCCCATGAAGATGCAGCTCGTATCGTCTCTGAGTGGCGGTCGTAAGCTGACCCTGGTCCCAGACTTCTGTCTTCGTCCTGTATTCGCTTGAGGGTTGCGACCTTGGCGGCAGCTTCGGCGTCTTCTCGTTTCAATCTTCGGATCAGCTGTTCACGTTGCTCTAAAGACGCTACATTTGCATATCTTTTAGTGTCAGCGTATCCATCGAAAATCGGACAAGTTCGGGTTTGTACCTCTGCTTCATGGCTGCAAAAGTGATGACAGTCATCAGAAGTTGCAATGTAGCCTTCGCATTTCCTAGCTCGGCCCGTAGCAGGTTCACTTTCGATTCTGTGAACGGCCACCTAAGTTTTTGGTACGATCTGATACCCGATTGACCAGGTGTTGGAAGTTTCTGCTTGATCTGCTCGAACACAAGGCTGAATTGTGAAACACATCTTTTGGCGGTCTGCTGGGCGCTGTCACTGATCAGAGCTTTGTTCCTGGGCTCTCCAATGGTGATTTCTAGTTGAGTAACCACCTGAATTGCAAGGTCAACATCTGTCGCAATAGCCTGCACGCGAGGTTTGGCGTTGCTTGCCGAATCAATGTAGAGATTGAGTCCTTGGCTGATTTGTATACCTAGACTGATGAGTCCGACGATCGAGGCCGCAAGACTGAGTTCTGCCATGGATTGATTATCATGCTAAAGCTCTTGGAGGTGAGTAGAAGGAGTGACGGGAGACTGCGGCAAGCAGAGACTGATAATGGTGCCTATCTCGCTGCGGGGTCAAGCTGCAAAGACCGCATAAGCCGCTGACGCCCAAAGATATCGTGGATCCAATCGCCGTTGCGTGGCCCCATTGAGTGATGGACAGGAGGCTCGCCCTTATCACTTCGCGGGGCACTGAGGTTGACGAAAATCAAAGAGCAGTCAACTGAGGTTCCCGTCCCTCTTCCACAATGTTGGTCTGGTGTCGCAGTGCTCATGTACATCTAACCTGCCACGGAGTCCTGTTGCAGCACCATGCAGGTCACTGTTCTTCCACGAATCAGGCTATCATATGCATGTGACGGAGAGATTCGCGCCGCAGCGGCAGCATCGAAGAGCTCTTCGAATTGAGGTTGCATCGATAGAAGGTCACTGCGAGATGCAATCGAAAGGAGAACCGACAGTACCTTTTTCACTAAGCTCTCGCAGTACGGCGAGAGAACCTGATGACTGTTATAGTAATCTTACATAAGCCGACCGCGCATCTAAAGAAGGACACGAATAACGGTATGTAAGGAGTGAGGAGCAGATTGAAATGTGATATCTGCTTGTTCCGGCCTGAGAGTCGACAGGGCAGAGTGACTTCGTCGTTTAGAGATTGTCGGAACAGGGTGAGGGCCGCGGGCGGAAAACTCCGGCCCGGCAAGCCAAACGGCCGACCACGGCGGAAGTGGCGTTCGAGACGCGTTCCTTCTCCTTCCAAACAATCTCCCACGTGTAGGAGTTGCATTGCTGAGATCTGCTGCGCAATTCGCACGATAAGCTGTAGCCAAAAGCTTACAGAACAGAACTTTCATTGGCTCGAGCCATGAAAAGAGGCACATACGTATCTCGAGCTTGGTAAGACATGCTATCTGCCAGGGCTGAACCTTTGCTCACAATCACAGTACTTTTTGCCAGGTCAAAAAGCTGAAAGTAAGCTGCTGTGTCTTTTGTTCGAGAGCCAAGTTGATTTTGAAACAGTGTGATGGCGGCAAGCCTTGTAGCGCTTGCGCTTTGCGAGACCAAGAATGTGTCACGAAGTCCAAGAAGTCACGAAGGCCACTGCCAGATTCTCTTCCTCAGCGATCAATAGACTCAGAAAACACAAGTCCCACCGCTACGGACGATCTACAGCATACACCCGCGCTGACTGAGGAGATTTCTCAGCTCGAAGAGCGACTTGCGCGTCTCAAGCGGCTAAGTGCGTCCCGCGATCAAACCCTCTCTCAGTCTCAAACACCTCTGCTCGAAGATCGTCATGTACATTTAGGAGCTGAGCGTTCGATTGACTCAGGCGAAGGGCTTGCTGCGACTTACCCAGAACACAAAAATGCTAATGTGCCAGCTATGATTCAAAGCACATTGAGTAAGGTGATGAAGACGTCCGAAGTTTGCTCAAGCGTTGATGAGTGGCCTACCTTGCTGGAAACCTTCTGCGAAGCTGTTCACCCACTCTATCCTTTCATCGAAATTTCTGCATTAAGAGTGTCTCTTACAGGATTGCAGCAGCACGTCCATACTCAGGTCCCACGGGTTGAAGCAACACTCTCAGAAAACATGCTTGAATCATATGCGCAAGTGTTGGTATGTCTAGCGCTCGGCCGTTGCACCATGTACGGCCGATCGAGTGTGGACTCTGGCCGCTACTCAGCAGGCTGGAGGTTCTATTGCGCTGCCATAGATATGCTGGGCAATATCTTTGATCCTTGTGTTAGAAGCCGTTGTGGACTATCCAGAGTGCAAACTTTTACTCTTATGGTAATGCACTGTGTAAACAGTTTGGTGGCCATCTTCCTGTGTCCAGACTAACGTATCTCTTAGGGATTGTATCTTGTTCGTATCGACGCTATTGATCGAGCTTTCAGCGTCATCTCCCTGGCTGTCACAGACGCATATCGACTAAAACTACACTGTGAGAGCGCACTAAAACTATTGCCAAAGGCTCTTTCGGAAAATTGTCGACGCACTTGGTGGAGTCTTTACATTCTGGAACACCGAATGGCATCATACGCAAACAGACCAAGTCTGATTCAAGATGACATGGTCAACACAGATCTGCCTGATCATCTTTCGAACATTTGGTCGAATTACCCAAGCCACCGCCACAATGCCGTGACCGCATCGGGAGAAGAGACAGAGGGGAGAGACACTGCCGACGACCAAGTCACGATACTGTATCTGAATGCCATGATAGAGCATTCCAAAATCTACAGCAAGGTTTGGCGTGAGCTTCATTTCGAAGACTTGTCAGATCAACCCATCAATCAAGCCACACTCGAGTCTCTGGAATCTATGCTGTTTATGTGGAAACACAATTTACCCAACGGGCTGAAGTTCAACGCTTCATTCGCTGAAGAAGAACTACATAGACCTATGCGAGCTCGCCGAAGTCGACTTCGCATTCTCCTACACATGGTGAGTTCTCTTCTGGCTGAGATTGGCGGAGATGCTTCTCAAAGCACAGCACTCACACGAGCAGCGAGATCTCTGGTTGCGGATCACCATTCGAAAACCACTTCGACAGCGCAAATATTGGCTTGACAACTTCGATAACGAAGCAACATGTGTCAAGCTCGCAGGTCAACTTGTCGATGCATCGCCTTTGATGTCGCCAACCGACAACATCTTTACGTTTCCCTTTGTTCACTACCTTCTCGGCGCCGCATCTATCGTCATCGGTTTGGCTAGCAAACTACCAGTTTTCAAGAACGAATGCGGAGCGATCGCAGTCCAAGCAGCACGATTGGTCAACACGTTTTGTGAAAGGACATGGGTCTCGGGACAGATGGCCAGATCCATCGCGAAGCTCAACGAGATGGTGGTTCAGGCTGTAGGAACAGATGTGACTGGACTTCCGGAGCCTGGGAGCCGTGATCATGCTACAAGCGACAGCCTTGACCAGCCAAGCTCCTCAAATCAGCCCACGTGCCACGCGCAATCAAGCACACAACGTCTGGCGAATCCAGCGCCCACGAGAGAGTCGGACATTCTTGACAAAGCTCCAATGAATTCTTCGGAAACAGCTCTCGATGACATCAATGCGCCGATGGATGATGCTCAGCTCATGCAATGGATGGAAACCGTTCAACCGCTCATCACGTCCAATCACCCATTCGAAAGCTGGGCTTTCAATATGCCGGGGGGGTCCGAGTCTGTCATCAACGGCATGGAAGACACTGAATTTCTGAGTGGAGGCTGGTTTGACGTGTCCAGGCTTGGATGAAGCTCTTGCTTAACTCCCGGGCTTTACACACTTTCGTCCAGGCGGTCTCGTCCGAAGGACTGTAGCTTTGTCTCAGCAGTGCTGCGAAATTGTGCCAGACTGGGAGCAAGTGTAGCAGTGGGCTTCCAGTCCGATGTCGAATCCTCGCTCAAAATCTGTCGACAAATTTTCTCAAGGAGTTTCGTCGACATGGTCAAAACAGAAAGAGAGGCAGGATGATGCACTGATAAACAATCATAAAGATGTCACCGCCAAGGCCGTCTTACTCAACTTCCGGACGAATTCCGAAATTCCGGATCTTTGAGATGCAGGCACCCATAGTTGACCATGCACACCGGAACGCGGATATTAACGTTCCCGTACAACGAGTTCACATATCGATGACGACAAGATCAGTTCCACGAGTTGACAGCATCTCATATATGAACGCAGGTATCTCAGCTACTTCAGCACATCATATCAACACCCAAGTCGATTCCTCTCACGTGAACCAGTCACATTTTCTACCATGCCTCAAATCACCACTGCCCGTCTGGCCACTCAGGGACAACCTCTTGAACTCGTCACTGTGGACAAACCAGTTCCTGGCCCTAAAGAAGTTCTTGTCAAGGTTGAAGCTTCATCTCTTGTTCCAAATGCCTCGAACATCGTGTCTGGCTCTGTAGAGGAAGGAGTCGTATGCAAAGTTAGAACCGGCTGCCAAGCTGAATACGGATACCTTTTATCCAACGAACTCAATGGAAAACTGCACGTCTTGGACACCATTTAGACTGATACACGAACTGCACATGAACAAACAGCAATTACATGTTTGATGAAAGTCTAGCACTAAGCACGTGGGCTCAAGATTGGTCAGCAAAGTTCGCTGGCCACAAACCCCATTGCGACCGGAAGTTATAAGACCGTTCTTTGTCCTTCAATACTCTGAGAAGAACTGGCGTATTACAAGCTTTCATCATGAGGTTCTCCAACGCTGCTGTAGTCTCAACCATCCTATTCCTCTCGGTATGTGCAGCCGAGCTCGAGTGCGCTAGTCGTACTCCTACAGCCTCACAAGCGACACTTCCGTTACATCTTGGCCCCACCTATCCGACAAGTTCCTCTCTTGCTACCTCCGCCGAACCTCATACCGTACACACTCAATGCGAGGTGGTGCCTCTTGGATGGGGTCGCGACGATGCACCACAGATCCTAAAGGCTGTCGAGCTTTGTGGCAACGGAGGCACGATCACCTTGCCTGCGCCTTACACGTACACAATCTCAAGTCGTCTCTACATGCGACTTACTCGTGCAACATTGAACGTCCATGGTCTTCTCTCATTCACGCCCGATCTTGGTTACTGGATCGAAAACTCCCACCGCGTCGAGTTCCAGAACATGAGCACAGCTTGGATCATCGAAGGTAATGACTTTATTGTTGATGGTGGAGGCTGGCAACAAGGTGGCATCAATGGAAATGGACAGGCTTGGTATGGTCGAGCCGCAGGTCAAAGTAACCAGTATGGACGTCCGATCAGTCTTTCAATCTACAACAGTGCGAACGTCAGCATCAACAACTTTGCCTTCTATCAACCACAGTTCTGGTCTGTCTGGGCTCAAGACTCGCGAAATATTACCATGACCAACATCTACATCAATGGAATCAACACCGATCCTGCTGGCAACAGTTCAAATTATGCCATCAACGTCGATGGTATCGATACAATGCGCGTCGATCAGATGAGACTTGAGAACTGGACATTCCACGGAGGAGACGACTGCTTTGCTCCGAAAGGCAATTCGACAAACATGGTTCTACGCAACTTCACCTGCATAGGAGGTGGTATCGCTTTCGGGAGTGTTGGCCAGTATCCCGGTCACCCTGATTTTATCACCAACATCAGCGTGAGCGACATTCGTGTCAGTCAAAAAATCGATACAAAGTATGGCGGCGCGGCTGTCGCCGCAGGGGCTTACTTCAAGTCATGGGTCGGGGTGGAGATGGGAAACCCACCTCAAGGAGGAGGCGGGGGTACCGGCCGAGTGTCGAATGTGACTTTCGACAACCTCATTGTCGAAAATACCACACAGGCTGTCTACATCAACAAGTGTTACTTCAAAGTGCCTGCTCAAGGTGCATACTGCGACACCTCAACATTCGAGTTCCAGAACTTCAACTTCAACAACATCAGCGGCACAGTTCGCACACCAATTGGTGTCAACCTCAACTGCTCACAAGCAGCACCTTGCCGTGAACTGAAGTTCAGCGAGCTCAACTTGCGGCAATCCAAAACCGACAAAACTGCCATTGCTGTTTTTGAGAATGCTCAAAACGTCTTTGGATTGAGTGAGGGCACCCTAATGTTTTCACATTGATGGAAGCAAAGCTTACTGAACTATTGAATCTTCCATAGATGTAAGAAACCATAGCTTCAACGGGCAAATAGTAGATAACCACCTACGCTATATTTCTGCCTCAGACCACGTATCGACACTTGCATTCGTTACTGTGTACGCGATCGTGAATCTTAGCTTCTTGGTGGATGAAGACATCTTTGCAAGATTCGCTGTGTTGGGTCTAAGGTTTTCGTATTAGATCAACGTCAGACTCTGATGAATGGGGACGCAATGTATCGAATTTTGGCCCTCTGGTTCTGGAGATAGACTTGTGAGAACTAAGACCTTGATGTACACATGGCTACACGGTATTACCAAGAGTTCAACCGAAATTGGCCTCTTGGGGCGTGGATCGGTAGAGTTTGCTGTGCTTCAGGTGCCTTCAATGGTGAAAGCATGATCTCCAAACGTGTCTCGTATATCAGAAATACCCTCGTGATGATTCTCATGGGTTGAGACATCGGTATACCAAGCGTTATACATGCGACCGCGGTACATGGAAGGTACATCACGTTGTATCCTGACTGGACAGGAACGATCATCCACTGCGCATATCAGCCTGGTATACGAGGTTTGTCTTGCTTCAAAAACCCACAACACGAGATTCATCAGTGTTCATCGAAAGATGCTTGTGGTCAGATTTAGCGACAGTCGTGGTCAAGGCATATATAAGTCCTCGCATCTTTGCTCTATCCACCTCACCATCTCCTTCAACGATCTCACAAGAACGCCATACTTTCTACAAACAATGCATTGCTCCCCGCTCGCCACCCTCCTCACTTTGGTCATACTCGCTGAGCCACTGTTTGCGTACCAGACCATCGCCCATCGCGGTCTTTTTCACGATGTCAACGACCACAACGCCTTGGCTGAGAACAGCGTTAATGCAATGTATCGCGCTGAAGCTTTGGGTCTACCTGGTGTCGAATTCGATCTCCGATTGAGCTCTGACAATCAAGTCCTTGTCTTCCACGATATGATATCCAACCGTGCCACTTCCAACGACAACTATGGTGGCCGTCTTGATGCTGTTGACGTGTCCCTGAATCTTCAGCCGCCAGTGGCTCCCATCCTGGTCAAATCTAGACCAGCGAACTCCTGGATTGGCACCGGATTGAAGGCTTTCGGTCGCAATGGACGGCTCGTTCCTGCCGATGGCGCACAAAAGCTGGAAACACTGGACTCGATGCTCTCCCACTTCAAGAACCTCAACAATCCTAACTTCTGGTTGATTCTCGACATCCAAGACCCGGTCATCTTCAGCAGAGCGGCAGCCGCGGTGAACGCCCATGGTTTGAGTAGAACTGTATTCCTCAAATTCTTCGCAACGAAAGCCATCAACTCCAAGGGTATCAAATACAATGGAGCCAACACTTGCTATCAATATGCGCGCAAGAATCATCTCAGCGATCTACAAATCATTCCCCAAATCAACGATGGAGAGCTCCATTTCGAAGGAGAAATTGCGTACCTCAACGTCTTCAACACAAAGTTATCAGTTAGAGAATATCTCCAGTGTTGGGCAGACGCTCAGAAAGCTCATTCTGGAAACGGAGCAGCTCTTATGCCCATCGTGAGTGCGAGCGTTCCAGCCAATAACGAAGTCGCATTCAATACCGCTCGAGACACCTTGGCTTGGGCCAAGAGTGCAGGCAGAAAGACCATGTCCATTTTGCCCATTCCAGATGCCGGTCGTATTATCAACACGCAGTGCACTTTGTGGACCTATCAATCGGGCAGTGTCAAGGCAGCAAGATTTGACGAATCTGCGCGCAAGGCGAAACTTGCCTTTGTGGAAATCGCGAAGCCTGATTATGTTGTTCTTGACTTGATGGGTGATTTGGGCAATCGCAGATGAATTGGCGACTTCTCTAGCTACATCATCTATCTTTGCTGATTGAGTGGTTGGACGAGAGAACTGTCACTGACTCTGTACAATGTGAACTTTGGTAGGAGGAGAGGTTTGAGGGCTCAGGAGTGTTGACTCAGGTCATCTCAGCAGATATTAGAGAAATTGTCGAATACAATGGTACAGGATCCCGGCGAACTAAGCTTCCACAATCCGATTGAACGTCCTTGCTCCTCCACAACACTACTGTACAGATGAGTTGAGTGCTACGACTGACCTCGACTCTTCCCTCAATACCTGGAGTGGCCACTCATTGGAACGGGACCTTGAACGATTCCGCGTCAAATGTCTTTGGCCACACACCATTCTTGCCAGGAGCTAGGATACCCTTTGGATCCAGAGCGTTCTTGATTTTCTCGTTCAGCTTCATTTGTGCATTGTCGTTGAAGTTGTAAGTCGCTGCAATCTGATCCATGTAGGCCAAGTGCGTGCGATATTCACCCCATCCGTTTTTTGCACCATCGTCAATCAGTGTTGCAATGAGCTTGTGCGCTCTCCTTCGACTGTCAGGGTCTTTGCGATCGAATACAAGACACACGATATGGTGCATCTCGCGCATGCCGACGACGAAAGTGCCGATGAAGTCGAAACCAAACTCTTCGCACCGTGTCCGCGTCATCTTGTATTGAGCAACGCCATCGTCTCCACTAACTTTGCTGATTGGGCTGAAGAAGAGATGAGCTCCGTTGTCAAGCCAGTCGACCCATTTCAGCTCTGTAGTGCTCGGGATACCCTGCAGTGTCAGGTGTCGTGTTTGCAGTACTAGATTGTCAGGCATGTCTTCTGGGAAGTAAAACTTCGCGCCCGGAATGCTGGAAAAGGATTGTTTGACAACGCCCCACATGGCATCGCGGATGGGTGCAGGGCCATAAAGCGCACCGTGTAAGTTCCATCTTCCAAGTCCGATCTTCTTCGCAATCTCATCGATTTCGACGTCAGTCAAGGGCTTGGTAGAGTCGGTGTACGACTTTTTGTTGCCCTGTGCTTGAGTTAGACATTTCGGACTTGGGACCAAGAGAAGCAAACTTACATGGACAGCTGCATCGAGCAAGACATGACGAAGCGTCGGCACATTCTGCAAGACCATGCCTACCCTCAGCGGTCTAATGACCTCAAGAATCTGATGCAAGTCCTCGTCCTTCGGGAAAGTGATAAGGTATGACTGATAGCCGCCCGGATTTGCCATGAGCCAGATACCCATCTTGACAACGATACCGAGCGAAGACTGAGAGAAGATGCCGTCGTTGTACGGTCCGAAGCCATAGTTGAAGAGTTGCCATGTTTCGCAAGCATCCTGCTCATGTGGTGGTCTGCTCGGATCTGCTTTCGGGTTGGGAAGAGCACCCATGCCAGTCCTGATCAATGATCCATCAGGGAGAACGACTTCCATGCCACAGTGCATCATCCAGTGGTCTCCATAAGGTGTGTATCCGACACCACGCTCAATGGTGTTGCCAATGACTGAACCGCCACCCAGATCAGGCACATCGACCCACAACTTGTCACGGAGATTATTTTTGACAAGATGCTCGTGTAGATCCAAGAAAGTGATACCGGGCTCGAGCAGAGCAAATGCGCCATCGACATTGATGTCTAGCACTTTGTTCATGTGCTTGCCGAGATCCAGACCAATACTCCCGGGGACACGAGGAGCTGCACCTCCATAGCCGACATTTCGACCGATCGAGAACGGCCACACAGGAACGCTGAATTCATTGCAAAGACGCATCATGTCTTGTACGTCAGGCACACCACGAGGAGTGATCACGGCAGAACTGATGAAGTAGTCGTCCTCAAGCACATGATACATGTCATGACATTTGCTAGGATCCAGATAACTTTCGTGGTTGAGCTCATCGCTGTTGGAGATTATGACCACATTCTCATCGCCGCAGATCGCGGCGGCTCGCTGGGTGAAAGTTTGGAAGACTTCAGCACTGATGCCAGGAGGAAGTCGGATGGGATTCGCTCTTGCCTGAGGAGAGCTTCCGACTGCTTGGCGAAAGGCAAGAGGTGAAGTCGGTCCGCCGCCGACAATGTCTTCTGGCTGTTTCATTGTGACAGGTGAGTGCCAATTGCTGGAAGAGGTTCCAAGAGTCGCGACGAGTGACAATGGTTGACCATAAGAAGATTCAAAATCGTTTTGGGATTGAAGTACCTTGATATAGGCAAGAACGCAGAGGGCAATCGCAGCCCTCGGGTTTCGGAAGCTGCACTTGGTGGGGTTTGTCAAGTGCCGCGTCCACCCCGCGCGGGGTAATCAACCTTCCCTACCACCGCGCATGACTATCCAGATCCCCTCACGGATATAGCACTTTCCGAGACCAGTGTCCATCCTCCTCGTCAGGTTCATATCTCAATCTCTGATGCATGCGATCAGTTGCACCCTGCCAAAACTCCACCGTCATTGGAGCTACAGCGAACACTTTCCAAGTAGGAGAGACATACTGTGGCTCTGCTTCGATCCTCATCTGTGCCTCTGCCAAGTTGCGCTTGAGCATAGCTGCATCTTCCAAGACCTCGCTCTGCTTTGAAGCAAGAGCTGTGGCCTTCGACCCTGCAGGTCTCTCCAGAAAATCGGCGGCACATTCGGACCCCTCAAGTTCTGTCGCTGTACCTCTGATACGGATCTGACGACCAAGCTGAGGCCAGTAGAAAGTCAATGCGACAGCAGGGTTGTTGGTGATCTGATTGCCTTTTGGACTGTTCGCTTTGATGGCGAAATGCCAGCCACGATGGTCGACGTTCTTGAGGATGAGGACGCGAGCGTCAGGACAGCCATGTTCGTCCACTGTTGAGAGAATCATGGCATGTGGTTCTTTGATGTTGTTGTCAATTGCATCTTGGAGCCAGATGCGAAAAGCTTCATGCGGTGTAGAAGAGAAGGAGGCCAAGTCAAGCGGTCGGAAGGGCCCTTTCAGCGACGGCAGACCTCGAAGGAGTGTCTTGATTTCGACTACTGGATCTGGCATCTTGATGAAGGCTTGAGGTCACATTGTGATGTTTGATGCTTGCAGAAAACCAGGTAAGGATATATCCCACCCTTCTGTTTGAGAATACGAGATGAGTCATCAGAGGTCCGACTTTTGGGCAATGACTCATCTGTCGCAGCAGATACTTGTAGGGTCTCAAACAGCTTCACATGACGAAGGTGTATAGAAAACATGCGGGTGAGGTGAGATTTGACTCTTTCTTACTCCACTCTACTGTAAGGAACCATTACACTTCATCTCCACCCATCTCGCGAACTTCACCGACGGCTCATCCACAGCCCTTGTGAAGATATCCGCAAACCACACCGTAAAGAACAAGGTCGCAAACGACCCAACACCAAAACTGAACGCCACAACTCCAGCACTGTCCCTTCCTAACAGACCATCAAGAATGTTCATCAAAGGGTATCCAATGACGTGGGTGACTGCGCCGTGAACAATGTACAGCGAGAAAGAGATGTAGCCCAAGTATTGCGCGACTCTGTTGTCGAAACAGCGTTGCAAGAGCTTAGAACATGAAGTCGACCAGACCAACATGATAGCGCCCCAGCCAGGCCAGTAGCGCTTCGGATTGCCAATGTGATCTGGGATCATACTGACAAGTGTGGTCCATCCAGGCGTCTTGCTTGCACTCTTCATAGGCTGACAGCCAAGATAGATTCCAAGGAGGAAAACAAGAAAGTAGAACACAGTCTTGAGCTTGCTGTTTCGTGGTTTCGTGGCAGCGGTCGTGGTGGGAAGAGCCGAAGCTGCTGAGGCCGAGCGGTGGAAGTCAAGTTCGGCGCAGAGGAAGCCACCGTAGAAGAGAATCATCTCCCAGCGACCCATCTGGTGAACCCAGACGATGAGAAACACGAGAATCGCCATGCGGAACTTGGTTTGGAGATGCGACAGACCGGCTTGAGTAAGATATAGTATCAGAGAAGAACGAAACCTATGTGTAAGAACGTCAGCCCCGAATTCAGGCACGATGATGAGAAGTTTTGTGGCAGGCCACTTACTCGACAGGGATAGTCCAGAGATGGCCATCGATTGTTACCTCAGTGCCTTTCGCAGTGAAAGTCCAAGGATCGATGAGTTTGCTGAATGTCTCCCGGAGCCAGAATGACATTTGTCCAGAAAAGGTATCGAAGGTTGGAATATCGATCGCATGCTTCGGATTGTAGTGACCTCTCGCCTTTGCGAAGTCCGATGCCCAATCATACAGTCCCGACCATATCATCAGTGAGATGAAGAAAGTGGAAACGATGCAAGGCAAGAAAAGGCGGATAGCACGACGAAAGATCGATGATGCCAGTGATTGTGACAGGCTCTGCCAATTCTTCGTTCTCATGAGTTTGACGGGTTTGTAAGAAAGCGCATATCCTGACACGACAAAGAAGATGGATACCATGGTGACTCCCGCGTAGATGATGCGGACAAATGGCAGCTTGAAGAACTCGCGATGCTCGCCGTGGTCGCCAGAGGCAAAGCCATGTTTCGCATCGTAACAGCAGACAACAAGATGGAAGACAATCACAAGGAACGCAGCGACGCCTCTCATGCCATCGAGAAAACCTGTTGGATGTAATGCTTTCTGGGGTTTGGTCGATGGGCGTATCCTGTTCTGGACGAAAGAGGGCAGCATGAAGAACGCAGTCTTTCTGCAGTAATTTGAATAGTTTGATGGGCGCAAGAGTGCTGGACTCGACATGCTCGGCAGTCGTGGCAGGCCGATGCCAAAGATCGAAGGCTTTCGCTCGTAGACATGTTGCTCGGTCTCTTTCTCGTAGCTGGCAAGAAGATGCGCGTCTTCTGGACTGTCATCGGACATTGAAGAGTGGGGGGAGTGCATTTTGCAGAATCGATTCACAGCGACGGAGGTGTAAACACAAAGGGACCAAAGGCCTTGAAGTTGATAAAGAGAGATGCAATGACGAAGGATGCGTCTGTCATATCTTGGTACCATATCTTGACGCAGAAAGAGCCAATAGATAGGAACGCCTTCAATGGAGGGAAGGAAATGCTCGGTACAGCAAACATCACCCCGTCATGCTCGTGAGTTCCTTCCTCAAATCAGGCCTTGGCAAGGGAATGGTAGTATAGGGAATGCGATCGACACTATATCCTACTATAGGGTGTCAACATTGCAATGTGAGACATGCTCACACGATCAGGGAAGCGAACTCTATTGTCTTATATGAATGTTTCAAGCCATCTGAAGGAGAGGCGCTTAAACGACCGCCTGCCCCGCGTAGAGATATCGATAGACAACGGTCTCTGGGCTTTGGCGCAACTTGTGCCGTGCCCGTTGACGAACGATGTTTGATCGCTCCTTCGACGTTTTCAATACAGAGATGGTAACGTCTATTTTTCGCGATTCTCGCCGCGATCCGAGTGATGGATATTTCGTTCACGCGACCAAGTCGTCTTGGCAGAGGTACCTCCGTTCATGTCCACAAAACGCTGATTGATAGCTTCTCGTTCGCTACCGAGTCGACTGCAGACTAGGCAATACAATTCTGCTGCGGATCTAAATTTGGTGAATTTGGTCCGATCGTCATGTATGTCCGGTGCTTTGGTATGCTGACCTCTTGCCACGCCCTATCGCTATTGGGACAGGAAGAGCTACGGAGCCAATTCCTGATTGATGGAAATTCCTCGATCCTTTCATCAGGGATCTGAATCATCGCCAAGGTAACGTTTCTTTGTGAAGTATCGCATGCTGCAGGAAGTATGCTGCCACTTTCAAGTGCAGTTGCTGTTGGATTAACCCTGACCATCATCTCTTGCTTCGACAAACCACATTGCAATGCGACATATGTCCTGTATGTGTTCTCAAGAGATCAGTGGCAGGTCTGTTTATTGGTTGCGATGATTTGAGAGTGTGTCTTATAGTCTTGCGTATCAGGAAGTAATTGCAAGTGATAGCAAGAGCTTGCAATTAAATTTGCGATTTGAGAACACAATCGCGACCAATGCACCTACATCTGTATATCCTTAACGCAATTATTACGATACAAATTGTCTTCCCCTTCTGCATCTTAGCCAAGAAAACATCGTGAGAGTGCGATATCTTGTTACCTTCGAAAAGTGTCGAGGGCTAGGCTGAAGCGAAGCTGCATCCGTCTGTTATTACTCGACTCACGTGGCTAAGACGCCATCCACAAAGTTCACACATTATATAAGAACAAGCATGAACGAAGTGATTTGGAGAAGTCGTTTAGATTAGATGACTATGATAAGACTACAGTATTACATAAAGGACAGGTAGATTACAAAAAGATGTAGAAAACAGCAGCGACGAAGAGAAGGCGTGCAAACAGTTTGATGGCCAGCCAAACACCATGAAAATGATGGTCACGATAACGATTTAGTTTGAGATCAGCACTTTAAAGCTCAATGACAACCTTGCGAGGAGCGTGCTTGGCAGCGAGCTCAGCATTGGAACGGCGGAGAACACCACCGCGACGAACGACGGCACCGGCCTTGTTGCGGTGAGCCTCGCGAAGGGTCAGGCCAGCGGGTCTGGGAGCGGCGGCACGTGCGACAATCTCCTCCTCAGCAGGAACATCAGGGTCGGAAGAGGGGTCGGCGGTCTGGCTGGTGGTGGCAGTGCCTGAAGTGGAAGTGCCCGAGGTCGAAGTACCAGAAGTAGAGGTTCCAGAGGTGGAAGTTCCTCCGTTCGAGGTAGTCGAGGTTCCAGAGGTGGATGTACCGGAAGTGGAAGTACCAGAGGTAGATGTGGCAGAAGTGGATGTGGTCAAAGAAGCAGAGCTGGAAGAGACCGAAGAAGAGCTGCCAGTGGAGCTAGCAGATGAGCTCAAGCTGGAAGTGCCAGTAGGAGTAACACGGCTGATGACAGTGGCGAAGATGATGGTGACATCGCGACGTCTGGTGGACTGGAAGATGGCGCTGAAGTAAAGACAGACAGAAGAGTCGGTGCTGAGCGATGTGCCAGCACAAGCCTCGTTGTCGGCACAAGTCTCAAGACAGACTTGGAGAGAAACACCAACGTTCTGGCGCTTGTTCTTACGGGCAGGAAGAGCAAGGGGAGTGCCATCGTAGTTGATCTGTTCCTCGATCAGGAAAGTAACGCCATCAACGGTAGTACCGAAAGTGCCTGCAGCAGGAACTCCAGCGCCAGCCGTGGCTGTCTCGGTGGCAGTTGTGGTGACGGTCACGCCAGAAACGACGGTAGCTGTGCTGGTGACAGTTGCGCCTGCGATGACGGTCACGACGGGAACGAATTGAGTGACTGTGTTGGTGACGGTGGGTCCGACAACAGTGATCTGAGTAGCCTGAGTGCAAGGGCACTGATCGATAACAGTAGCGGAAGGAAGGACGGTCTGAGTGCCAGAAATGGTCAAAGTCTCGCCTCCATTTCCGATGAAAGCGGTGGGGTAGACGTAGTAGGTGTTGATGACAGTGGAAGCAGCGCCTCCAACAGCACCGCCGGCGTTTCCGCCAGCTGCACCGCCAGCAGCAGCTCCACCTGCGTTTGCACCGGGAGCGAATGCGGCAGGAAGAGTGACAACAGGGCCAGGAGCGACCACGGTCTTCTGCATAGAGCAAGGGCAGTTCGAAAGAATTGTGGAGCCAGCACCGCCTGCAATAACAGTAGGGACGCCGCCGATAGTGACAGTCTCGCCGGCGTAGCAGGTCACAGATGACGGGTAGACCATTTGGGTGACCTTGGTCACACCTGCAAGAGTGGTGACATAGCTGGCTGGGTTGGTTGGAGCAGGTGCAGCAACTGTGTTGCCAGCAGTGTCAAGATAGACAGTCTTGGGAGCAGGGCAAGTCTGAGTGACAAGCTTGGTGACGGTCGTAGGAGGGCTCGTGTAGCAAGTCTTTGTGCGAGGAGCTGCAGCAGCCACAGCGGTCAAGCTGAGGATGCTGGTGAGATGAATCCAAGGGTTCATGATGATGGAAGAACGAAGGAAGTGGGTAGTGAGGGTAGTGAAGCGATAGACTTGGAATGTGATGGTGAGTGGATGTGTTGTTAGGAGCAAACCGAAGCCTTGATATATGTCTTGCGCTCTGCAGCTTTGCGATGACGATGTGCCTTGACCGCTGTGTAGCAATGAACTTCGCCCACCTACCTGCCAGTATGGATATCGACGATGACGATCGGATCAAGGACGGTTGGTATGTCTAAGGATTGGTGGTTCGGCTTCATTGAATTCTAAAGATATGCCATTACTAGCAGCAAATCGCCAGTGTTCAGCACACATTTGAAAAATCATGCCCATTGCGGTGTCAAGTCTGGTGGAATATCGAACGGGCGATATGCATCCAATGGTATGGATCTGGTCAATGGTCATGTCTCGGGCTCGATGCTAGTGTGCGGCCCATGATAGAGGCATCATGCTGGTCCCGCACATGTTGGTCTTCAATGAATTTCATGATCAATATGTCGGCTCGACTTTCAAACGAGATGCTCAACTTGGCAAGAACAACGTTTGCGAAGTGGATGACATGGTGGCAATGGAACGGGCTGTCTTGGAACATTCACCATAGCTACACTTGCCAACAGACAGTAAGTGGCTTGCCCTCTTCCTTGAGCGATTTTGATGGCTGGCACTTCTTCAAGGACTTGGAAGACAATCGGGTGATAGTGGCACGTTACTTTTGCTGTCTCTGATGGCAATGAGGTTCATTGTCGATTGCGCACACAATTACCTTCTTGGAGTGCCTGCTGCAAGAGAGGGGAAAACACCAAGTAAGGATGATGTTTCAGGTCTGATCCAATGGCATGCAGGACGGAACCTGCAGTATCGATAGATTATAGGGCACGCGATCAATGCTGGTAGACAGGAACAGCGGCTTGTTGTGAGCGGGAGCTATTCCATGGACTTGTAATGCTTGGTACTGACACATGACAGTGGAGACCGAAAGATCGTGCTTGAGCACGCGAGCTTGAAACCACAAGCTACACCCATCGAGGCGGGGAACCAACAGATCGACAAGATGAACAAAAACAACAGGCGAATACCAAGCATGATACTTCTCAGTAGGGTGTACAGGACGTTGACAACGACAGGACACAGTCAAGATGTCTGCCGCCCTGGCAATGCGCCACATATTGCCTTGCTTCTGTCATCGAAAATGGCACCGTTCAAGGTTCCGAAACTTCTGCCAGTTGAAATTGGGGCGGGAGGGCTTGAGAACCGCTTTCTGTTTGGTGGAGTATATCTGACGTGTCGCACAACGAATGTTGATGTCTCGACAATCAAACACCTAGATGGTGAGCATGGACCAGGGAAGTGTTCCAACGGCGCCTCCCGCAAAGACACCTCCACATGAAACGGTTCTGTTAACCATATTTTGACCCTCCACATACGTCTCCCCGCATCGCCGTTTGCAGATCCACGTTGTTATCGACTGCTCCCAAAGGATTCAACAAGGAGGGCGAGCTTTTGTGTCGCATGTTCGACTTCCAATTCCAGCCGACCGAAGGATTCCGAACAACGAACAAGTCTTGGGAACGCGATCGTCATGACCTGTCGCTTGAACCTGGCCACCATAACGGCGAAGATGATTGAATAGCGATGGCGAATCGGCTGATAAGGTGGTAAATGTTCGACCGTCTAACAAAATGTTGATTATGCTCTGTCATCAGCACCCATCTGTTTGCCTTATCAACCTATCTTGACGGACTTTCGGTATTACTCGCGCCTTCCACATCTGCGCGACCCTAACATCATGCCATACCTTCAGCAAAAAGACTCAACCTGGCAGACGCGACGCTCGTCATCTTCGTTCACGCGATTTACGAGATCGCGACGACGACAACTCCTTGGAGTATTCTCGGTCCTCTGCATCTTGATCTACTGGACAGTCTGCATTGGTCTGGGATCTACCCGCAATGAGCTTTTCACACCTCCACTGCCCGCGACACCGAAATTCTGGGCTGGCGGCTCAGAAGACCGACTTGTGACCATCCAAGCGAGCAAGGGCGCCTTTGTCACAGATCTGGGAGATGTCGTGGAGCCACCGGCATCTCAAGAGATTCCAAGGCCTCAGATCTTTAATCAGGTCGCGAGCTCCGAAGAACCCATTCTGCAAGAGCGACCAGCTACTATTCAAGTCACCAAAGGCAGTTCTGTTAACGATATTGGAGACGTCGAGGAACAGCAATCGTTGGCAGAAGACGTGTCTGAGATGCAACCAGTTGTCGCAGATGGCGGAAGATTGACCGACATCTCAAGATCTCAGGCCGCAACTCCAGCCGGCAACTCTCAGGATCCAGCATCAATTCCAGTCCAGGGAGCGATGACCGATAAGGTCAAGTCTGCAGCGGGACTTCTCAGTCCCACCGCGGTGTCTGCTGGATACGTCTTCCCGGATACCTCAAACTTCGAGCGACTCAACAGACTGGCGGATGAGCTCCCCGATTACGTACACATTCCACTGCACATGGCGGTACAGGAAGAGACCCTGGACAGTTGGGAGGAAGATTGGTTTGCACATGCTGTCTTCGAACCTAAGACGCATGGCAGTCTGGAAGAACCAAAGATTGACTTTGTGTACACTTGTAAGTTCTAGACTGTTCCTACAGCATTCTGAGACCAGCTTCTGATGTTTTGCAGGGGTCAACGGTTCCGATACTAGGTTCGCAGAAACGATGCGACCGTATGAGTTGAGCTCTAGTCTGAACGACGACGCAGGCGAATGGATTGCTTCCCACGGCGTCAACCGTTATCGCGACTGGGACGAGTTGCGCTACTCGATCAGAAGTGTTGAGAAGCATGCTGGCTCATTTCGAAACAACATACAAATCTTGGTGAATGCTGTCGAGAGTGAGGACGGCACCATGTCGAAACAGAGACCGACTTGGTTGAAAGACGATTCCGAGATCCAGAGCGCCCTTCAAGTTTTGTCGCAAGAAGACTTTTTCGGTGCGGAAGAGGCAGAATGCTTGCCGACATTCAACTCCTTGACCATCGAGAACCAGATTTACAACACACCATCAGATACAGACCGGGTAAGTCGTGATGTTCCGCTGACAGGATAGCTGAGACTGACCATCATCCAGATCTTTGCGATGTCCGATGACATGTTCCTCGGCAAACCTCATGCAGCCTCCGACATCTATTCGCCACTCTTCGGAACAGTCATGGGATTCAAGCCTAACAGCTACAACACGATCGTACCACCTTCCGAGAAAGACGCCTTGCGGTTTGGCGAAAAGCCATATCTTATCTATACTTCTTGGATGTTGAATCGTCGTTTCGGCACTCGCAAAAGAAAGGGCCAAGTTCACTTTGGCCATTCTCTATCTCGCAGCGTGTACAAGGAGGCAATGGAAGCCTTTCCTAGACCTGCCCTCAAGAGTGCCTGCCAGAAGTTCAGAGGCGAGACTGGGTTTCAGCTGTATTCCTGGTACAATGCGTTCCATTACACAATTGAGCGCCATCGCGAAGCTCTTCTCTGGAGTTACATTATGATCAGAAGCGATCCTGACAGGAACGGTTACTTGAATTGGGAAGAGCGACAAGCCATCGTGAGCGACTTGGAAGAAGGTCTTGCCAACGAGGGTCGCAACTCTTTCCGGAAGAGGATGTACTACTATGTTGCAAAGTCGCTTGGAGATGCAGGACTCGAAGCGCCGAAGGTCAATGTCGAGACCACTTGGACATCTCTTGATGGACCTGCAACGATCGCCAACATTGATTGTTTCGAGTTCAACGTCAACGAGTGCTTGGCTCCGGGCTTTTCTTCGCCGTCCTGGGATGAGAGATCCGACAATCCGGTCTTTTCCACTGCAGCGATCTTTGACAGATTGGCAAGACAAGACCCTCAATGTGGCGATTGCTTGACAAAGCTGCTGCTCAATCGTGTTGAACAAGGTCTGTCTCCTCTTCTGCCACATGCAGATAAAGACGCCGAGCACCGTCAGACAGTTCTCAAGGCATTGAAAAGATACTCCTACGTCGTGGTAGAGCCAGATGCTCTGTTCACGATGGTGACTGACGCCGAGCAAGTGCAAGTTCGGCTCATTGACCGCCTCGCAGATCCTGACAAGCAGGCCGGACAACTCTGCCTAAACGATGACGTGACGACGGACAATGAGAACGAGCTTCTGGCATTGAGGGAGACGATATCAAGGCTTTTCAATGAGCATTGGGGAACACCGAGTCGATTCGAGGCGTGGTCGTAGTGGATAGCTGAATCAATTTTATGCCGTTTGTTTTCGTTCATTCTTGTCGATCATTCTTGTCGTTCATTCTTGTCGTCCTGTGTCAATCCAATTTTGCAGACTCAACGAGTTCAGCAATTCACTCTTGTCGAGTCTCCAGAGAATCTCGGTAAAGCGATGCAGGTATTCGTTGGCTCTGATTGCGACGCGATTCCCTTCTTCATGAGGGCAATTCAGCAATGACACTGCCACATCGCGAATCTTGCAGAACTATGCTGGGTCAGGCCTGGGTTTGCTTGATGATGTATTAGATGCATATGTTACTTACAGTATGGTACCCATTGGGCTCAAGTGGCTCATCTGAGAAACTGTGCAAGACGTGTAACATTTGGCGAGCAATGTCCTCACGTCTCGTCCATACGTTACGCAGGTCTTGTGCCGGTAAGTTTGGATTGTTTGAGTGCAGAGCATCAAGCCTGTCAAGAACCATACACTGTAGCCAGAGATGCGTGATGTGTATGTTTGCGCGAACAATCTCCATCTGCAGATTACTGACCCTCGAATTGACCGAGTCGTGCGTCGCGCTATCGCAGTTTGGAGCCCATGGTTGGAGCCTTGGTGGACACTTGTCAAGCATGAACCTAAGCTCCTCGAACCTGTCTTCCAAAGATTGCACTTGAAGCTTGATTTCAATGCATTCGCATCCGCAGCATCGGTCGCTATCTGCGCGAGAGAGATCCACTGATCCAGAGTCGAAAACGCGCCACAATGGCATGAGCGCGGTACAGAATAACTTCGAATGCATGTTGAAAGCGGTGACGATGTTCGCCTGTTCTGTGTTTGGCCGAGGGAGCATGGTATCTGGTGTGATGTATTCGTCTTCAATCTCAGCAGGCAAGAGAGCTTGAAAGTCAATTGTGCGTAGCATGGCACAATCCAGATAGAGGAGTCGTTCTCTACGAGCAAATTGAAGTTTGTTGTGCACCAGGCTGTAGAAGATCAACCAGAAGGCCTTTCTTCGCAGTTGAGCCTCCACAAAATCCAAGCCTTCGTATGTTGAGGCGCGATGGAGCTCCAGTAGACGCGCCAATTGCATGGCTTCAATCTCCAGCATACGCGATCGATTGTGGTGTCCGATTTGGAAGAAGGCAGTGACCAAGCAGTAGGAAACAGCCCACTTCTGATGACTGACCTGATCGTAGTAGCTCGCCTGACGATGGCAGACAAACAAGTCGTAGCAATGGTTGATCATGGCCTCTGCTGACTGGAAAGGTAGGGTAGGGTCCAAGCGTTGGTATCTTTCGAACCTGGAAGATCCGATCCCAAGCGTCAAAGCACAAATGCCGACGAGGAGTAGGAAGAAGTCGGAATCGTAAGCGTCTCTTTCCCTCTCCAGATCCTGCTGAAACGTTGGACGGTGGACGACGGGGACAACGGGATAGACAAGCTCAAGATAGTCGCCGATGATGCGCTTAAAGAGCTCTCGTGAGCAGATGCTGTCAGTCTGGTAGGTGCGTTGCGCGAGCGGTGTCGTCGCTGGGCCGTAATTGCTGGTATGATCAAGCGATGCAGGTGTTGTAGGGAGAAGCGCTGCAGTTGGGGAGACGACCTCGCTATTCAGGAGGTAGGAGAGGTTTCTGGACTGGACAGGTCTACTCAATGAATTGACCTCTTGTGTTGCCGTTCTGCCTGACAAGTTTTGCAAATGCGAGCTCGTGGAAAGCGACGATTGGCCAAGGTCTGTGCTAAGAAAATCATCATCGGGTGGCCTCGATGTCTCTCCAGGCGTCGTCGTACTGGCCGTATTGCTGTATAATTGACCTGTCAGAGCAGCACTCGGACAGATCAAGGGATTGATCGACGCACCTGACATCAGTTCTGCGCGTTCGAGGTCCTCGACATTTTTGAGGCACGGTGAAAGTACAATCAATTGCTAACCGCGTACATCTTCGGCAAGGACGATGAGCAGTTGCCGTAGGAGCTACCGACTCGTCGTAAGTGCATTTGACTTTGCGAGTCTTGCATGCATCGCAGGCTTGTTTGGTCAATGTCGCGCGACTTCGCCTTACGTGACCGGTCTGTTGCGCATTAGACATGATGCATGTCAATTGGTGTTGGTGCGGAGGGATAGGAAGAGCGGAGAAATGGCAAGAACGAAATTCTCCGCCATACTTGGGGCCCCGCTTTGATCTCTTCCTCCGCTTCTCGGTATCTTGACCTTGACCGATTCATCCTTACGGCGCGAACATTTGGTCTTGGACGGATTTCTACGGCCTAGACAGGTTTCTAGAGATGCTTTGATGGGTCTTCGGCAGTTGATTACTTTCTGCAAGATATCGCGAAATTTGCCTGCCTTAGAAAGCGCGGAACTAAGATGCAGGTGCACCTCCTTGGTGAAGCACCGTGTTGAATCGTACGCAGGGGCCGTGACTGACGACAGACATGTCGCTTCAATACGAAATGGATTCACAGCTACCACTACAAGAGCTGCATAAGTTTTTATGTGTTCGTGAACCGAAGACACCACCAACGTATGACATGTCGCTTCGCCAGGTCTTGTTCAAAAATGCGGAGGCCAAAACATGTTTCCCGAGTGGCCAGAAGTCGATGCGATCAGGGTGCTCCCCAAAGCCAACCCGTTCAGCTACCTCTCCGGCGACAGAGATACTAATAGCCCTGTTCTTCAAGCATTGTGTCTTCTTAATCTTCTGAAGAGGTTCAGCTCTCTGGTCGAGCATTTGCTCTGCTCATCTGCAAGGAGTTGCGGGTGGTACAGGGAAATCAAGATTTTCTTGCATCACTCGACTTTCGCTTGGGCACTGCAAGTCAAGACAGAAGACGCTTTGCAGGGCACGTTTCAATGAAGATTGAGTATTGGGAATTATTCTACAAGCCCGACCACCATGTCGTCTTCTCGACAGTGGCCTCTTTCGTCAAGAAATTGGTAGCCGCACTGCTGTCGCCAACCATGATCTTGTATGTGCCGGCCTCGCTGCACCACTTATCCTCAATTTCATCCCAGTAGCTTGTCGCTTGCACCAAGTCCAAGTCGATCTCCACCTTGTCTGTCTCACCAGCTTCGAGGAAGACCTTGGTAAACCCCTTGAGCTCTTTGACGGGTCGACCGACATATTGCGACTTGGGTGCTGCGACATACACCTGGACGACCTGTGCTCCAGCTCTTCCGCCGTTGTTCTCGACTTGGCAAATGACGGTCAGATTATTTGAACCACCTTGACGGAGCTCAAGATTGGTCATCTCAAAGGTAGTGTAGGACAAGCCATGTCCGAAGGGGAAAAGAGGAGCTGTCTCGATGTTTTCGTACCAGCGATAGCCAACGTAGATGTCTTCACCGTAAAGAGTACGACCACCTTCACATCTGTAGTTGGAGTAGGCAGGGTTGTCTTGGATACGACGAGGCATGGTCAGGGGGAGCTTTCCGCTGGGATTGACATCACCGTAAAGCACATCTGCGATACCGTTGCCAGTCTCGTTACCTCCAAACCAAGCTTGGACAATTGCTTTTGCCTTGTCGGCCCAAGGCATGGCGACAGGAGTACCGCTTTGCACAACAATGACTGTGTTGGGGTTTGCATCGAGAACAGCGGAGATCAAGTCGTCGTTGCTAGGTGGGAGGTTCATGTGTGGACGATCTTGACCTTCGCTTTCCCACTCACCGCTCAGACCAGTGAACAGAACGACTTGATCGACTGAGCGAGCGAGATCTGCAGCTTCCATGATTGAGACGTCGAAGTCCAGACGCTTGCAACCAGCGATACGGAAGCCACCATGACCGAAAAGAACAACTCCATCAGGTTTGACTCTTGTGCTGGAATTGGCGCTTGCCCATCGGAGGAAGATCTTGTAATGTTGACCAGCGACCAACTCTTTTGTGCCTGTTTCTTCGACTGTGCCGCAGCCGATAAAGCTGGGTCCGGAGCGCTGGTCCTCCACGTTGTCGACGATGAGTTCGTCATCGATGTACAAGCGCGCGGTACCATAGACGCAGAGTCCAAAGTCGTACAGGCCGCTCTCGGGTGCTGTGAAGATACCTTCAGCATCGACGTGCCAGATGTGTGCAAGGTCTTGACGGTCGAAACCGGCGAAGAGAACGTTTGAGTCGGTCAACGTGCGTTCCTCGAGCAGTTCACGATGCGATGCTTCTGGGGGGTCGTTGTATAGCTTGATCGTGAAGCCTTCTCTGCCGTCGTGGGTTTGAAGATGGCTACCGATAGTCGGCAACATCTGGTGGCTGTAGACACCTTGGGCCCATTCAACACCGGCGGAAGCCTTTGCCGAGACTCCTTCGAAGGGTGTGACTGTGTAGTAGGGTGTCAAGGATGCACTTCCGCCACCAGAGATGGTAGCAATCTTGGAGTTGGGGCCAATGACAGCGATGCGCTTGTCCTTGTCAAAGGGCAGAATGTTTCCCTCATTCTTCAGCAGGACTTGTGACTGAGCTGCGACCTGACGGGCAAGTGTTCTATCTTCAGGACGATCCAGCTCAAGTTCGGGGGCGTTCTCGGGGATGCCAGTCCGTAGGCCCGAGTTGACGAGTCTGAGGACAGCACGCACACGGTCGTTGAGCTCGCTCTTCTTGACCTTGTTGGCAGTGACGGCATGCATCAGAGCATCGCCGCGCCAGCGCGACGGACCAGGCATCTCGAGGTCAAGGCCAGCTTTGATGGCGCCAGTAGTGCTGTATGTGCCGAACCAGTCGCTGGTGATCAAGCCGTCCCACTTCCATTCGCCTCGGAGGATGTCCTTGAGGATGTGCTCGTTCTCGGCAGCGTGGGTGCCGTTGATCTTGTTGTACGCCGTCATGATTGCGCCTGCTTGACAGTGCTTGAGAGCGATCTGGAAGGGAGCGAGGTAGATTTCTCTCAAGGCTCGCTCCGTGACGATGGCGTTGAAGGCCATGCGCTGGTCTTCTTGGTCGTTGCATGCGAAATGCTTCGGGCAAGCGACGATGCCCTTGTCTTGGACGCCCTGGCAGTAGTATCCGGCGAGGATGCCAGCAAGGTACGGATCTTCCGAGTACGACTCGAAGCCACGGCCACCAAGCGGGGCTCGTGGGATGTTGATTGTGGGACCGAGAAGCATGTGTGCACCCTTGGCTCTGCACTCATCTGCCAGCAGCCCTCCAACTCTTTTCAAAAGGTCCTTGTCGAAGGTTGCGCCGAGTCCAGTGCCGCAAGGGAGGCATGTTGAAGGGACGGCGTCGAAGAAGCGAGTGCCGCGTACGCCATTGGGGCCGTCGGAGAGTCGGATCGAGGGGATGTTCAGGCGAGGGACGGGGACCGTGTGCCAGAAGTCCTTGCCTAGGAAAGTGTCAGTGATTGCGCCTGGCTTGACCACCATGCCCACTAGAGCAGGGGTGTCGCACGAATTGCATACCTGCTGTGAGAGAGACCTTCTCCTCCAGGGTGAGCTGCGTCAGTAGTTGCTCAATGTCGAGCTGCTGTGGTTGTTGTTGCTGCTGCTTGGTCGCAGTGTGTTGAGGAAGTCCATTCTCACGGGTGCTTTGTGCAGTGGAGATGCCCATGATAGAAGTAAGAGGATGGTGGATGTAGACTGGGAAAGTGAATGAAGAGTGAAAGCAGGATATACCTCGAAAAGGGCAAGCGAAGCATGGCGATACAAATACTTAGACTGCGCCTGTTCTGTCTTGAGCATCTCGGCGACCTACAAGCTAATGCTCCACACCCCAGATGTGTGCCTTGATGCGCGGAGTATGTCCATGAATTTACGGACCGTCAAGCCGATGGAGCATGATGAGTTTCGCCGCGCGGATACGATGGCGGGAAGGAAGGAAAGTGGAGCTGTGTGATGGAGGGAAGGAAGGCGGAGGAAGGCCTGAAACTCGAAGTTTGTTCGTCGCCGCTCTCCCTCAGTCACCGTCCCCCGCAAGGCTTGGCAATTTCTCCGTCCTCCGCGTCCCTTCCGCGACGCCGCAATTTCCAATTGTGGTGAGACCTGACTCCTTTCTGCGACTGTCTTGAAACTTCTTCGAGTCGTGCCAGATTTGATATGCCATGACTCCCGATACTCTCCGTCACCCCACCCAGTCGTTGTCGCTCGCCATGCTATCTCCTTGCAAAGTTCTCCATTTGAAGGCAGAGGTCCACGTTGCGCTCTGACATGCTCGGAGCTTCGTCGCGTCTCACCTTCGACTCGCAACATGAATTTGCATCCACTTTCAGGCCGTTCCTTCTGCTTCGGCATCGCAAATACAATCGACCACGGCTGTGCTTCTTTCAGCTCTTCCGTTGCTGACTTCTCCTCCGTGTTGCTGGCGCAGTCCAAGCCTCCGTCTCGGCGCCTTGCTAGCCTCGAACGTTGCCAAATCTACCACACGCCGCGCGCCTTGGGCAAATCTCCGCATCGAATTCGAGCTCCGCTCTCGACATGAACTGTATGGGAATCAAGTTCGCATTGCCTGACACGCCTGACATGAGTTCCGCTCACGTCCAGGATACTCCGCATCGATGATCCGGGTCCATCCTGTCGCAGAAAATGTGGAGAGCCTGGGGTCTCCAGCATCATGGTCGCTCGTGCGTTGCTGTTCGGCATGCTCGCCGGCGGCCGGATCTCGACAAGACCTCTGAAGTCTATATATACCATCTCCCCTGGCACGTTTGCAACCCCAGATCATTGTCGCACTCACACTACCATCCCCCGTTCAATCATCTCTTCTCTTCTCAGTTCTTGTCAACATGGGCAAAGCAGATGCAGGCGCGAGAGCCGCAGTGGGTGACGATCTTGCCGCCGTCTTGCCTGATGGTCCTTGGCACAAGAAAGCTCATCTTGTCAAACTGAACTTTGTCGTTGTTTCTTTGGTCCTGTTTTGTATGTTGATGCACCTGGTGACTTGCAAATGCAAGTACTGACAACTCCAGCTTCTGCCAATGGATACGATGGCTCCCTCATGAACGGTCTCCAGGCCTTGAATCAATGGAACGACCACTTCGACCGACCTGCTGGAGCATTCCTCGGTTTCCTTAACGCAATCTACTGGATTGGTGCGGGTTGCATGTATCCTGTCGCCGCCATCATCGCAAACAAGTACGGTCGCAAACTTCCCATCTGGATCGGTTATGCCTTCCTTTGCCTTGGTGCTGGTCTACAAGCTGGTGCCAACAACGAAGGCGCCTTTGCAGCTGCTCGTTTCTTTGTCGGAAACGCATCCGCTTGCTTCTCGACCTCAGTGCCGCTACTGATCAGTGAAATTGCGTACCCGTCGCATCGTGGTATCGCCACTGCGCTCTACAATTGTGGATGGGTGAGTCTTCTGCGACACCTCATTGAATGCATCTCTCTCTGACACGTTCACAGTATGTTGGCGGACTCATCGCTGCCTTCCTCACCTTCGGCACTCGCAACATGGACAGCTCTTGGGCCTGGAGAGTCCCTTCGCTTCTTCAAATTCTCGTACCTTTCCTCGCACTTCCCGGCTTCCTCATGGCTCCCCAAAGCCCCAGATGGCTGATCTCGATGGATCGCAACGAAGAAGCACAACAGCTGTTGACCAAGTGGCACGGGGGTGACGATCAGAATTCGCAACTCGTCAACTACGAGATGATCGAGATTACGACAACTCTCCAGCAAGAGAAGAGCGCAAACTCCAGTGCCAGCTACGCCGAGATGTTCAAGACTCCTGGCAACCGCAAGCGACTCTTCATCTCCGTCTCCCTCGGCATCTTTGCGCAATGGGTTGGCAATGGCGTCGTCTCATACTACCTTGCGCTTGTCTTGGAGACTGTCGGCATCACCAGCGTCACCGACATTACTCTCATCTCCGGTTTCCTCCAGCTTTGGAACTTGATCTTCTGTGTTGGCGCCGCCTTTTCAGTCGACAGACTCGGTCGCAGAGCTCTGTTCCTTGCTTCTGCTGTCGTTATGGGCGTTTCATACGTCCTCGTCACTGGATTGTCTGGTTCCTTTGCTGCCAACCAGACTCCTGCTGTCGGCATCGCAGTCATTCCCTTCTTGTTCATCTTCTTTGCTGGGTACGACATTGCGCTGTGAGTATACACTTTCCATTCTTGACTGCGACACTGCTGACCCGATTCAAAGTACTCCCCTGCTCTACTCATACCCGTGTGAGATCTGGCCCTACCGTCTCCGTTCTCGTGGTCTCACCGTCACCAACATCACCACCGTCCTCGCCATCTGCTTCAACACTTTTGTCAACCCCATCGCCCTGGAAAAGATCGCTTGGAGGTACTACATTGTCTTCGTCGTTGTCCTCATCATCTATGGCATCACTGTCTATGTCTGGTATCCTGAAACCAAGGGATACTCGCTCGAGCAGATGGCTGTCGTCTTTGACGGTGATGCAGCTGAGGTGCCGTATCCCGCCGAGATTGCTGAGAGGTCGGCCAGTATGGTGTCGCATGGTGGCGAGAAGGAAGGTGTTGTTAGGGTTGAAAAGGTCTGATCGATGTGTCGCGTGTATTGAGTGTGTCGTCAAGATCTAACTACTATGCTACGAAGGAATTGAGTCGATTCTGTTCCTAGTTGGTGCGGGGATTTTAGGCTTGGCAAAAAGTAGGGGTCATTTCCGAGTGTACACCTCATTTGGTACTTCGGCAAAGTTCGGCTAAGGATGCCAAGAGGTGGCAAAAAACAGGTGAGAATTTTTAAAGTTAGCTAAACTTTTATAACGCTTAACCCTACAAAACACTAGCTAAACTTTTCTCTTACCTATATTATAACAATTATAGCTTATAACCTTAATATCCACGATAAAACCGTAGTAGATTATACGACGCCGTTTATTAACCCTAAAGAAGGCAATATACTAGATAAGGAAGAAGATATAGAGGTTACCCTCTACTAAACATGTTTTTAAGGTGTTTTAAATGCGTTACTAATATATTATAGCAACTTATCCCTTTTATAGTCTTTAGAACTATAAAGACACGTTTTTAGGCTACTAAACTAGTATATTATATAATGTTCCCTAATTATCCTACCTCTTACGAGCTAGGATACACTTATATTATTAATATCTTAGGTCTTAATAATATTAACTATAAGGACCTAAGTAAAGTAAAGTAGGTAAGATTTAGCTATCCTATAATACGTTTAAAACGCCTTTCTAACATATTATAGTACTAACTTTTAACTAAGCGTAGTTATCTCTCTATCTCTAGTACTATAAGTATCTTTAGGATAGACTAAGAGATTAAAGGTACTATTTATTACTATAAATGTTTAGGGGTAAAGGTTTATCTAAGGCTTACTTACCCTTTAAGGGAATTTACTTAGAATAAGATAATGCTAGAGCGTTAGGACAAGTTCTATAAGAAGCGTAGAGAAATTAATAGTAAAGAACTAGAGCCTAGTAAACGCGTTATAAATAGGTTTAAAATACGTTTCTAGCGCCTTATATAGTTATACGCTAATTATNTTACTATAGGACTAAATCTAGTATGCTCTTTAATACCCTTAGTAGATTATAAGCGTATCTAGAATAGTACTAATGTAGTTAAATAGACTAGTTATAAGAGTAACTTACTAGGGAAGAAGCTTTCTTTATTACCTACCATTTTCTTATAAGAACTAAACTTAAACGCGTTTAAAATATGTTTTATACTTACTAAAGTCTATTAGCTCTTAGTTAATTAATTAACTCGATATAGATTATAAGGTAGCCTATCTACAATGTTACGAACGAACGGGGTCCGTTCCTTTAAATTTTAGTAGGGCTTAGCGCACCCTAGACCCTAGGCTCCGACCTAGTTCGTTTGCTTTTAAGACCCCATTCCTTTAACCTAAATATGTAGATTTTTGTCTAAAAAAATTCCTAGCATGCATTTTGAACAAATTCGCTAGTGCCATTTTAATATCGGATCCAAATAGTTAGTAGAACGTAGACAATGAATATACCATGTGAACTTAACGTTCGTCTTACGCATTAACCATTACCGCTATCTGCCTACACATCCCCACCTAACAGCTCCGGGCGCATAAATAAACGACCGCGTCCTTGCACCTTTATTATTGCTTCCTAACTTAACAACTAATAAAAAAACTCGCAAACTAGCCTAACGATTAAGATCGAAATAGCGACAATGGATTCTGATCTAAAATATAATGCAAAGCTAAAGAGTAGCATTTTAAAAAGCATTCTTAAGAGTAAAAGCATTAAGACGTTTCTAAGCTAGCCTAACGACTAGAGAGCAAATGTCTATAAAAAAATGCTTACATCCTAGGCATAGGTTCGGATAGGACCTAAGGCCGATCTCGACGCGTACCCTCTTATACTAGATACCTTCTATCTCTACGGTCCTAATGTGGAAGATGTTTTAGGCAATGCCGACCTTATTAGTAAGGCAAGGGAGTCTTTCTAGAGCACAAATGCGTTTACAGTCGACGCGACTCTACTTAGAGAACTCATCGCCTAGCCTAGAGCGAAGTAAGCTATTCGTTAGATACGCGTTAAGATGCGTGCAACAAGCCCTTAATCCGAGAAGACTAGCTAGTATGGCGATCTAGAGAAACTCTTACTGTAGTGTAAGCAGTTAGACTAGGTTATAATTATAATTTAAGGTAGTGGTAGAAGAAGAGTTAAGGACTTAGTTAAGGAAAGAGCTGCTAAAGTATCTAAGATCCTAGAGAAATGGTTAACAACTTAATCCGGAAGCTTAGATAGACTAAAGCGTAGTATATACCTATATACATTACCTAACATGCGGGCAAAACAACCGGTGAACGGTACTTAGGAAACACGATTTAAAGGCGACAAGTCATCTAGAACAGCAGTAGACAGGGAGGTCATAAATCGGGATAAGGTAGATAACAGACTTAGGAAGAAGCAGTGTTCGTTTAACTAGGCAAGCTCTAGAAGTCCATATCTAGAGTTTCTTATCTAACTTTAAGCCGTCTAAAAGACGGTCGTCATATTAGCAAGTTGTTGTAGTTAGTTGTTACTATTATTGCACTTACGCTTCCTAACACACGTACTATAACGAAGGGAGGTAAGCTTATGTTAGTGTAGAGCGAGTGTATTACCTGTTATAAGGCTAGTCTAGGTAGAGAAATTATAAGTCTATTAGACGGAGCGCTTATAATTAGGAACGTATCCTTACATTGCAGATAAGGGTGCTTTCACTAAGCTAAACGCCATTAAAGCTAAGATAGTACTGTTTTCGTAGGTCATGCGGCAGCTATAGTCGGTTAAGGGCATCTACTATAGATACACGGCGGAAGAGGGTTATATCTTGTCCGAAGTTAGGATGCGTAATTTAGATTGTGATTTAGGGAGCGTAGAGATCTATAATGCTTTCTCGTAAGCAAAACTTAAGAAGAGAACATAATAAGGATGAGCGGAAGATGTTTTAATGTCGTACGGACTAGGTAAATGCATTATAATGACAAAGTAGCAGAACGCACTATCTTTATCTAATTAGACAGTTATATGTAGCACGTAATGTAGATTCCACCTAGCGCCATAGTTCTCGTATAGCCACGTATATAGAGCTATGCCGGCAAACAAGGCAGGCTAACAGCTATAGGGCTGTAGGCACTACTATAATAGCTATGCTAATCGGGAGTTGCCGTTCTCCGAAATGCCGTAGGCGCTATTTATAACTATTAAGGCGCGGTTAATGCCATACTATGCAGAAGAGATAGCATTCTTGCACTTCTTACAGTACTAACGTCCGTCTTGCGACTAGGAGAATTAGTCCTTTAGTCTGCTTAGAATCATAGAACCCTTATAGTCAACTTTGTTGTCTTTGTCCTCTAATCTGCTATCTTCTAAGTGCTAATCCTTAGATGCGCTATCGTATTAACTACTAATCGAAATAGTGTCTTGTCGTTATGTGAACTAGCTAGGTACTATAGCGTAGTCTTAAGTGCCGATATTCTAGGGTCTAGAAGACTAAGGGGTTACATTCTGCGACGGATCGCTCTCCTCTATTGTTTATATAGGCTCGCGGATAAGATGGCCATTTCTGGTTTTAATAAGCCTCTACTTGTCGGTTTTGCTAACGACCTNCTGCTGCTTAGTTTTTTTATAAGGCCTTCGAAGTCTGCTAGTATAATGAATGAACACTAGCGCGGCTGTGTACGGTTTAAACCTTAGGCAAGAGGTCGGTTAACGCGACCGTCTATCCGTTCTCGACAGTGCTCTATAACGGCAAGGATAGAGAGCCTACTCTTGTAGGCTACCGCTATCTTTATTAACACCCGCCCTAACAGCTAATCGGTCAATTAGACTAGGTTTTGCTTCTTAAACTCGTCGTACTACCTAGCACCCTAAGCTTCGTTAATGACTCTAAAGCTCTGCGCGTTAGCTTTTATAGTAGATTCGCCCTACTTAATCATTTTCTCGACGTACTCGCGGTAGTTAAGACTATCGAGGAAAGCGTCGGCTAAGTAAAGGTATTCGCTCTTATGTAACGGAGTCTACGATTGTTAGAGCTCGATATATCGCTAGATGACTACGCTATAAATAGCAGAAGTTTCCGAAGTCCTAGCAAGCTTATTAAGAACATCGGTAGTAGCGGCAATGCGTTTAGTAGGGTCGGTCTCTACCTCGAGATAGTTAAGGATCGAGTAGGTAGGCTTCTTAGTATAAAACGTGCGACTAAGCTCGGTCTTGACGTGCTCGATTGACATTCTATTAACGCTTTCTTTAGATAGGATCCTAGTAGATTTAAAGGAAGGTAGGTAGTCGTCGTTGTCGTTAACAAGAGTAGCGTAGACATTGTAAAGTATAAGTGCTTACGAAGGCAGAGATAGAGGGGTGTTATTCTTAGCTTGTTATGATTGCTAAAGTGGTCTATCTTTTAGTGTATTTTGTTACGCAATCTTAGCAGATTGCTCTTAATTTTTTTACTAACTACTTTGTCGCGTCTAGCGAGTTTACGGCAATAAACGCGGCGTCGGGTTAGATTTACGAAGCATAACCATTGCAAATATCTATTCGCAATCTTGTAGGTGTATACTAATATTGTTCTATAGCAAAAGCTGCTAGAGTAGACAGAAATGTGTTAATATTTACAGAACAGGGTTATAGAAACAGCGGGCGAAACAAAAAAAGTCTGCTTTAAGTAGACTTTCTAACTTAGCTACGCACGGACTACCCTACTAAGAAGAGCAAACGGATTAACTTAAACGAACCAACTCATTAACTAAACGAACTAGGTTAGCAGTAGTAGCAGCAGTAGCAGGACGACAAAGAATAGCATAACTAGTAACGAGAACTCTCCTACAACGGGCTAGCGACAATGGAGCTACTCGATTAGATTATTTTACAACAAATCTTCACCTATCTGCTACAGTATCGCACTATCGTCTACAACGAGTGCTATATCGTAGTCCCCCTACCTAACGTTAAAAGCTATCTTTAAGCGCACTACGGGGTAAGCCGTACCGCCCCCGCTATCGCTTAAGTGCTTAGAATCATCGGACATCTTCTAGATATAGCGCATACAGTCGATGAGTTACGCTATCCCGATCTAGGTTATAAAGCCATCTAAGAGCTAGGAGAAATCTATAAGGATAGATATGCATGCAACAAATGCAGTTATATCTGCAGATCTAATAGAGGAATAGTTAAGCACTACAAGAAAGACTATAGATAGAAGAACATATAAACCTAAGGTAGTAGAAAAGGGAGAAGCAAGCAACCCCCTAACAAGATCTAGACTTAGCTAGTAAATTGCTAGAGGATGTTTAAGATAAGCGGCTAGCTAGCATACATTCGCGTTGCAGGCAGTAGTAATAGCAACAATGACTAAGGAACTATGTAAGCCACCTAAGATTAGAATTAGGACCAGATTCTTGCCTAGGATCAGGATTAGGATTAATATTAGGACTAGGAACAGGAACAGAATCTCCATATAGTAATGAACATGCTAGACTAGATGTTAGAAGAGCTTAAAGAAAGAAAGAAGAATCGAGAGATATAAGGTAAAGCGAGTAGATTCTCCCTAAACGCATGGTTAAAGTTCACTAAATAGGAAGAGATTTTGAAGGGTCTCTAAAAAGAGGTATTGCTTAAGGCATTTACGCTAACATTCGAAGAAATGCTATAGGATCTACGCAGAGCCATTACTACTAATATAGGCGGCATAGAAGAAGACTTACAAGACGAAGCTAATGTAGGATTAGCTAGAGCTTATAGAGCTATAAGAATGCTTATTAGGCAAGCTATAAGCTAGTGTCGTATTAACATCGTCGGCTAGTTAGCGCTATAGTATATGAACAGAAGGGAAGTTAGGGAGGGCAGAAACGAACGACCATTCTATGCTAAACAAAAAGTCAAGACTTTAAGAAGGTACATCTCGGTTTAGGTCAAGATTTTGAGATTCATATAGAGGATAAGCATAGTAGCAGAAGAGAATAGACCGAAGTTCATTATAATAAGAGAGCAAGAAATATGTCTTAACAAGATGAAGCATCTAGTAAGAGCAAATAGAGCGAACGATAGGGAAGGAAGGCGAGCAGAAGAACAAAAACTAGAGGAGGCTTATTTAGATTTCTAGATAGCAATGCTAGACTACGAGCTTAAGGCTAGAGAACAGGAAAACGCCATTATAAGCTATATTGCAGTACTAGGACTCGAGACCTAAGACGGCGGCTAGATAGATGCTATGAACTTTATACCTATCTTGTTAGCTATTATAACTATCGCTAGAGGAATGGTAGTTTACGCTACATAGGTTAAGCACGACAAGGCCATTACAAAAGGACTAGAAGAAGGACTCTAGAAAAAAGAAGCCATTAAGAACGCACCATCGATCTTTATATAAGTTTAACAAATGGTGCAAAGATTTATGACTTTAACTAAGTTTAGATGCATGCCATTCCTAATGGATAGGATCTTATACATGCGATTATATAGCATAAAGGTCAGATTTTTAACAAAATTATAAGGAAAAGTGTCTTAGCCCAAAATGAGAGAGCAGATTGCGATTAACAACATTAAGTTCTCGATGAATTAACTGCTTATAGTCGTATACGGGCTTAACGAGAGCGTTAGGATTCGACTTGTCGAGGGATTATTATTACTACCATCAGAAAAAGAACAAGAAAAAGAACAAGAAAAAGAACAAGAAAAATTAAAAACAGAAGCTATAGCGGTAGTAGAGCTGCCTAGACTAAATATGAATGATCTAGTAGATAATGAAGTAGTTATAGATAAAGGTTAGAGCTTTTTGCAGCATAACGAGTGTTTTGCTAGCGGCGACAAATAGATGTAGAAGAGGCTATAGAGAGAATAGGAAATCGGGAGACAATTTATTAAGGGAGACTATAGAAATATAGCTTCGCGAGACGACATTAGATAGAATAAGTAGAGAGTAAAGGAATACTTTCGTCGTGTAAGTGCTTTTAAGGAAGAACTATTAGTGCTAATACATTTAACAGTAGGCGTACTAGCACGAGGCACGGAAGTGCTTAGCATCTAGCACTAGAATAGCGAAGATAGTAGAGCCTAAAGAGGGATCTTCGTTAATCGAGGCATAGTAGCTCTTATAACTTTATACTATAAAGGTTTTAACGCTAGCTAGAAGATCAAACTCATCTATAGGTATGTACTAAAAGAGGTAGGTAAGCTACTGATTTACTACTTGTAGTTAGTAGAGCCATTTGTTAGACAGTTACAATTTATGGTTAAAGGCTAGAAGGAATTTAGCTCGTTCTTATAGGAACTAGAGCTAGAAGAGGTGTAGGAAGAAGACTAGGAAGATAACGACGACGATGATAATAACGACAGCGATAACGATAGAAACGTAATGATAACTAACAACGAGACAGGTAATAAGCTAAGTATATAACAAAGGGTACGAAGAATTAATAGTAGATAGGGTAGAGAGGAAAGAGAAGATAAAGAGGAATAGAGAAGAAGAGGAAAGAAGGTAGAGAAGGCTAAAGCTAGGAACGTCGATAGGTATTAGGGTATAGACAGGGTAAGACATGCGCTACAAAGGGAGAGCGTAAACAGGATAGGTGTTAGACTAACTACATCAATCTAGAGACACGTATATCTAGCTATCTAAAAGGAGTTCTTGGCAGACGAGGAAGTAACAAATCTGCTAGAAGATCTATATAACGGCTAGGTCTAGTAGCGACCACTAGGCGAGAGAGATTTAAGCAACATAGAGAACGTTTCGGTAATCTAGGCTAGACACGACATTCGTATAGAAGAAATGATCTACGGACTACATATAATAGAGTTACCATTCTATACCAAGAGTTAGAGAGAGGGCTTTAGAAAGGTAAGTCTAGACTAGCATAGGTTTCTTCGCTTTGCATTAGCTTAGGAAGATAAGAAGGCAGGCTAAAAGCTTAGACGACAGATAGAAAGGGAAGGAGAGAAGATGTTTCTTAAGCGTTAGAGAAGACTTAGGACTGCTAACATTTATAAAGGTTTAAGCAAAATTCTAGGGAAGGGTGTAGAGTTTAGAGCAGTGTAAGAGTTAAGTATTAAAGCGATTATAGAACGAAAGGCTAGAGTGCTCGTAGTTATAAGGACTAGTAGCGGGAAGAGTTTGTGCTTTATAGTGCTAGTTGCTAGCGTAACGGATAGAGTGACGATTGTTATAGTGCCAATGACGGCGCTTAGAGCTAACATAATAGATAGGTGCAAAAAGGCAAAGATCGAGTGTGCAGTATAGGATAGCAAGAGGCCCCCATATTTAGCTCGTATCGTTCTAGTAATACTAGAGTCGGCTACAAGCAAGGCGTTTAGTAGGTTTCTAGATAAGAAGATGCTAATAAAGCAGTTAGACAGGATTGTGATTAACGAATGTTACACAGTGTTAGAGTCAAACAAGAACTAGAGACCAAAAGTATTAAAACTAATCGAGATAGCATAGAAGGAAGTACAAGTAGTGTACTTAACGGCTACGCTAAAGCCTACAGAAGAGGAGCGATTTTTTAAGGTAGTAGGTGTGAAGCGAAAGGACATTAACATTTTTAGGGAATCGACAACAAGAGAAAACATCGCATATAATGTAGTAGAGTGCGAAGTAGGACAGAATGTCGAAACAATAACAATAGAGCTAGTAGAGAGAAAGAAGAGGCAGTACGAGGGCATAGCGACAGGAGGGTCAATCGTTATATATGTAGGGTCGATTAACGCAGTTAAGCGGCTGTCACAACAGCTAGGATGCCCTATGTATCACAGTAAGTTAGGAACATAGGCGTAGAGAGATCGATTAGTATAGAGGTTAAGAGATGGAAAAGAGAAGGTTATCGTAGCGACAAATAGATTAGGCTTAGGCGTAGACGCGCCCTAAGTGAGGGTAGTTATACATGCATGTATTAGGCGGCGGTTAAAGGAATACATGTAAGAGAGCGGAAGGGTAGGGAGGGATAGAAGGAGTAGCGAGGCAATTATAGTCAAAATGGCTAGTAGTACAGGTAGTTAGAACATAGAGAAAGACATAAAGGATTTTATATTAGGGGACAGATGTATAAGAATTGTAGCAGATAGAGAGATAGACGGAAGGGTAGATAGACTAGGGTGTAAGATAGGCGAAAGAAGGTATAGAGTATGTAGAGGTAGAGGACGGAAAAGGCATCGGATTATAGTAGGGAATGGAGAGGTAGTAAGAGGAGGGTTCGAGGAGACGATTAAGGTAAGTAGTAGTGTAAGTAGCAGCAGTAACATAGATGTTATAAGCGAGGTGAGTGAAGATGTAGGCATATAGGTAGGTGCGACAGAAGTAGAAAGACATGTAAGTAGTTAAGCATTAATGTTATAATAGGTAGGTAGTGTAATAGATGAGGGGATAATATACATGTTAAGTTAAGAGCAAGGAGAGAGTAGTAAGAGTAATAGTAATGAGGGGAGTTATAGTAGCAAAGATAAAGACGATAAGGAAAGACAAGAGTAGGATGACGAAGATAAAGATAAAGATAAAGATAAAGATGAAGATAAAGATGAAGATGAAGATAAAGATAAATATAAAGATGAAGATAAAGATATGGCAGATAATATAGAAGCGTTAACATAAGAGATAGAAACATAGGCAAGTATTAGAAGAGAGCAGATAGAAGAGATAGTAAAGGAGAGGTAGACGGTAGAAGAGATAGAAGCAGTGTTTAAATGATAGAAAAACGGTTATGCGATTTGCATAATTAGATTAAAGAAGGAGAAGGGACAAGTTAGCGATTAGAGAACATATAAGCAGTATAGTAAAGGTAAGAAGTACAAGGTTTTAGAGAAGTAGAAGGCGATAGAAGTGTTAGAATATAGAGAGCAGGGTCAGGATTAGTTTAAGAGATACGTAAGGTGTTCATCGTGTTAGGCAGCACAAGAGGTGTGTTATAGGTAGAAGAAGGTATAGGGAGGTAGAGGTATAGGAGGATATAGATTTAAGAAGATTAAGGACGGGTAGTGTCAGTATAAGGGTGTTTTAAGAAGCGCAGTGGCAGCGATATAGGCATTAGAGTAGGAAGCAGCAGGATTGAAGGAATAGGTAGAGTAATAGCAAAGGGAGAGAGGGATTAGGAGACATGAAAACAGTAGCGAAGAAGAAGATATAATGAGGTAGATAGGGTTACGAGTAGATGATGTTAGGGTATAGATGAGTGAGATGTGTAGGATGTTTATAATTTGGGGGAAGTAGGAGAGATAGTAGTAGTAGAAGTATATTGCAAGGTATTGGAGCAGCAATGATATGGTGATGTTGTTGAAAATTTGAAGGGGGTTTTGGGTTGAACAAGCAAGGGTTGGCGCACAGCACGAGGGTTTTTAGGGTTTTTAGGGTTTTTAGGGTTTTTAGGGTTAGGGTTAGGGTTAGGGTTAGGGTTAGGGTTAGGGTTAGGGTTAGGGTTAGGGTTAGGGTTAGGGTTAGGGTTAGGGTTAGGGTTAGG